GAATTTCACAGTAAAAAAAAACACCTGTCCAGGGGTTGGGTTGAGGCAGCAGTGGGACACAGATCCACCACCAGCTCAGCAACCACAGCTTTTCGGGTTCCCTCCTAGTCTCCCAGCAGCAGGATCTCACCAGGCCAGCTCACAGCACACTCCTGGGATGGGTTTACCCCAAAATCTCAGCTTTGCTTCCAGTGGCAGATGGAAACAGGGGACAAGGAGAATCCCTTAGCAATTCCTCTGCCTGGTTGACTCCAGGATCAGTTTTCTCGGCTCAAGCCAGCAACGGTCCAAACCCAGAAGCTTTTGCCCGGATGCTGCGACACTCCATGGGTCAGCCCTGGCTCAGTGAGCTGCGGGGAATCAGAGCTGTAGAACTGCTCCCCTTCCCCAGGCTGCCTCATCCTGCCTGGGCAAAACCCTTCTTTTGGGGACGCCACCAGCCATCCTGCCCACCGTGAGCAAGCTGGAGCCCACGGCAGCCACCAACCCACCGCCACGTCAGCCAGGTGGGAGACGAGGGCAGGAGAGGGAGAGAGGGGTCAGCTGGCAAAATCCCTGCACCTCTTGCATTCGAGTGTCACGCTGGGACACGGCGCTCAGGAAAGTGGCTTTGTGCTGGCACCCAGGGGCCACGCAGCTGGGAACGCTTAAAAACAAAAGCCAGCAACATCCAGTCTGTGCTTGGCAGCCCGTTTGGCTTAGTGGAAGTTATGTGAAGAGCTAGCCCAGCCCGAGAGCTGGCTCTGCTCCTCCATCCGTCGCGGGACGGGGACAGAGAGGAGCGGTGGAGCTGGGTTACAGTTCCCTTCTCCTCCCCACACCCCTGGCAGCTCTCCGGAGACTCGTTTTCTGATGAGCAGCCCACAAACTTCTGCCGAGCATCCTGTGCTCAAGGGAAACTTCCTCCCAACCTTGGATTTTACCATCCTGTGTAATCCACCATTAAATAAGCATTTCATAAAAAGCCCTATGCTTACCGTGTCCATGCAGCAAGTTAAACAAGGAAGAGGTATTTCTTTGCACATAGTGACATCTCTGCCCGTGCAATAACCCCAGCAGCTTATTACAACAGCAGCCCCTTTCCCGCAGCACAGGCTTGGTGGAAATTCCTTTATTGCCAAATTTTAAGCATTTTACCAGCAAGGCTTTCAGACTCTGGGTACTGCATTAAGTGCTTGCAGTCGTCTGCTTTTGTAGCGGGCAGCCCGTTTAAGTCTCACCACTTCAAGCAATAAAACACATTTATGTAGCCCCCAGCTTTGCAGAGCGAGGCCGGGGTGAGCCGAGCTGCTGGGACGCCCTCTCCCTCTTTCCCAGCAGCATCCTGGCCCTCCAGCTCACCACTTCAGGGAGAAGAAAAACTCTTCCTCGGTCCATGCAGAGGAGCTGCTCCAATTTTTAATTAGCTACAGACCGCTCGCTCCCATGCAGCCGCGGGCACCGTTCCGAACCCCGGCTCAGCCTCCACGCAGGGCGCTGAGACCTTCTCCTTTGCACACAAACAGGCTCAGCTGCCTCCCTCCAACACCGTGGGTCCCCCAAAACTTCAGCGCTGCTTTTCCCGACTGATGATCATCTCCACCAAACGCTGTTGCAGAGAACCTAGTCGGGTGCTTCGCTACCGCTACCGTTCAGCACTTTTTCTCGATGAGCTCAGGAAGCAACACGAGCCTGGTATTTCATGTTTGATTTGCACGACACGCAGAGTTTCAACCCTGCTTCGTTTCAGCTTTTCTCATAGCTCAGCCCTGCAGCACTTTGCTCATCCATGTCAGGAAATAACCAGAGGGCCACGGTAGTATTTAGCTTCTGAGGGAGCTGTGGACAAACGAGACGATATTCCTGCTTCAACCTCATGAGTGTCAGGCGCAAGCGGAGCTTCGTGCCTCTTATGCACAACTCCTCATCCAGCCCGATGTGACATACGTGGTTTTCACAAAAGGGCGATGCTGTTGGCACATCTTCGCTTCTCGAAGCGTCAGAAACCCCAGGTCGTTCCTGCAGAGCTTGTTGCTCTCCCCCATGTTTGTGCAGTTATTGCAGTTAGCACCTACCTAAAAAAAAAAAAAAAAAAAAAAAAAAAAAAAAAGGGGGCAATTGTCCAGCCCTTCCTCCAACCTGCCACAATTCTTTCCCAATCCCACTTCTGCCTTCCCGAGTGCTCAGTGCTGCTCCAAGCTTTGACGCTGTCGGAGGCACGGGAGGCTCACTCCCCCTTCAGCCACCCCTGCTGCTAGTGGAAACACCAAATTGGACTTGATGCAAGACTAAACCCCTGGGACCCACAAATTAATTATGCTTCACTGGGTGGGATAATCACTGAAATTAGTTTGGAGGCATTTTTTTCTCTCTACAAGCACAGGCCAGACAGTGCCTGTTACTTGCTACATTTCTCCCAAGGATTAGATAAGCATTTTAGGGCATAGTTCCCTAAACTCCTCGATTTTTATGCTATTTAGAGGCATTATTTTGCAAGAAATGGGACAGGAGCAACATCCCAAGTGCCCTTGGTGCTCTCAAGATGCTGCTAGGGCTCCAAGATTTTATCAGCAAAGTCCCCTGTACCAGAGCAAGAGCTTCCTGTGGGCGCCCACCCCGCAGCGCTCTGTGACCCCAGGGCACCCGCAGCCCCTCTCCTTTAGCAAAGGGAAATAATGCCAGCACAAGGCGTTTCTGCCTTCTCAGCGTTATCTCTAACTATCTCAAAAGCAAATAAACAACGATAAATGTTGTTATCGTAAGTAACAGAGGCTGCTTACACCAACATGCTTGACTTTGCAGGCTGAGAGCGCTTGCAGGAGGGGCAGTCCCGCTGCAACCCCGGCCCTGCTCCATTTTCCAGGCAACTCTGCGACATTTAGGGAGGCAGCTAGACACAAAGGGGCTCTCAGCACTCAACTAAAATCCCGTTTTAGCTGGGAAAATCCTTTACTACAGATTTGCTAATAGAATGCTGAAAGTGCATCCCGGCGGGGGAGACCTTGCCCCTTTCTCCCTACCTCTCTCGGCAGTGAAAATCTGTTCTTTCACATTTACTAGTTCTGATATTTGATGCAAATCAAACCCAACAAAAAAAAAAATAGTTTTTGCTTGCTCATTCCTTTGTTTCCCTCCTTTCCTCTTCCTTCTCCCTGAACTCCTTTTCGTCCTATTCTCTCACCTTCATAAACCAGCAGAAAAGCAGCTCTGTTACGGTATTTACTGCTTTCGTAGAAAATCTGCAAATCTATCTTAGTAGAAGATCTTGCCATGTCTCCTTGCAAACCAAAAAGGACAACCAAATGACATCCTACTGGGATGCTCTGGCTACCTCAGTGTAACAAGGTTCAGATGAAGCTGCTTGTTTCACTTGCTGCATTGCCTGGTTTTAATCCAATTTGGTTCGGGACACACAAAATAGCTGCTTTTCCACCCTGCAGGAAGTGGCAGGCACAGCCAGAGCCCGGTGAAGCCTGGCTGCACATACACACACACACACACCCCCCAAGCTGCACTCACTTTTTCGTGCTACCTTTTGTCATCTGCAACGTTTTTCGATTATCTTTGTTGAAATCTTCCCCCCCCCCGTGTCACTCCAAACCAACAGCTAAGACGCGGGGGTGGATGCTCGGGCAGTGAAGTCCCCGTGGTGCAGGGGCCGGGCGCAGGCAGGGAGCTGGCTGCCCCCTGACCCTCCCCTGCCCAGGCTTCTGCTCACTCCGCGGATCACCGGCCTGGCTCCCGGGGTCCCTGCCAAGCTGCCACCGCAGCCAGCTCCAGCCGACGCTGTCCCTCAGGCCTGGTTTTACAAGAATTAAAATTAGGCAAGGGGCTCCCCCTGCAACAGCCTGGAGGAAGAAAAAAAAAAAAAAAAAATTCTTTAAAAATGCCTGTGCACAGCAAAGAGCAAGGCTGCATCTGCAGGAGCCACAGCACTGCCCGGCTTTACCTCTCGCCTCACAGCAGATTTACTACAGGAATTGCCAAGGGGCCGCCCTGCTCCACGATAACAAAATCTTCCCAGAGACAGAGGCAGAAATAGCCACGTAGTGGCTTATTGCCTAAAACACCAGTGAAACAGCTCAGCCTCTAATGACAGCTGCCCTGCATCCTGCAGAGACACTGCTTTATTTTTTTCCTTCCTTCTATCTCACAATCTGCCCCTTTGACTCCAGACAGAGATGAGCAAATATTTAATTAACACATTTGACCTTTTATCAGCCCTCAATGCTGATAGCTTTCTGCACATAATTTAGGCGCTCTTTCCCAGAGCCTGCTGCAAACCTGTGAGTAGGACAATGTTACAAAGTTCTTCACATCTCAAATCTTTGTAAGTTTTCTTAAACTCTGGATTTGAAAACAGAGAACATGAAAATGTCATCTTCCATTATCATTTTAATAGCATTTCAGTTTGTACCTCTTATTCCTGTAGGGCAGTATAAAGTAGAAAACAAGTGCTTCCTAGAAAAATCAAAAGCTGAGGCACCTTTTAATACCTTTTCTTGTGTATGTTTAAAATTTTCCAAATTTATTGTGGGAAGAAGGGGTTGGAGTTGACTGAGCATAAATGATGCCTCAAAATGGCTGAGAACAAGCAGCTCATGGCACTAAATTGGCAGAAGGCAGCCTGCTCCTTCTGGTTCTAGCTGTCATTACTGGAGGTCTTTTAACAATTTTATTCTTTGTACTAACCCTTTGTTCCTGATCATCATTAAAATGCCAAGAAGTCTCACATCAGTGAGCTTATTCTCAGTTAAAAGGACACCCCAGGTGCACAGCCTGTCTCAGCCCTTTCCCCTTGCCTGGTGAGGGCAGCGTGGTTCAGTGAGGACTCTTCAGTCACTAAAAGCCTCCGTTATTTCAGTTTGAGGCCAAGTGCGACTTGAAAATGCTACAAAGCACGAGGAACCTTACCTGTGTATGGGGATGCTTGTTGATGTTCACAAGATATGCAGTGTATATCACCGAGACATTATTCAAGTACAGCAGTACCAGTTATATTTGATAACTATAAACACTTTATTTTTACAGTATATAAAAATATAGAAACATAATACTATACGGAAAAATAAAGTTAAAAATGAGATTGGGAAGATCTCTGCTTAAGAAGAAAGACAAACAGGATCGTGCTGTGCAAGCCCCAGACTTCAGAAAATAAAATTGTTCTGGCAGTTCAAGTGGTGGCACACTCAATCCAAACAGGAGAGATGCTGCTTACCAGGGCCAGGGCCAGAGGCGTGCCGAGGGATACCTTCCCAGCACAGGAAACTCATTTTGCAGCTTCCAACATCCTTGCAAGTTTGCTTTCATTAAGTATACAATGAAACCTAAGTCCTCTTTCACGATCTGACTTGGAGATAAACATTCTCACACCCCTCAGCGTATCTGTGGTGGTCAGGGTGCTAAGAGCTGGCTGGAGCTGGCCAGCACACAGCTCCGGCGCTGCGATCCCACCCGAGGGGCTCAGCTTTCTGTACGGCTGCGAGCCTGTGGCACGCTTGCTCACAAATACAACCAGAAGCTGTCTGTGACCGGCCCGTGAACTGGTAACTGTGATTTAAGGAAGGCAAAAGGTCAGTGAAAGCAATCTGATGAAATCCCCGAGTTTCCACCAGTTCTTCAAAAAAAAAAAAAACAAAAAAAAAACAAAACAAAAAAAACCTAAAAAAGAGCAGCCAGTATTTATTTCCAGGGTACTGTGTATTTCAGTACATTGCCGTCTTTAAGGGAGGACAGCAAAGACTTCAGCAGCCAACAGTACAAGGACCATCTCCTCCTCTTTACTTGTACTTCTCTAGTTTCATCTTCCACAACCAAACTGTCCAAGTTTGCTTGTGGGTGATGCAGAGAAGAGAGAAGGGGAAGGAAATGGGGGCAGAGAGTTAAGGAATTACAGTGCAAAGTATATGCTCATGGAAAAAAAAAAAAAAAACAAAAAAAACACAAAAGAAAAAGGTTCTCTGTAGATTTTCCAAGCCTGTGCTCTCCATGGCTACAAAACAGGGTTTGTCCTCATCAGGCAGTAACTGCCAACTGACCCTAGACCTTCAAAAGAACACCGGAGCATGTTCTCTAAAGCAGTGAACTTGCCTTTACACTGAGTATCAGCCATACTAGCAAGATGCCAATATTGCCACCTTTTCATCACCCAGTAATCACAGCAGGACTCTGCAGAAAAGTGCAGTGGGAGTCTCAGGTCTTCAAGTTCTTCTTATTTTGTGGATTCGTAGAAGGAATTTGCAAGTCCCTGTGCTGTATTCACACTGGAAAAAAGTGCAGCAACACACACTGGAGACAGTCCAAGAATTACTGCTGTGCTGAGGCAGCTTGCGGAGTTTGACTGAAGAAAATTTGACCAAAGAAGAAATAAGGGCAGACCTAAAAGGGAAGATGGAAGAAGGGAATTGCTCCAGGCAGCAGCGCATCCCAGTTCCTGCCTACTGCCAGAAAGGTGCTGCAGGGGTTCCTGTCGCCTGTGAGCGGCCACGTGCAAGACAGCAGAGCTGGGCCGGAGCGGTGGCGTAGGGTTGATCAGCATCACGTTTAGGAAGCACTTCTGTGGCAGGCACAGGGACACTCTCACTGCCACTTGTAGATCTTCACCATCTTCTCGGTCAGAGTAGCCAGGAGGTGGGTTTGGTTCACTTCCAAGGGGCAGATATCCAGCACAGGCAGGTCAGCCTGCAGCTTCTGCAGCAAGGAGCCACTGCCAGCATCCCATAGCTGTGGGACAGAGAGGGTCAGAGACTGCAGGAGTCCCCCCTCCCATCCAAAACAGAACTTCCTCTCTAGAAAGACCTTCCTCAGGTTGCTTACAGGACCCTTTCTCTGCTTTCACACCCTGACTGGATGGTCTTTAACAGACTCACGCATGATGTCACCCAGACTGCCCTCTTCTCTGATCCTGACCCATGAGCTCTCATGCAGCCTGTTGTCCGTCCTCTGCAGCCAAGCTGCTTTTTCATATAAAGGGTAATCCTTCTCCTCATCTTCCCCGTCAGGCCTAAAGAGCCTGTGTCCAGCCCTCACAGGCAGCACTTCCCACCTTAGCCATCCCGCCAAGCCTGTTACACCACTAACAGCACCCAGTTGTGCCAGTGTGCCCAGCTGCATTCCTCTGGTGGACCACAGGGGCTTGCTGCCTACATTCCTTTCGATGGATGTGGACCACAGGCCTCGGCTGATACTGAGATTCCCACACTATCAGGAAGTTACACCTGCTCTAGCAAGTACAGCAGACCGACCCACACAGGATAACGTGTGTGACAAGACAATTCCCACCAAAACACACCGATGCTGTGACTGACAAGGCTTCTCTCCTAAGAATTATAATAAAACCCTCCACCAAACTGAAAGGAATGAGAGATACCAGGGCAGATTTAGATGCCTCGTCACCAGCACACACAAAGATGCTGCCGTCCTCCTCCGGGCTCTGAAAAATGGCATTCTTGGTCAGCAACTTGCAGGTCGGCCCAGCACTGAAAGTCTGAACCGGGTTAGAAGAACACACCACGTCCTCAGAGGTCTCTGTCAGTGGGCTGCAAGTCAGTTCCATCAGCACACAACGCACACATGGGTTATTTTTACCTGCGTGGCAGAAAAAAAAAAAGAGGTAGCCTTTGAAAAACTGAATTGCAGACAAGTTTTATCTCTAGGAATACAAGCAACACCGCCCTGCAGCTGCCTCCTTTTGCCCTCGCCCGATTCTTATCTATGTGCAGATGCTCATTGCTCTGGCTAGAGCAGCTACTACATTTCTGCTGTGCCCTCAGCACCAAAGCTGCTGCTGAACTCAACGAGCAGCAGGCCAGAGTGGCAACGAGAAGCGCGCTGCAGGCGCGCGCCGTTACGTACTGGGCCTGTATGTTGCAAGGCAGTGCCGTGTGTTGATCTCTGTCTGAATATCGATGCATCCTCCAGGTTCCAGGGGCAGGTGATGTGGCTGGTAGGAGTTGCCAGCTTTCTGTTCCCAAAAGCAGGCTCCTTCCAAGGTCCCGGCTAATATTCCACCGTGAGGCAGTGAGGCCGAGGCCATCCGGGGCAGATAGGACAGCGACACCATGGGACACCTGAAAGTGTGACCGGCAAGAGTCAGTGCTGCCAGCTGCAGCCACGCCAGCGTTCTGCCTCACTACTACAGAGCTCGTCTCACCAACCAGATTGCAAAGCAAGGGCCTAAGCAATCTACAAAATGGTCCCTCAAGCAAGGAACCCCAATGGGTTTGTCAAGAATAAATTCAACTGAACTACTGAACCTTATGTTTTTAAAGCAGCAGAGCGAGCACACGTCAGATGTGTGTAAATCAGCATTTGATTCCCTAAGTAGAAGAGATGGAAGTACCAGCATCTCACACCTCTTTGTGATTTGTCCTTTCCAAATTAAATACTAAGCCCAACTCCAAAACAAATTCAGTTCTCCTACTCAGGCAGCACTGATGGGTCCATTTCTGACCACTGTGTGCCCTGAAAAAAAAAATGCAGGTGGCAAGCACTCATACTAAGTTATATATGTACCATGTAACCTTATGAAAGACTTCTCACGTCTGTGCTAAATTTTAATTTTTGAACAAGAGATTCACATAAATCAATTTAAACTATTGAATTGCTGAGTGATTTATGGAAGAAGCTATGTTTAGCTTAGTGTTTATTAGTAAAGTTGAAAGGAATGAAAAGTTCTTTTGCCGTACCTGGACTTCTGAGGGACTAGCTCCTGGACATGAGAGTTTGTGTCTCTCAAATCATATATCATGATAGAGCCATTGATCAATCCGGCGTAGATGTAGTTTGTATCATCAAGACACCAGCAGCAGCTCCAGACTGGACGGCCAGCATTGTATGTCTGCACCACAGTATTTGTTGCCAAGCTGCAGAAGAAGAGCAAAGTGTTGGCCTGCTGCACAAGCATCTACTGATGAGAAAATAGCGTAATTAAGGTAAGGAAATGTAGCTTTTTAAACTCTTTAGACAGAAGCATCTCTCCTGACTGAATTCTGAATGAACTCCTCCTTTACTTCAGATACGAATCTGGAAAATCTAGACGGAATCATCACTTGGATAGTGTCACGTGATTTATAATTCTTCCAGGCCAAGGCTTCTTTTTCCAGATTGATTTGTGGAGACTGGGAAAGGAAGTCTCAGAGCAGGGTCTCAGCTGCCTTACTGGAAAAACAAAGCTAAGTTACTTTTCTGGAAACAATTAGAAGTGACTCTAGTGTAATCCTGTAATACTGCATATTCCTGAGATCACAGGGCTCATCTCTTCAGATTACAATTCTCATTATTTTTTTTTTCCTGTTTTCGTTTGTTTGGTTTTTGTTTTTATACAAGAGGAACACTGCTTATGCCTCAGAAGAATCCCATTCAAGCAAGAGTGAGACAGTGAGTGGGGTAAAGACAGTTAAAAGGACATGTAGTGTTAATTCTTTAGAAACTTAATTTATGGAAGGAAGAAGAAGAAAGTATACAGAGGGGCACAACCCAGAATAGCAGATGAAGTTGGTGTTGGATTAGAACGTAATTGCAACAGGCAGTGTTGTCAGCACAGGCTCAGCACATTGAGAACAGTGTGAGACAGAACACAGCACCTATCAGAGTAACTCTGGATACCCTTTGCAACACATGGGTTTCTCGCTGGGGGAGGCAATTAATGCTCAGAACTCCAGAGAAGGAAGTAATTGCTTCCAGGTAAGTACAAGGGGAACAACCACATAGACACCTGGCTGGGGAAACAGGGAGTTTGATATCAGAACAGTGACTGGTTCAAAACAACAGGAAAAAAACCCACAAAGTCATGGTGCTATTTGAAACACTTGCAAGCCAGAGCAGGAGACTTGGGGACTTTTTGTGTAATTCCTTTTGGTAGGATAACTATGAAATCACTAACTCAAAAGATGACCAAAGGGGGACTTTTTCTTTCAGAGGGAGAGAAAGAAATATAAAGATGCTGCCGAAGCAAGCACTTAACTCCAGGACATTTTGGGATCAAGCACAAAAGCAGAAGGTTCACAAGTTCTGATGCAGACAACCAGGCAGCGAGAGGCAGATAGGGGAGTGAAATGTCTAAGCAGATACTGCAATGAGAAGCCACTCTTCAGATTGAACCAGGAAAAAAATATCAACCTCATCAGTTAGAAATCTGACATGCTGACTTTAGCATAGGAGACAGACAGTTTTGTTTACTTTTAACTGGTCTAGCAAACATTTCAGCATGGGAAAACAACATTCTTTACATTTTTGTTGCAGTATCAAGTTCTTTCCATTGCTTCACTTGTGGGAAAGAATTGGGACTAATCAGTCATATAACAAACATATCTTGCCTAACCCTACAACTGAGTGACAGACGTGCATAAAGATGTTAATATAACTCAGTAAGAATCAGCCAACAAAGTTTTGAAGCAGCTTAAGATCGAAGAGCAGCAGAGTAGGAAGGAAACACAGTCATAGGCTGTAAATTCTAAGAGGACTGGACACGTTTTTCTCTCAGCCTCTGCATAATTAGGATAGTCTCCAAATAGTCTCCAGTGTGCTGCTTTAAGCCTCTGCTAGCTCTAGAGAACCCATGTTCCTCTAGCATGTGCTCTACAGTGCTGTCTACACCCTTCATATCCAAATGAATTCCGTGCTCTGCAAGAAGTTTAACATCAGAGAAGCCAGGGAAGTGTTAGTGCAGGGAAGAAAACACCCAACCTAAACACCCCTTGTTTCCGTTTCATGCCATACGAGTTCCCATGCTCCACATTTCCCTACAGTAATAGAAAAATAAGTGGAGAGTAAATTTCGTATCTATACATTATGATATGTTTGTTCTCAACACAACTTGGCCAATCTGTCCTGCATTCCTTGTTTTCCATCAGGAAAAGTATCACAGACAGGTAGCTCCAGAACACCTCCACCTAGATCTGAAAGCATGAACAAGTCTTTCCCTCTGTTAGCTCCCACGTGCAGGGAGAATACGCAGACCTGATCTCACCTCAGCAGCATCTTTTGGAAAGCAGAATAGCAAGTGCTGCAAGACATTTCTAGCAAGATAGAACAAAATCCAACCCAGTCTCCTGCACATAAGCAAAACTCTGCTGGGACAGGGCTCACCTGGTAAGTTTGAGAGTGTTGTCCAGAGCAGCAGAGAGCAGCAAGCCATCTGTTCGACTGCCAAAGGCCAGGCCCCGAATCTGTTTACTATGGATGGGGATGTACTGACTGCTCTTCAGGTTGGCCACACTCATCATCTTAACTCCACAACCTGTCACAGAAGGAAGATAAAACAGGTTATTGCAAAGCTGCATACGTGTAGAGCTAGCAATTCTATGCCAGAACTACGATGTCTGTACTGAAGCCAGTGGTGCGATGAACACGTAAAAGTTACTTGCTGCTCTGGATAAGAACTGCCTCAAATCATTCTTTAGTTCAAAAGGCAACAGGTCTAAATCCTTAAGGATGCCAGCCAGCAAGAGCAAACTCAGTATCAGTGTTACCATTCTTGTTACAAGAGCCTGCTGCTCTTTTAGCCAGTTTCTTCAAAGACATTCTTGCCTAGATAAAAACACACGCAGTAGGATTACATGGCTATTTAAGAGAGCAAGCACCACTGCAAAGAATGGTTACAGGTGAACTTAACCTGTGTGCTACAAGAGTCACCACAAAGCCTCCATTCAGAGATTCATTCCCTGGCTCCAAAAGCCAGAAAAATAAGGTCAGTTGAATGCAGAAAACAATTTTATTATGCCTAGATAAGGCATACTAATCTCAAAACCATTAACCAAATAAAGTAAGTTTTGTCATTCAGAAAGCATTGAAGTACTTTGCAAATAAACTCTCTCAGACTCCTAATGCTACATCTATTTCATTGAAAAAGCAAGTTGGTGCTGGTCCAATTATCAGGTCACTTGCCCCTGCCCATAACAGTGAGACAAAACCAGGGCTGACCATGACTTCTTGGCCTCCTATTTCCTCAGTGGGAAACAGTGCTCCATTCTTTCATATTAAAAGGTTTTGCCCCCCTCCCCCCCTCCCCCTTTTTTTTTAAAGGGTATTGACAAATGAGCTGCATGTGGCACCTACGGTTTGGGAAGCAATATGCCTCACTCAAGCACTGGAAGCTTCTCTGCAGGCCCTAGTGCACTGGTCCCTTGTTCTTTCAGAAGAGCCACCTTTGCAAGGCACACCTTCTACCTTCTTGTGCATGTGGCACTTCAGCAGAAGAGCCAGAGACCCTCTGCTAAGGTTCTGCCATAGAAGTGACAGGGGAAACAAGCTACCTTGCTAGGCAGAAGCTACCAGTGCAGGGCCAGATGAGTCTTGTGAGTATTTCCAGTTTACAAGGCACATGCAGAAGTCAAGCAGAGAAGCAAGGAGCAAGTAGTCACCTATGAACCCCCAAGTCTTGACTTAATTACCAGGAATAAATGTAGATTGTGGAGAAGGCTGTGATACCACGAGACAACTCAGCGAGTCACAGTATGCCATTACTCTGCAGTTCCCAGTCTGAGACACCATAAAAGCCTTTTCCAAGTGGTACTTGCGCTGGCTTTGGCTGGAGGGCAGGCTGCCTGGGAGGCAGGTGCGGGAGCTGCCAGGCTGCTGAGAAGCACTCACATTGTGCTGGGCCACCAGAGCCTTCAGCTCCTGCAAAGGTAAAAAAAAAAAAAAAAAAAAAAAACACCCAAAGAGCTTTAATGTGTCACTGATGTAACCTTCCATGCTGTTCCAGATGCTCCGACGGTACTTGTTCTCAGATAAAAGAGGGAAAATATGGTCCCATTTCCACACTGGTCCTGAAACGCTGGATTTCCAAGTCCACCATGACAGTGAGCAACAAAAGCATTCAAATGCTATGCAAGTTCTGGCAAAATGTATTTAAAGTCTGTTATTGTATGTATTAGACCCTGTGAAAGTGAGGACTCTTGGGCAACACATAAAAGCCAGTAACAATTATTACCAGATCAATGCTATTTAGAAGGGAATGAACTGCCAAGTATTACATGCAGCTAAACCACAAGAGAAAGTCAATTAAAACCATTTTCCAGAATTTCCAGAATGCCCTATAAAAAAATAAAAGCCCAAGTTTCAACATAAAGGGTGTTGCAGGAAACAAGTCAGTCTATTTAATGCAGATGACCCTGTTCTTGTAAATCCTGGGCAGCAAATTCCAGGAACGATACAACTCTCGAGAGCTCCAGCCCTGCTTTCCGCCACCTCCTGCCCCTTTTTCCTCCACCTCAGCTGATGAACGCTCAAGGATGCTCAGCAGAAACATGGCCAAGGACAGTTTCCATCAGCAACAAGGTATTCTTAGAATTCTTCTTTCCACAGAGATCATCGGGGTGAGGTGGGTATGTGAATAGCAGCACTGGCATATTGTGCACCAACTAAAGATGTCCCTCAAAAAAGGATGTTGACCAACTTGTTGTAATCCAAGGGCAAAGCCAGACAGTACAGAACCCCAGGGATATTAGAGGGAGTGTACATATAAAGACAATTGCTATTTGCTTTTTGTTGTCTGAGCAAGATATGCATCAAATACTATGTAATTTTTAAACAATTAAGGGCCACAGGAGTGATACTATGAATATACTAGCAGATTGCAAGCTAGCTTCAATATTGAACCTGCCACTACTACTTAACTCATGTCTAAGCAAAGGCAGCAGTTCTCAAAGAAGCAAGATCAAAGATCAAGCTTTACATTAATAGTTATCAAGACCTGTAACTTTTGGAAACTGCTCAAGAGGAGAGCGATTCTGATATTTTACAGAGGTCTGATCTGTTTTGCACCAAGTGTATCGCAAGTTCCCCAAAGAAATAAAATTGAAGGTGAAGGCTCAAGATGACCCCATTAGAGCAAGCGAAGACAAAACAACCTGGGGAGGAAGAAGAGGTGTGGGGGTTGCTAGGACGCTTATGATGGAAACTACAGCTTTAGGCTTATGAGTAAGCAGTCAGTGAAAACACTGGTAACTTTGAAGAAAGTGACTTTTTATCAAAAATTTAACAAACTCACTATTTCTAAAAGGCAGGAGGATACTACCACTACTGTGGATCAGAAAAGATTAAAATTATTTGTTGCTCTGGGGAGTTTACAAAGCTCTCCTTGTCACCTGCACTCAACGCTCAACTTTTACACAAGTTATTAAAAAGGAAACCAGGAGATTAAAACCACAAGGACTATTAGTACAATGTTTACATTTAAACACAATGGATCAACATAGCAGAATCAGGAAGTCTTACTGGAGACACATTACCACGGTGATTAAAAATGTTGCTCTGCAGAACAAATTCCACTAATTGTGCTCAAAAGGGCACTCTCTTAGTAATGTAAGTCTACACCGTGCTTCAAGATACTTTGCAGAATTTTCCTGATGCCTGCCTGGTGTGAACTAAGGGCTTTGAGGGCAAACTTGTGCCTCAGCCTCCCAGATTTCAGCTTGCTGTTGTAGAATTGAATGAACGGAGTCACACTGGTTGGGGAAAGAAGAGGATACACAGCACAAGTCTTCCTGAGGAGTATGCATGAGAAGTAGAAACAGAGGAGCACAATGAGCAGGAAAGGAAAACCACCAGCTACAGGAAATTCAGAACAGTTTTCTTTTGAGTATTAGGTTACAGTCTTAATAGCTGATACGAAGCTTTAAAGACAAGGCAGTTATCAGATGACTGTCACTCTCTGGCTGTGCTCCCAGGGACCTCTTGCAGAAGCCCTGCCCGCTGTCTCACACCACACAGCCCCAGCCCTGCGCTTAACAGAGAAACACAGGACTGTACAACCTCGAGCTGCAGTGCAGCAAGCACTACAGGCATTCCACCTGCCTTTGGTTCACATTCAAATTCAGTCAAAGGGACACAAAGCGTTTTTGATTGGCTTCACTATAAGTAACAACTGAATGAAACATCAGCTTTTACTTCTTCTAGATCTTCCCCAGACATCAACCTGAGGTGAAGACAAAGAGGAAAGATTTTTATGCCATAAAACCCTTAGTCAAAAATATTTCTAAAAGTGTTAGGTTCACAAATTTTTATTGATAATTTGCCATCCAAGTCTTTTCGGATGTTCTGAAAATCCTATTTTAAAAAAGCTTTTCCAATACATCAAGCAATATAAACCGACCTCTGCAAGGCTCACAATTACACTTGCTTTCTTCTCCACAGCAGCATGCAACCTCCTGTCATTTCCCTGCCAGGCCTCCCTTTACGGCTCCATACGCAAACAGAGCTACCGTTTCCCACTTGCAGAAATGAATCTCCTACCCTAGCTGATCAGTGGTATTAATGCCAGAAGCCAGAGAAGGTTTACTTATTGTTAGATAAATTCTACCGAAAATAGCTCACATGATTCCCAAGTTCTTTGTGTTCACAAAGGAAAAACTCTAGGCAGAAGTAAGGCTTCAGTAGCACTGCTTCCAAAATGCAAATCTGAACCTGCCATGAAGTGTGCAGCATACAGCTCAGCATATCACACGCTGCAGGTTTGCAAAGAGAAACAACACTGGTGAGAGCTCTCTTCCAGAGTTTTAGTTAGCTACCTACCCTCTCTCCCATGTTCCTTTCCTCATCTATTTTCATATAGCTAAAGACTTAAACATCCCTTTTCCAGCCTCAATCATCTTAACTACTTCAACAACAAAGTACAAACACGTTAATGTTGTTAATGTAACTGTCTGTTAATGGACAAGAGCAGAGAAAAATGCATACAAATGCAAAAAAAGGTCATACCTAGTGATGTGACTGCTGATGAGGCACAGCTCTCAAGCACATTAGCAACAAAAAAGGATTCACACAATGACTTTTGGGGGGAAACAGATGACATTTGCTTTCCATAAGACTTCAGACAGCAAGGTTTGTATGCAACTAACAAACATAATAACTATTCCAATAAAGTTCTATGCAACTGAACTTTGCTACACCAAACATCCCTCTGAGCGTACGGCCATTTCACACATTTCTTTTGTAATCCCACAGCACTTTGTTTTCTATATTGACTTATAGCTTCCTGTGCCAGTTAAACATATTGTTTTCTTGTGCCATCAGCAGCATCACTTGCTGAAAGGACCAGGGCAACAGACTCAAGAGGTAACAAGGCAAGTTCAGATTAGATGTTAGGAAAAAAAAATAATTTCTCAGCGAGGATGGTCAAACAATGGAAAGTCCAGAGAGGATGTGCAATCTGCTTGCATACACTCGACACCTGGCGTGACAGTGCCCTGAGCAACCCAACCCAATGCTGAAGTTGCCCAACTAGGTTGGGCTAGAAACTTCCAGGGGTCCCTTCCAACCTAAACGACACTACGCAAGTAGCTGTTTACTAGATGACCTCTCATAAGACGAGGAATTAGTTAAGCATATCCTCAAAATATAATCAAACAACTTGGAGACTTATTCCAGACTTCCTGCTGATTTTCTGCTCCCCAGCAAATTGTTTTACTTTCAGTTTATTCATAGTATAAACAAACATCTTAAAATTGCTTCCAGCATTCGCATTATCCACTACAGGACAGTGATGAATGCAGTATAAATACTGAAACAGAGCTGAAAGAACACAGGGTACTTAATCTTTATAACATGTGACTTCAATTCAGTTAGACTGGATACTCCATCATTTAACACCAAAAGAATTGCAAGAGGACATTATGGACCTGCAGTTTTATCTCATTCACATTTTTCGTAAGCCCAAGTTTGAAGTGGACCAATTTTCTTATTAGCTCTGATGAGCATACAGGTTCATGCAGGAATTTAGGGAAGCAATTTATAAAGCCTTATCTTACGTCACACAGGAAGACTTCAGCAAAGAGGATGTTACTTAATGTACAAACATGAATGAATGGCCAGGGCTATTAAAAAAAAAAAATCCAGAAGTAGAGAAAAGCATAAAAGTGAGTTACTTGACAGCGAGAGATTAAATATTGTCTATTTCATACAACAAAAAAAGTAGCGAAGTGGCTATGAAGCAGGCTCTTGGAAAATCTAGCACTGGTGGAACATGCCAGGTAATTCACAGTTGGAAGCACCAGTAGAGTCCACAATTGACAAGAATCCTGTAAAAGCAGCTGTGATGGGTTACAAAATATCACAGTATTGCATAAGCCAGAAAAGAAGCAGTGGTTTAGCAACCAGTCATTTATTTTTAGTAATTCGTATTCTAAGGGGACAGAGGTGCCTCTTAGCAACTGTTCCACCTACCCTGCTGACAGGCCAGGTCTCATGGTACCAGAAGGTGCTTAAGTAGAATGCTGACTGACCATCGCAAAAAAAAAAAATAGGAGTTTATTATGGTTTTCTCTAGTTTTTGCAGATAGCCATACCTCTTCACAAACTATGTCTCAAAGAGTCTTGACTAGCTAGTGATAACAGGTCCCATTACGAGTTTACTGTACAGCTTTTCAAAGCTTATTGTGATGCAGCAAAGAGCAAGATGAAGAAATTAAGTTTGGTGTGTATTTCCAGGCACCACAAAACCTGGAGGAGGAACCTGCAACATCAGCAGCCAAAAAAACCCTCTACTGCAAAGCTATACATGCAACTTTGATTAAGCACCAAAAAAAAGTCAGCATTACATAGTATACATGAATATGCCAGCCTCAGCCTGGGACATTTAGGATACTCCTGATGATTCACCAGTTGAGTTTACTAAATCTTGCTGCTTATTAAAACCAGAAGCCTGTCTTCTCTAAGGTAACGTGCAACACACAGGTTGAAGAGAAAGGGAGCCCTCTGTTTTAGTGGCATGAGACTCACCTGAACCTGCTTGCGGAGTTTGCTGCATTCGTCTGTCAAAACCTGCAGCTGGAGACGGCTCTGTGCAGATTCCAGCTCTGCCTGTCTCCGCAACATTTGCTCCTTTTCTAAAGAGCTGGAGGAACAAGAGAAAAAACAACCCTTAGGACTAGGTATTACCTAGGATGCTTCTCTGGGCTGTCGACTCCTATCCTCAGAGTTCATCCCAACACAAGTCCTGTTCAGGTAAATTCAAAAGTTACAGAAAATCTGGTACTGCACTCATCTAGTGCACTCACCTCAAGATGTTCTCAGTTACACAATTGTACTGAATGACTCACTCAAGTGTTGTTCCATAGAAACAACAGCCTTTCCCCTCACCCTCTCCAAATATACTAATCTAGTAGAAGACAGTGAAAGAGAAAGCAGTTGGTGGTTTTTTTTGTTGTTGTTGTTTGTTTGTTTTTTGTTCCCATACAGAAACAGTTTAGCAAATTCTATACCATCAGTGTCCATGTCAGCAACAGAGCAAGATCTTCAAGCTTGTTGCTATTACCAGTAACTGATTTTGTATTTCAGGAAAACATAGCTGTATCAAAAATAGACAGATATCGGTAAATTCTCTGTGAATGTCCATATAATAGCCATACTTACTACCTCACCTGGAGCCTAAAAGTGCACACACACCATGTAGCAGCAGGAGCAGCTTTGATAACATACTCAATTTCTCATTCATATAGGCTTTACATATAAAGTAATTGTTAGAGGAGCAAGAAAAAACAGTATTCCTTGAAATGATCTGTACATTTGCTCTGTAGCGTTGACCACTGCGTTCTGCACTTCAACAGCTGCAATATTCCAGTTATTTCAGCAGTTCATGTGCAGGGAGATCTAGCTCGCCTAAGCACCTTCTAAATATACAGACCAAGCCTTGCACATTCACAGTGCAGTCGTTTCCCTGTACCTTCTTCACGCTATTTTTTTTTTCTTGCAGAAAAACCAGGTGAAATCCTGTATTTAACCACTGCAAACACATTCTATACACAAGCACCCGGAGCCCGAAGGCTGGCTTTTCTGAATGTGAAGAACAAAACCCACGATCTTCTACCTGATTCAAGGCTATGTGCAAACCATATTGATGCATGCATCAGTGATCACATTTGTCCTCCGGTCGTGGCTGTGTGCCACAAAGCAGCCGCTGCCAGCGACTTCACTGGCCTGACAGGCAGTCACTGCTGCCTGCCTCCCAACAAAAACAGGAGGCAGAGGAGATGCAGGGCAAGTGGGGAAGGGCTGCAGCGAGATTCTCAGACACAAGCAGCAGTTAGACAACTACTTCTCCGTGAGGGATAACAAGATTTAAACACCCAAATGCCTTCTGTGCTTTTGAAAAAAAAAAAAAATTCTATTTATCGTTTGGTTTGCAGTGTCAATCCAGTGAAAGAAGTGTGACTCTTCTAAAGGTACAGTTCAAACACCATCAGGCAGTGGCAATCTGGACAGAAGAGATATTTTCCCTTCATGACAGTTACCCCTCAATCATTTCTGATTAATAATTACCAAGATAGCAAGGTTTCTATTGAAAGACTGCATTGAAAGTACAGCAGTGTAGTCAGAGACATGTCAAAGACAACCCCAATTAAATTCTATTCACTACAAGATTCAAGAGAACTCTGATATCTGCAGCCTTTTAATTTCAGAATAATATCTGACAGCATCTTCCTGAAAAGAAATTAGTCTCCATTTTCATACCCGCTTCTCCTTCTTTCAATAAAAAGTCTACATTTAAGTTGGAGAGGGAAGTAGAGTCATAGTAATGCTTGCTGACCTTTTGTAAGTAAAGCTACATGAAGAGTTTGACAAAGCAAGATGGAAAGTGATTCATGTGAGAGATTACTCTGTTTAATGGATGCAGAAAAGATGGCAGAAAAGGTCAGCTATTCAACCCCTTGCATTTCTGACTATGCCTCGCTTTTCTCATGTAATGATGAATTAGCAATATGGGGCTTTTTGGCAACAACTCTGCATGTTCTCCCATGATGACATTTCAGGATACAGCTACTTCAAGTGCTGCAAAGCACAAACTCAAGAATTCTGTTCCAAAAGAAAATTCACCTCTCAGGTAAGACATGCAACCCAGCAAGACCTTGGTTTGTTAAGCCACTCGTACTCATGATAATCCCCAAGAGGATGCACAAATTGCTTTAGACAATACAGGAAATTAAAGCATGAAGTAGAAGCCAGACTGCAGCTTCCAGTGGCATGCAATCAGTGAGGTCATACCTTTATGTGGAGGCTCCATACCTTTTCATGCGTTCCTGTTCACTGGTATCCAGCGCTGTCAAAGTGCGAGCATACAGGACCACAATGTCAGAACGTTTCGCTTTCTTATTGCACTGAAATAAAAGACAAGTTCAGTTCATCTGCAGGAATTTAACTATCCAAACTACGCATCCCTACAAGCTGCTAGGTATTATTTTGAAAAATCTTTATAGCTTTGAAGGGAGGGATTGTCTACTTGAAAACAAATCCACAAAACCACAAATATTAACATAGTGGTTTTGCAAGACACCCTCTCATACAGACACCAGAGCTCTAATTGGGCCTAAAAGAACAGTTTAGGTCATGTATCCTATTGCACCTTTAATAATGCATCTTCTTACTTCCCACTAAATTTATTTTGCTAAAAACACCACTGACGCAGCTTGGTCAGGTAAGTTCCAGGGACAAAAAAAAAAAAAAAAGGCAAACAAAAAAAACCAAACAGAACCAAAACAAACCACAAAACAAAGGGCAAAAGGGAAGAAAAAAAATCTGAAAGAAAACACCAGCCCAGCCACTATTTCAAAAACATCAAGACTGGCTGCTTAGCCAGATTTAGGAACCTCAGAGTATACTCCCAACTCTGTTACTGGCGTACTATATTCCTTTAATCAAATCCTATAGGCCTAAATCCATAAAAGCATTCCATTATCAGTATGAAACACTGACATCCCGCTGATTTCAGCGATACACGGGGAGTCAGATATTTCAATAATTTTGTGCATCTGGCTGCAACCATTTAGTACTTTAGATTCACCTTAAAAAGGAGGGATAATACCTCCCCCCTGAGTTGGGACTCGGAAGAAATTATGGCATCTGCAAGCTTACTGTTCTGCAAATATACTTTGTTGATCAGAAAAGAGGCAGTGACTACTCAAATCAAGTAACCTCCGCTACCCATTGAATTACTATGTGCACTTAAAATGTGGACTTCTCTATTCTTTGGTAGCACGAAGATATCACAGGCAACAGTTTCAGATCAGACAACCTCCCTCCCTTTGTAAAAGCCAGCCTTGCAAAGCAGAAAGTGGCTAAGACAGCCTTCCTGGCAACCAGCAGCTGCCATTGGCAGGATCAGGAACGCTGCACTTTCACAGCAACCTGCGCTCAAGCCACTTAGTATACAGAGCACCATGCACAGAAACTCTGTGCTGTTCAATCTGAGAATGCCCAGTCGCAAAGGACAGTGGCTGAAAACAAAGGGAAGAGGATTTAGCTGCAAGATTCTCTCCAGAGCAAGTTCTCCTAGGAAGTTTTCAGTAATTACATCACTGGAAGAAAAAGAGGGAGCAAGCACCCCTTAGGATCTGTTAGGGTTCAGGAAGAAAGCAGTCACAAATTTCCAAATAAAAGACACCGGGAAGATGTCTGAGAGTTCTGTCTGGGCCAGGAGTAGCTGAAGAAAAATTTACACAGAATTGACGGGGATGAGAAAAATAAGGTTTGGGCCTTTGCTATGGCAACAGTGATTCTTTAGGTTTAATGTCAGTGCACGTCAACAGAAGTTTAATTGTGCAGGGTTCCCTCCTCTCAACAAGTCAAGCAAGACTATGGAAGCTCTCAAAATGATAAAGCCAAAGAAAAGCTGGGCTTCCAGCCACTGACTCGGAAAGCAGCAGAAATGAATCCTATTTCCAAGGTACTCATTGACCTAATTTTTGTTGACATTCCCTTCTGGAGAAAAGGAATAAGGAATGGAAGCACATCACTGAGGCCTAATCAAAAGAGATCAGTACTACCCAAGGAAACAAAGCCAAAAAAGCACCTTAAAAAGCAAATGGACTTTAAAGGATGCAACTTGCTTCTCAGTTCGCTCTCTGCAAGCTACCTAAACAACCTACTTAAAGGTTGCAAAAGCAGCTAAAGTTCAAAACAGAAGATTAACTGACCAAAACCAGTTCTCAAACAGATTTCTTGTCCAATAACATACTGTTTATACTTAGTTAATTGCTTCTAGGAATCTGTTTGCCATTCCCACACTCCAGGACCAGAGTGCAGTGCTTTAAAACCAATCACAGGTTTAGCACTTGATCTGTCAAACTTCTGAGTCTGCTACTTGCAAATGCTCTACTTGAGGGAGAAAATCCAAGTCAGAATTGTCCCTTTAAAGCAGTGCTACTTGCTCCTCGTTTATTTACATCAAAATAAAGGTGATTTTTGTTACTGCTGACAGCAGGCAAAGGTGGATTCTTCATGCAGCGAGTTGTAACAGTTACGGTGAGCACGCCTGCAGTGTAAGCCACCCAACAGCAAGTCCTTTCCTGTGCATTTAAGCGTCCATTTTACCTGGGGGCACTTCCCTGCTTGTCCCTTGAGCCACCTTTCAATGCAGGTGTAACCAAATAGGTGTCCGCACCGCAACGTTGAGAGACGGTGGTCCCCAGCATTGGTCCACGGCTCGAAGCAGATTGAACAGGTGTCCCCTTCGTCCTCATCCGGCAGCACAACAGGAACCGATGGTTCCAGTTGCTTTAGTGGAGTTCTCTAGGATTAAAAATAAACAAACATGCAATTTTTTGAGAGAAATGTGGCACTGACTGTATTTAATCCAAATACATGATGACCAAAAGCATTTAGGTCATCTTACCTGCTTCTGCTGGATTTTGACCTCTTCACTTTCTTGATTTCCATGTTCTGCAGAAGCTTGAGACAAAGCTTGAGGCGGCTCTACTTGGACCTCCCTGGAAACTAAAGAGAGCACTGCATAAATGAACTGATACATAACAGGGGGAAAAGGAGTTCTCCTTGAATTGATCAAAAATCATCACAGCATAAAGTAAGCAGTGCAACAACAGCACGGGTTACATACAAAGCTTCAGATCAGCATCCTGGATCCTGAAGGTCAAGCCGTGTGTGTGTGTTAAGCCTTTCTATTCACCCATGGTAGTGCTGAAGAACCTTATGCTTTCTTTTGTAGAAAGCAGCAGAATTTCAGCATATTCGGTGAAAAAGGAGAGGTTTTTCTAAAGACAGCGATTGCATTTTCTGACCTGCTGGAAACAATTATGTCTGAGTACAGATCTCTAGATGGGCTGATTTAAGGACAGAACCCTGCATCATTATGCCCGGAGAAAGACAGACACCAATATGAAGAAGTTATTTTGCCAAGGGATCTAAGCATACGTATTTCATGTGCCAAGAAAGCATTTACCATATGCTATCTGCCCATTCACCCTGACTTAATCAGTTTTCCAGCTGGTAGTTATCCGAACTATCAATTCTTCTGGGCCATATGTTTTTTGTGGCGGGCCTCTGTTAGCCCTTCTGTTGAAGCATGGGCACACAGAAACATTACGTTTGGATTACATTACAACCACTAGCATACTAAAAAAGGAGCAGAAATCACTGCCTCGCCCCATCTCCTGATAAAACAAAAGAGTTTAGTCACATTTAGTATTCGAGGCAGATATTCTGAATCCAGGAGAGAGGTATCACCTAACCCTGGCTAATGTCAATGAAGTTTTCAGCCTCCATGGTTATGGGCTGAATAGGAACCAGTGGCTTATATAAGCAAAAAATACAAGGGAATTCCAGAAAACCCTACAGAGAGCATATGTTCACACAATATTAGACAGCGCTTAACAGCTTGAGCTCCTGTCACATGTACGACTAGCTCAGAGCAAGCTGAATGAATCTGTTCAACAGACGCCTCCTAGATGTACCCTCAAAAAAGGTGTCAAGGTGAGCTGCCCAAACTAAGGGCAGAGAGCAAAACATAAAGACATTCCTTAGAGTCCGAAGTAAAAAAATAACCTTGTTCTCATATTCTCTGGGTATCAATAACCTTGACTAGCAAGTTAACTATTTGTCACTCTTACATAAACTGCGTATGCTCACCACAAACAATGTCAGTGAAGTGCGTGGCAGCCTGTGAACATGAGTCTGGATAAAGGACTGCAAGACAAAACTGAGGTAAAAAAAAAGACAAACAAAGAGCCCGCTGTCCTAAGTATCTCTACCTCCTCAGCTAAGTGTCACGGGAAGTTCCAGCAATGAAAAGAAAACTCTAAACTGAAGCAGAATGAAATCGCAGATCATTAAAAATTACTGAATCAGATCCTTCTCTGAAAACTGAAAGCACTGTTGATCTCCAGAGATACGACCTGATGTTTTCAATAATACCCCTTGGTAATATATAACAGCAGAAGTGTGCTAAGTACTAATCTCTAAGGTTGAAGTTATTCTGAACATTTCCGGGATTATTTATAAGCAGCAGCCTGCAAACAGCAAAAAGCCTGTATTTAACATTACAGTAGCAATCACCCGTTGCTGCTTCTGCTCTTAGGAACTGCTTGCCAGAAAGCCTTGTGGTAGCAACCTGCTCCCATCAGCTGCGGGCATAATGATCTCTTAGCACCGTCTGTTGTGAAGCTTGAAAGGATTTCCCCACTGAGTTTTGAAACAGCAAGGTGAGTTTCTGAAGTCAGTCTCTACGCAGCTCAAATACAGCACAAACCTCCCGAGCTACCTGCTGGAGGTGTCTCCTGGGCTGCTGGCAACAGCGGCGCTGCAGCCTCCGCCGCTTCCTCCTCCTCAGCAGAAGAGCTGCTGTCAGAGCCGCTCACTACTACTGTTTCGCCTGAGCTGTGTTCCTGGTTGTCCCTTGCAGTATGTGAGGGCTCCAGACGTGGGACTGGTCCTGTAGCTGGCTCTTGGGTCCTGCTGAGTTGAAAGTAACTGTCCAATGCTGCCCTGAGTCCAGAAAAGCAAGAAATAAAAGCCAGTTATTTCAGGTAAGCTAAAGGCTCAGCACATTTCTCCACACTTGTTTGCAGTAAAACTCCTAGGCTCTTACTGCAATAGGAGGGTATCAGTTATCAGGACAGACCTTCTCTGGTAGAGGGGCCATCCCATACAATTGCCCGCTTTACAAACAATCAGCAGTACCATACAGCAACCGTTCATTTTGCTCAGCTCAAAGAATCTCCTTCTTGTTACAACAATGATGTTGTCTTCTTTTGGGGTGGGGTGGTGGTGGGGTTGGAGAAAAGAAAAGCAAAGACGACGTAAGTATTGTTCACTAATAGCCTAAGAACTCCTAACCTGTACTTAAAAGCCTAACTCAAACCTGGTTCCCAAAGCGAGTGCCATTATTAGATGCACAAGGCCTGTATCAGAGTCTCATTCCATTGACTCCTCTTTGCCTAGTCCTTCTGCTTTCCCTCTTCTTTCCTACTGGCACTTCATCCCTGGATAGAAACATCCTCCCCTCTCCCCCCCATCAGTTCAGCTATAATCTCCATTATCCTTCCAATTCAAAAAGAGAAGTTTGTCACGTTGCCTTTAGCCCTGAGAACTCCAGCGACCTTCACATGCAATCCAAGGGCAAACAGTAGTTATGTTTAATCATCTGGGAGGAGAGGAGTTCTTGCTCTCACTGAATCTAAAGGCAATACTCCAGTTAATTATCATGTTGCCCTTGGCATTTAAAAAAGCAACAAAGATGAGGCAAAAAACAAATAAACCAAAAATGGGTATTTCTTTCTGGCTAGAGAGCATCACTCTTTGAACTCATCACAAATGGTATCAAACTGAGTTTTTACTTTCTTTGCCTGGAGATAACAAAAAAACCCTTACAGAAAAATATTAGTTTGCATGTTTGTGAAAGCTTCTGCAGCAATTGTCATTAGAAAACCTAACCAGGCAATCCCCAAGTCAAAGGTGAAATGCAAAACAGAACACAAGCTCCACTGAGCTAAATGCTGGCTGGAACGGCCAAGAGTCAGCACTGCTGCAGGAAGCACCAACAGGATTCTGGCAAAGCAGAGGCAACAGCGTGAGCAGAAGCTCTGCAAGCAAGGTTAAAAGTGTAGAAGGGCTCAGAATTCAACACCACCACTGCCAACGTAAGAAACGGGGGGATTCACTTAACAAGAGCAAAGATCCTGCCAGAAGGGATCAGAGAGCGCTTTGCCATTATTGAGCTTAAAAGACATGTGAGCTGCCCAGAATTTGGCCACAACCTGGACCGAGCTGGGCTCTATAAGCCAGGAAGCAAGGCAGTTTTAAACTGATGCCAGACTTGGCAAGAGGGAAGTTCAGCCCCAACTTTATTTCTGCTTTACCTGGCACTGACTGTCCTCTGGGAACCACCAATTCTCCGTTGCCTGCGAGCATTCCTCACTCGCGGACGCTGCGTGAGCTGTGGCAATGGCTGATATGGATCAGATGCCCCTTGTAGCCTTTGCAGTCCATTGAGAGCCACGGAGGGACCCAACTGCAGGTCAGGCTCAGCAGCTGCTTCCTGTGTATCAGCATTTAGTATGACAACAGCATCATCAGCAGGAAGAACTGTAACGTTGCCTCCTCCTTCACCAAGCACTGGAGCACGGGACGACAGTGCTGCGGGACCAGAGGGCTCTGTGGGAAGCATCCCGAGGTTCTCTACAGAGTAACCAGACACTGGCTGAAGATCAACTTCCATCTCTTCTTGAGCCATTTCTGCAAAGAATTGAAGAAAACTAGTATTTATTTGCAAGTGTGTACCCTACCTCTAGCCTAATGGTAGCAAGAATCAGGTGCAGCATGTCAGTGACTACAAAAGCCTTTAGAATTCAGACTTGAAAGAAAATTTGTCCTTTTGCAGCAGAGCTAAACCATTTCAAGTATGTGAGCTAGTAAAGCAGGCAGCACCCTCCGGAGTCCTGGACTCTGAAGTCTTCAGCTCGACAGCAACTAGCACCAAAGGCACATCGCAAAATTGACTTAAGTATGCCTTTGGATGAATATGGAAAGTTAAGGATGTCATGCTGGCATCATTTACTTGCCAGTAAATTCATGGGGATCTTTGAGAAGAGGATTTGGAAATATTCTAGAGCAGCACTGCACCAACACCCACAACTACAGCCAGAAACAAGCTCTACAATTCAGTCCTTTGTCTGTTCCATTGCTCTCTCTGGAGGTGGGTTTATTTTCAAGTTTTTAGAATAAAATTCTATTATGGTAACAGATCACTGTCACCCTTACCCATAGCTCACTAACAGGCCCTTCAGGTACTTTATACCCACCAACACCACGCAAACCCGGAAAGGGTGTCACAGCAGAACCCACGGTGGAAATGTTACAGATAGCAAGTTACCAACAGCATCAGCATTTGTGGATCCATATTCAGCCTGACACTAGATAAACATGAAATTTGCAGTAGAGCTTCACATATATTATTTAAGGATGATTGCCCTGCAGACACCTTTGGGATAAAGACTTCAGGTTACCTCCTAAATAGGAGCGCTACCTTAGGTTTGAAGAACAGAGGAGACAACAGTCTGTGCATTACTAATTATTATGCTGCCATCAGCCATCAAATTAGAGCACTTTAGTCACCCTCTTCTACAGGCTGTTTTACAACACACACAAAAGTTCAAGATTATTTCATTAAACAGGTGTGGCAAAAAAAAAAATAAAGTCCTTTTTTGGAGGGAGTGTGCAGATTAAATTCTGCAAGCTGCTGAAGGTCATTCGCATTCTCAAAAAATACTTAGGCAATCTTAAACCTGAAAGGCCTTGGGAGTTGTAGACCTTTAACATTACTTAAGAGCCCACAGCACACACTAAAATTTATTAGGCTAGGCACTGTGCAAACAAAGCCAAGGCTGCTTTCAGTACAAAGAATAACCAGAAAATGTATTTAAGAATTAGTAGAGTGGGACGTACTAATGCTCACACATTTTTATAGACCTTTTAAGAAATTCTAACTTACAAATCATTGTATAGTTCTTATCCTAATTACCAGTTCAGCCTTAGCTAGGCCAAAAATAGATGTTAAATGCCACGACTCACCAGAACAGGCATACAGTCAAGATATAATAATATTCAGTGATCAGGTACTGCTACTCTAACACAAAACTCATGTTCATGATATAATTGTCACCTACAACAGACCCTTTATTTCCCCCATAAACTTAAGCGAGACTTAAAAACACTGAACACATTAACCATTGTGGGTTAACCAACCCTGCTTATTTCTTAATTTAATAATAATAATAATAAAAAAATATATTAATACTGCCATTTTCACCATTAAATCTTGGAGTCTTCCTGAAGGGGGCAAAGGCCAGTGCTTGCTCCAGCCAGCCAGCCGCCTACCCTGCAGTCACTAGAAGACCCCGCAGATGGAAGGTCTCCACAAAGAAGCTTCTTGGGCCCAGATGAGAAAACCCAGAGAACTTTTGAGGGCTTTTTGAGGGCAGAGTCCGAGGGGCAGGGCAGCAGGCAGCTTCGCAGAACAGTATGAAGCAGAGGCTTGCCCTTGCCGAGGGCCCCGAGCCACGTCTCCAGTGGTTTCGCTGCCCCTGCTTTAACACCGGGTTAGCCCCAAAAACACCACCCGAAGCGAAGAGCACGCCCCACAACCACGCGTTTATTTCTGCCTTTTTACAGGGCTCGCTTATTTTAACTTAAGAGTTTGTCGCACACCAGCGGCGGGGGGGGGGGGGATTGTTCCCCCGGCAGCTGCAGGTACGCACCACCCCCTCCCGCCTCTCAGGCCCCGCCATCGCCCCGGCGTCCCGCCGCACGGCCCCTCAGCGGCCAGGCCACGGCGGGACACCGCCCCCCTCCCCGGCGGCCGGGCGCCGAGGCCCCGTGGGTGCCCGGGTGACGCCGGGCCGGGCCGGGGGATCGGTCCGGGTCCCCCACAGCTCACCTGCCGCCAGGCCCAACCGCCCCACTCGAGATCCGCGCCGCCCCACCCCCACCGCCCTACTGGCTAGCCGCGATCCCTTGCCGGCTTCTATTGGGCGAGCCGGGACGGAGACCGCCGTCTCATTGGCCACTCGCTCTGTCCGTCTGCTCGACGGAACGGCGGGTGAAGGGGAGACGGGCGGGGAGGCGGGGCTTGCTCTGATTGGCCAGAACGTTGTAGGGAGGGCCCGGTTGATTGGGCGGCCGGACATGGGGCGGCCGCAGGGGGCGGGGCGAGCGCCGGGGAGCGTGTTTCCATTGGAGGAGCTGACGCTGGGGTGAAAAGAGCGGGAACCCGAGCGGATTCAAACAGGGCGGGGGGGGCGGGGCGGCGCGGCGCGGCGCTATGGCGGATCCCTGAGGAGAAGATGATCGTGTGGTTCCCCTCAGGTCTCCCCGGCCGCGGAGCTTCCTGCCGGCCGCCCCTCGAGTCCCCCGGGGGTGGCGTCTCGGGGGGGTTGAGCCTGTGGCGTGTCGTCCTGAGGCGAACCCCGGTGCGGCCCCTCAGCGAGGGGAAGGTCTCCACGTACAGGAACGTGTATGGCGCAGGTCGGTCTCTGCGGGATGGGGGAGAGGGGTGAGCAGTGTGCTTTGGCCTGTGGCAGGAAGGCCCGCCGCCTTCCCCTGGCTTGCTGCCGAGGCGCCTGGCTGCTTTTCGTCACCCGACCCTGTTCCCCACAGTTAAATTCCTTGGTTTCTGCTCTTCTGCAGGTCAGACAGTGAGTCCACAATCTCTGCAAAACACAAGGATGGCATTAATCAAAACAGAATATTTGTTGTAGGGTTTTTTTGTTTTTTTTTTTTTTTTCTTCCCCCCCCTGATGAGACGATAGCTTTCCCTCACTGATAACAGCCAGGACATGGAGTCGCTCTCTCCTCAGACCAGCATGACTGGGCAGCCATTAGCTGGGGACAGGCCTGAGCACAATCCAAAGAGAAGCAGCCGGGCATATGGAGAGACGCTTGTAAACAGCCACGAGAAGTTGTCCTTCTGGCTCAGCACCACACAGGCGTGGCTGGGCATTGGGTTAGAGTAATAAAGACAAGCTGTATCCTCCGTGTGGCTTTGCCAACCTCTCTGATGATGTTTTGGGTGTCTTCACTTCAGCTGGGGCGACTCCCTGCAGCAGGGGCTGCTGAGGGAGGTACCTTTGGGAGAGGGAGGCACAGAAAGTGCAGCACACAGTATATTTTTATGTACGTTTTCCACATCTCTTGTATGGAAACTGGTGCCATAGAATGGATGGAGCAGATGAGATTGAAGGAAGAAAGCTTTCTCCACTTAGAGAGATGAACTGGGGGAAGGGTACAACCTCTGTGCCTTCAAGCACACCAGAAAAGTTCTTCTATCTTTTCCTGCTGTTTCTGTTAAATCTAATGCAGACCAATTATTTATCAGATCAGATCCAGACCGATTTAAGAGACAGTGAAATCTTCCCCGTAGCAGAGCAGTTCTCAAGATTGCAATTTACTGCTCAAAGCCCAAGACAATAAATGTTCCTGCACCATGTGGTGGCTGCTCCTCCAGCTTATGGGATCTGCAGGACCTGAGTGGGGATTAACCCCCACACCCTTGCTCCCAGTTCGGTTCTTGTCTGAGAGAAAAAGCCCACTCTTATGTTATGCCAAATGAACAGCCTGGTGATTAGTGTCATGGCATGGGTAAATGTGAACTGTATGAACCATCACAGTACAGGAAGAGAGAGGTCGAGTATGAGGGGACTCGTTAGCATATGAAGGTAGGGCAAGGAGGGATCCTGAAACTGCTGAAGCAGCTGATTGCGGGATACAAAGGGCCTGTGGAGCAGATGTCCAGGACACTTACCCTCAGCAGAAGGGCGTTGGGAAGGATCAAAGGCCCGGCACTGGTCAATGACTTTCCGCAGATCTTCAGGACAATCTTCCCCAACAGGATCCTGGTAATGGTGGTTGCAGATTTTCTCCATGATCTCCTCAGGAGTGCAGCCTAGACAACATGTGTGCAAACAGGAGTGTCAGGGTGGAGCTCTGCTGCTGCAGGAGGGTGCTGGGCAGGAAACCCAGTGCAAAGGCACGCCGAGAGCCCTCCTGCACCCTGTGGCATGGAGAAACCAGCAGAGAAGCCACCCAAACTGTGTCTGCAATGAACCCCCCAGTATTTGGCGTGACGCTGTCGGGCTCCAGTGGAGCAAGGAGATGTGTTTATGCTTCAGTGCACAGGAACATCAAATAGAGACAAAAATTACTTGCATGTTTGTGGTTTAAGTATGTTGCTGAAATGCTTTACGGAATCGGGGTCCCCGGAGAGGCTATGAAGCTGTTCTGCAGAGCCAAGCACAGCGGGCACTGCCGCTGCGACTCGCATGCCGCGGGATGCTCCAGGAAGGAGCAGGGAGCCCCCAGCACCTGACAGCAGCCACGCTGGGCTGTGTGGCTTTTGCTCAGGGGACCGAATACTCCTGTCTCACCTTCAAATGGGATTTTGGAGGTCGCGATCTCCCACAGCACGATCCCGAAGCTGGAAGGGGACAAACAAGAGGCTCAGCGTTCATCCCACCCTGTTGTCCTCCCTTCTAATAGAGGGGGCTGTTGGGCTATGCCAACTGCAAACAGCTGCTTATGTGTCTGATTAAACCTGGCCTTCTTCCATAGCTCAGCAGCTACTCTGCCAGACATCTGCCCACTGATGGGCATCTCTCCCAGGAGGGGCGGACACACCTGTATATTTCACAGGCCCTCTTGTAGGGGTAGTTGATGTCTTTCAGGTTCTCAGGGGAGACGTAAGCCAACATAGAGACTTGTTTCCAGTTCTTCTTGGCTTTCCTCTTGATGGACGACTCCGTTTCACACAGCTCAAATCCCGACAGCTGATTGAGAGAACGAGGGAGGGAAAGGGAGAAATGGTAGAAACGCAGTCTGCAGAGGCCTGTGGCGTGGCTGGGGAACTGCCCTGAGATGGAGAAAACAGAGCGAGGTGTCCTGGGCAGCAAAGGCTGGCATGTAGCCATGTGTGTGGCCTGGCACGTGGCTCCTTCTGCAAGCAAAACCACAGGTGGTAACAAGTGAATTGCCCTAGCTTCAGCTCATCCCGGGGTGGATGGCTCAGAAATGCTCTCTCTGCTGCTGATAAAACAGAGATAATGACGAACTGAGGTGTAGATGGCTCTACCCCAGGTTTTATTCTGGACCATCGTAATTCCCTTTGGTGTTGGTGGGGGGAGACATCCACAAAAACATGCAAAACTCCCAACAGCTTCTCCAAGCATGGTCCTTACCTTCACACAGTAATCCCCGGCCACCAGGAACTTGCTACTGCAGATGCAGCCGTGGAGTCGGGACTTCTCCTCCGTCTGGTGCAACCTGCAGCCGGACAGAACCAAGGGTAACCCATGATGGACCCATCCTCACCTCAGGGCTCTCTCCTGCTGCGTAGGGGATGGACTGACGTGCACCCAGAGAAACCAGCAGCTCTCTGCCTATCTTGGTGGACCACCCCGGTCAAAGCAATCTTTCCAGAAGGTGCTGAAAGAGCCACCGTGGGCCAAAAAACGAGCCTCGCAGATGAGCAGGACCCATAAGGAAACTGGCTGTGCTGTAGGATGCTCCTGAAGCTGAAACTGCCCTGTGGGGGTGGGGAAGGGGGTTTCTCCCTTCCAGGCCTTTGCAGGCCCGAAGCAAAACGTAGGGGCCAGCGACCAAGGGAGTTGGCCACCAGTGCACCCAAACCCACCGTCTACCTTTTCACCAGCCTCCCACCCCAGCGTCCCAGGGTGGTGGAAACAGTGTCTCAACAGGATACCACTGCTGATGGAGAGATCCCAGGCAGCTGAGCGTGGCCCGTGGATCCCCAGGTGGATTTACCCACCGATTGACGTGGGAGCTCACCTGTAAAGGCCTCTGGCAGCCCCCAGGGCCATCCGGATGCGGACCTCCCAGGAGAGGTGCCGCTGCTTGGTCAGCACATCCCGCAGCGTCCCGTGCTTACAGTACTCCATGACGATGGAGAAGCAGGGGCTCCCATCTGCAAGGCGAAACCTTGAGCATCCTGCCTTGTGCCACCTCCTGGGAGGGGACCACGACAAACCGCCTGCCACCAGCTAGCTCTGGGGACAGGCAGGGATGGGAAAGAGCGACATGAATGTGAGACCCTCTACCTGTCTCCTCAATGCAGATCCCGTACATGCGCAGGATGTTTGGAGACTCAAACTTCTTCAGGGTTTGAACCTCCTTCTCGAAGATGTCTCTCACCTTCCTGCAGAAAGGGACAGCGTGGTGAGACCCCTGGGACACGGCGCGGTGCCACCCCCCTGTCCCGGCTGCCCCGTGTCGCTCCCACCCAGGACAACTCACGCCGGGTCGGTGGTCAGCGGCCTCTTGAAGGTTTTGATGGCGACGGGGTACTTGAGGTACTCGCCCTCGTAGAGGTCGTAACTCTCAGTGTCCTGCAGGTGGCTGTAGAAGGTGAGGTGGTCCCGCTCGATCTCAGTGATGTCTTCTCTTTTACCAACATTGACTTTCTTCAAGCCTGCTCCCGCCGTGCACCAGGAGGGAACGAGGGGCGCGTTAGACAGGGCTTGAGGGGAAAGGACGCAGTGCACGGGGTGCCTGGAGGTGCAACGCTGACTTACACTCCATCACGTGCACGATTTTGTTCAGCTCGCTTTGCATCCAGTCTACTTTGCTCTCCATGCACTGCCTGTCGATGTAGATTTCCCCGGCTGCGTCTTGAGGCTCCTCAGTGCCTGGGGAGAGAAACGTGCAGGGGTGGGGCCGCTGGATGAACGTGCAGGACTGACGCAGTCAGTTTTTCTCATGGTTTAAATGTCCCTTTGACTCTCCTTGCCCACGGCCATCAAGCCAAAGCTGGGCAGCAGCTGGGGAGAGGTGACAACTGCTGATCTCAGGGAAAGAGGTTTTGCCAAATGCATACTTACTTGCAATCACCTGGTCCAAGAAAGCTGTGTCGTCCCTCAGGTCCTCAGCATCCTGCCTGCGACATGTCTTTGTCTGGAAAGCCTCCAGGAAAGCCTGCTTCTGCTCCGCCTGCATCAGGAGCGAGAGCCCCTGGGCAATGTCCTCCAGGCTCTCGTTCACCCAGGCGAACTCCTCGCCGGTGCTGCGGGCTCTCAGGAACTTATGGATCCAGCTTGTCTGGCTGTATTTCATCACCAGTTTCTGGGCTTCCCCCAGTGCTCGGAGCAGCTTCTTCAACAGTTCCTCTTCTTGGTGGGAGATGTGCTGTGGCGGCTGAGCCTTGAGGATCCTCACGGGCTCCAGCAGGATCTGGATGCGCTCCACGAGGCGCTGGCACTGGTGCTTACAGCACTTCACCTGCTCGAGTTGGGCGTGGATGGCCTGGGACAGGGAGAAGACCCTCTCCACGATGTCCATGTTGGCAACAAGGGGCTTGGCCGCGGAGGATGGGGGCTGGCGGCGTTTGGTGGAGATGAGCCTCGGGCACTGCTTGGAGATCAGCTGGATGCGGCTCTTCCACTCCTGCCGCCCTAAGGAACAGCTTTAACAGGGCACACCACCCTCCAACTCTCCTACAGCCCCTTCTATCTCTTTCGCTTCCTCTGCTTCGCCTGGCACCGCGGCCGCTCGTGCAGACCAGCACGGGCACGCACAGAGACATTGGTAGCAGCAGGACTGGCACATCTCGCTCCGCATTAGCAAGAGGTGTTTTGGCTTGATTTATGAAAATTAATTTGGTGTTGGCCATACCCAGAGAGCTTACACCCAGACGAGCAGGGTCAGCATCCCCCGGGCAGTGCTCGCCGGCGCCGGCCCTGCGCCACCCTGGGGTCCTGCCCACAGAGCCTACATCTTTAACCATCGAGATCCGTTTTCATTTCTAGCCAACGCCTCTCCATCTAAGAAAAGCTTTTGCACCTTCACAGCCCCAGCGTCCCCAGCTTCTCCGTATTTTCTCCTCGTAGCCCTGTACCGTCTGCTTAAAATTTTAAATCAAACTCTTTCTATGTGCTCAGCCTCCCCGCAGGGGCAGCCCCTGCTCCCCACCCGGCATCCAGGCAGCGGGGACAGAAAACTGCCCCTGTCGCAGGGAAATTAGCAGCAGCCACCCGCAGCGCTAAAAGAGGGGTGCTGGGCTCTGCCAGCTGCAAACGAGACAGAAACGCACCCAGAAACAAGCTGCAGTCACTCTCCCTTCCCCTTCAGGCTCTCTCCAGCACGGCCCCCGAGGAAGAAGCTCGCCCGCTTGCTAGGAGAAATCAGCTGGGTTGACCCGGCCCTGCTTCGCTCACCTCCGCCTCGGCTGCCTCCGCCGACTGGGGAGGCACGGCAGGCCGAGGGCGAATTTATAGGGTGCTTTCCCTGGCACTGCCCCCACGGGCAGCGGATGGGGCGTTGTGTCACCCACCGCAGCTTCCTACGTCGCCCCGGCTTCCCGTTCTCAGAAAGCCGCTCGGGGTGGTAGAGGAAGGGGCCGGGCGGGCTGGGTCCCCCTGTGCTGGAAGAAGGATTTGCCCGCTGGAAGCGCTTTGGGAAGAAGGGGATAAGGGAGGCTGTTCCCCCCTCCCTGTATTAACCCTTGCGAGCGTCCCAACCCCTTCTGCTGTGCCCCCAGCTGCAGGGAGGTTTGCCCAGGGGACCCTCGGCATCAGCTCAGCACCACATGGGGCAGCAGGACCCTCCAAAGCGCACCCGTCCCGCACGAGCGATGCCGGTCCTTTAGGACCTTCCGCTCCTCTCCCCATCCCTGCAGCCTCAGGACCCCCCAGCATCAAAGGGAGCAGGCTGGGGGCACCAGTGCTGGAAACAGCGCTTGCTCACTGCCGGGAGCCGAGGAAGCTTGGCAGGTGGCTTCGTCAGAGGGCCAGGCTGATTTTTGGGAAGCACGAGGGGACAGACGATGCCGTTGCCCAACTTCGGAGAAGTGAGCAGGCGGCTTCGGCCAGCTTCCGCTTACCGAGAGCCCCGGGGTCACACAGGTTTGCTGCGGTTCTCCCCTGAAAAAAAGCAGCTCCTGCGCCAGCGTCGACAGCACAGCTTTCGTCAGCGTGGGGAGCCGAGAAAGGCGACCACAAGGTATCGAGGGAAGGGATGCGCCGAGGGTGGGAGAGCGTGGGAACGGCCCCAAGGGATACATTTGCCAGACCCTCTTTAAAAGGCTTTATTTTTCAAAATATACAGTTTATTTACAATTGTAGTGTCTACAGTTTTATGTATAACTTTATTCCAAACCTTTAAATATCTGCAGTAAACATTAGAAAAAAAAAAAAAAAAGAAACAAAACAAAAAAACAATCACAGGATCAGCAAAAAAAAGGCATCTCGTAGCAATTCTGTTCATTGAAGTTTGAGTTTCAAGTAGCCAATGTCTACAAAAACCATGAACTTGGTAAATCTGGCAGGGAGATAGGGGCGCACGGGTTAGAAAATGGCAAAATCCAGACCCGCGGGATCCCCACGCCAAGGGCTGCAGGCTGGGAAAACCCTGGGCTGGGATCGGGCCGGGAGCAGGAGCCGGGATACGGCAGCCCCTCGGCCTGCGTTAGGTGATGGGGTTAACTGCAGCGTGTTGGATGCCCCGGGGAGGGGGCGCCCCAGGAGGGCCAGGGGCTTGGCGGGGTGGGGGGTGGGGGGGCTCCGGCAAGGTGCCAGGACGGAGGAGGGAGGGTGGCATCAGGCACTTCATCTCTCAGGCAGCAAACCTGCCCTCACATCCATAGCCTGGAGTGGGAGGGCGGCGAGGAAGGGGCAGGAGCCCCCCCCAGGGAGCCCCTCAACCTCCTCCTCCCCTTTCCCCGCATCCCCCCCCACCACCCCGCCCCGTCCCCCTTGGCAGGAGCGCAGCGCACCACGGGCCCGCTCCAGCCCGGGGCCACCACGGTGGCACAGCCCCCCTGGGAAAAAGGGGGGGGGGGAGGTTCAGGGGCCAGCCGGCCTCGCGGAGGGCTGGGGAGGGACGGGGCCGGCAGCCGGGCGCCGCACCGGGACCCCTCAGTCCTCTTTCTCGAAGGTTTCCTCGGGGATGAGCGTCCGGAAGGGGTGATCCCAGAAGCGGGTGCTGATGCCGAAGCCTGCGGGCAGGAGAGAGAGCGCTCAGCCCCCCCCCACCCCGGCGTCCCCACCCCCAGGGTGCCGTCGGGGACGGGGCGCAGCTCGTTCCACGGTAACCGAGCCGGTGCCGCCGTCGCCGAAACCGGCGGGACCGGGAGCGGCCGCCACCAGGGGCACGTGGTGGCGGGGACGGGACGTCACCCGCCTGGGTGCAAAGGTGACGACGGCCGGGAGGGAGGAGCGCCTGCGATTTGGGGAGGGAGGGAGGGAGGAAGGCAAGGTGAGGAGGAAGAGCAAAGGGAGCAGAAGGAGCTTGCCGTGCCACGCCACCAGCCCCGCGGATGATAGCTTATCTGGACGGGGCGTTTTCTCCTAGGAAACCGGGCAAAGGGCGGATTGAGCAAGTGCCGCGCTGGGGAAGGCGTGGGGCGGACCCGGGGAAGCCTGGGGCCTCACCCTGCGCCCGCCAACACCTCCCCGGCGGGAGGAGACGCTGCCCCGGGGCGGGGACACCCACATCCCGGGGTGTCGTTGGGGAGGGGGGGCTCTGCCTCCGCCCCGGCATCCCCCGGGGTGGCACTGCCGCCTTCGCCCCCGCGCCGTGCCCGCTCCCCCTCCTCAACCCAGGGGCTGAGGAACGTGCCCCCACGGGGCTGCAGCACCTCGTACGCCGCATCCCCCAGCGGCACTTGGGTTTTCCCCGGCCCAAATGCCAAAATTTTCAGGGCATCACGGGCAGGCAGACCGGGCCCCTGCTGCCCTCGTCCCCGCCGGCACGGTGCAGGGAACACGGCGCTACCTGATTTTTGGTGTTCAAAATGGTGCTTGACGTGATAAGCCTTCAGCCCGTACAGGTAGGTGCCTTTTTTCGGCGAGCCGTAGTGGAGGTAATAGTGCATCATGTCATAGACGACGTAGCCGCAGAGCCCCCCGACGAACACCGAGAGCCCCAGCACCTCGGGCAGCAGGAGCCGCAGGACGCCGTAGAAGAAGGCGATCACCAGCGAGGCCGGCACGGGAGGGAAGACCAGGCGGGAGCTGTCGAAGGGAGACTGGAAGAGGAGAAGGACGGTGGGACAGGCAGCTCCTCGCTCGCCCCACATCCCCAGCACATCCCTACCGATGCGGACACCCGCTCGGGAAAAGCCAACAACCAGAGCGGCCCCCCCAGAAACCCTCCCCAAAAGGTGGACCTGGCGGCGAGAGCGGCCCCTCGCCCACGCCGAGGTGGCCCGTGGCTTCGGCTGGCGGGTCCCCGAACTCCACGGGGACATTTCCTCCAGCGAAGCTAGAGGGAGCCCACAGCTTTTTCGGTCTTCCCCCTCGCCCATGCCGGAGCTTGCAGATTTAACTCCAGCTCCTCCGAGCCCGTCTTGCAGCCCGCGCCGGTATGAGGCAAGGGCCCCAGCTTGGGGCGAAGATGCCACAGAGTCACGTCGAACGCGCACAAACAGGCTCCGCCTGAGCAAAGGCCACCGCTCCCACGGGCGCCGGCGGAGGCGTGAGCTGCGACTCACCTTGTGATGCTGCCCATGCAGCAAGAAATGCAGGGTGATGAGATAGTAGTTACTAGCGGGTGGCTTCATGTGGAAGACAAAGCGATGGATGAGGTACTCTAGCAAGGACCACAGGAACATCCCCAGGAGGAAGATGAAGGGGAAGTAGTATTTGTGGACGGGGATGGAGTACTCTACACAACGAGACGTGCAGCGGTCAGCAGGGCAGGCGACGTGCGGGTGCTCTAATCCATCGCCATCCTCGAGCTCGGCTCTCCCCCCCATCTCACCCCAAAGCTTCCCCAGGGAGCTACCTTTCCAAGCCACATTTTCCTTCCATTCCCATCAATTTACACCCTTTATGGAAACAGTCGGCTTCTCGCTGACGCAAGGAGCCTGCGAGGGGGGGGTCCCCTGCACCCCAGATGCCAACGGCCCCTCCAGGGACAGCCCCGTCCTTACTGAGATTCGCCCACCAGAACAAAGCAGGAGGGACCATATCTGCCCAGGCAGCCCTCGTGACAGTTAAAATGTGCTGCTGGGGTTGGTGTTGTTTTTTTTTGTTTTTTTTTTTTTATTTTGGGGGTAAAAGAATAGGTTTGTTGGGCATTTTCCCCCGCAGAGCATTTTTCAGCCACCTCCTCCTTTCAGGGCTGGCTGCCAGCGCTGCGGCCACGCTAGCAGAATTCAGATCCACCCCCCCCGCTCCCAAAACCTGTTCATTTTGGGGGAAAAAAAAAAAAAAAAAAAAAAATTAAAATACCCCCCTTGGCAGCAAGGTGCCAAATGCCGCAAGAAGCAGGAGGGGTGCCGGTGCAGTGGGCGCTCCACCCCGCAGCCAGGGACAGCTGGCACCGGGTGGCACCTTGCAAAAAAAAAAAAATAAAAAATAGGGAGCCCAGAGGGGGAAAAAAAAAAAAAAAAAAAAAGTCACAACAAAGAAGTCAGCTTGCCCCGGCCACGCTTGTTATTCCCGAGGGAGCAGACAGTGGGAGATTCAAGCGCAGGCGGTTCGGGCGAACAAGCCCCGCACTGTGCGAGCCCGGCGGCACTGAGAGCCGGGTTTGTTCGCCCGCCACGCCGGCATCCAGCCGCGGCCCGGGGTGGGCGGCAGCGGGGCCGGGGGGGGGCAGCGGCAGGGCTCGGGTTTGGGGATGGAGGGAAGGGACGCAGTGGGGGGGAGCAGGCTCCGAGCCTCCACCGATCCCCCGTGGACCGAACCACGAGGAGGGGATGGAGGTGGGGGGAGCTCAGGCTTTAAAGCGGCGCAGGCGGGTTCGTGCAGGTGGCCGTGGGGACAGGGGCTGCCCCGGGCATGGGGGTCGTGGTGAGCGTGCACAGAAGGAGGGGTGGGGAAGGGATGCGGAGGTCTCCCCCATGGCCCGTTGGCTGTCCTGCCCCTGGATTCGGAGCTGGGTGGGGGGCAGCGAGCCGAGACCAAAGGTTTCGCCGTGCTCATTACCTGTGGTGAAGGAGGAGAAGAGCCTGGTGTTGCCCTGGGCGAGGGAGGTGTAGCTGACCCAGCTGAGATAAAGCACCACGGGAGCCCAGACGATGAACACCACGTACCTACGGGGTTGAGGGAGATGTCAGAGGGAGCAGGGGGTGGCGAGATGCCTGTCCCCCCCCCCCATCCCCACCCCATGGAGGCACTGGCCGGGGCACGGCGCAGACCCCCCCCCGGGGGCTCACCACGCCGTCTTGGAGAGGGACTCGAGGAAATCCGAGTGGAAGAGGCGGATGGGTCGATCCACGGGCTGGTGCACCCACTCGTCGTACTTCTCCCCCAGGTAGCCCACTTGCCACAGCAAGGGCTTCTGCCAGTCCACCAGGTCCTGGGGGAGAGGACAGCGGTTGTACCCCCACACCACCCCGGTGCTGGGGTCGGCAGCTGCGGGATTGCAGGCTGCAAACCCCTTCCTGTGCCCCACAAGCTTTTTCGCTCCAAGCAGCCCCGAGCTCCCCGCAAGCACGGGTGCGGGGCAGAGCCGGACGAGCATCAGCCCCACCGACCCACGGCCGTGGGGCTGAGCTGGCCCCCGTGCCACCGGCTACCTGCCGGCGGTTCAAGGTGAAAGCGGCCGTTCCCGGACCTGGCTCAGCGTCAGGCCCCTGATAACTGAGGCTCTTCCCCCCCCCCCCCCCCTTCCTTCCAGAAGCCGGCGAGATTAGATAGTGAGCAGCCGTGCTCCCCGCTCGCCAGCCACGCCAGCGAGCCGTGGGTAGGACACGGAGCCCGTCCCCACGGCATTGCCCCGGCCCAGGGCTTTTCTCCTCGCGGAGAGGACGAGCCGGGGCGGCCGGCGCCGTTCGAGCGTCCCGGCAGCGAGGAGCGAAGCAGAAAGGGATGGGGAGCAGGGATGCAGGGTGGGGACGCGAATGCCGGTCGCTGCTCCGGCACGGGGCCGCGTTCAAGGCGGCTGCAAGAGCAAGAAGGGACCTGTGCCGGTGCGCGTGTCTGCGCGGGATGAAAATAGAAACCCAACCGGCAGCACTGCTCAGCATCCCCAGACGCGTCTTCTGCCGGCCCGGCCCGATAAGGTGGTTTTTCTCAGTCCCACCTCTGCCCCGAGACAGAAACCGCGCTCGCCCGGCCGAGCCCCCGGGCCTGGCAGCTCTCCATCGGGGATGGAGACACCCTGCGTCAGGGAGATAGGGGAAAAGTCAGAGCAAAAAGGTCACTTTGGGATGGCAGATTTGGTTTTAAAGGCAGTCAGCAGCAAAATGTTAGGAAAGGCGTTCTCTTGCTCCGGAAAAAAAAAAAAAAAATCCTTTGGCAAGATAAAAGCACGCTCGCCGATGAGCTGGGGCTGCGCGAGGCATGGCGGTCAAATGGGGCTGTGGAAGGTAGGGCCTTATGAAAGCACCTTGGGGACAAGCCCCCGCTCCCGTGGCATCCTCAGAGGGGAGCTGGCAGGGCAAGGAGCACCCCGAACCACGGGCATTGCCCGGCCTGGGCCGGAGCATCCCTTAGTGCTTGTTATCAGTGCTCAGTCAAGAGGAAAAAATGAAAAAAAAGTCAAGCAAGCAAGCAAGCAAAAAGTAAAATAAAGCAAGCAAGGTGCAGCCTGGCAGCAGGTCCTGCTCGAAGGGCAGAGCCACTGTCAGAGAAAGCCACCCCCCCCCCACGACACTGCTGCAGGAGCCTCCCGGGGCGGCCACGCATGAGCAACAAAGCCCGAGAGATGCCATCTGCTCCGGGAGAAAGGGTGGGAGCAGCCAGGTTGGCTCCCTCCCGGCATCCCTCCCATCCCGGGGGGTCAGCGGAAAGCCGGCGCTCAGGTGGGGAAGAGACCTCATCTCCCCCGGGAGCACTCGGGCAAACCCCACCGGAGGCAGCCCCGGCTCTCACCGTCTCCACGTCCACTGTTTTACAGCGGGGATCCATCCGCTTGGGGCTCTGGGCTGCAGCATCCACCACCTTCTCATCCACCACCTTCTCATCCACCACCTTCTCATCCACCGGCTCGGGGAGGCTCTAGAAAGAGAAGGAAAACTCAGTGAAGCACTGGTGGTGGATGTGGTTGGGGACGGTGGTGGCTGTGCCACCCAGGGGCACGAGCAGAGCAAGCTCGCGCCTGCCTGCTAAATAAATAAGGGAAAAAAATCTGATGAATTTAAGCCAGCCAGTTCCTGCAGAGCAGGTTCCTGAGGGATGCGGCCGCTGCCCTTCGAACCGTGCACCGAGCATCGCGCGCTCGCGTCTTTTTGGAAACATCCCCCCCCCAGCCTGCTTTTGGCCAGTGCTCCCCAACCTGAGCCGGGGGCATCACTGGGTTAGTGCTCCCAGCGCCGACACCAGTGGGGCTTCCTCCTCCCCACCCCGCTGCTCTCCAGCAAAAGCCCAGCTCGGCGTTTTGGTCCCCGAGGAAACTGGGCTGCCAGCGCTGGGGAGCCTGGCACGGCCGGTGCCACCGTCCTGGCTCTGGGCAAAAAAAAAAAAAAAACAAAAACGCAGCGTTCGCCCCGGGGGAAAAAAAAGCCAAAGTGCCCTTTGCAGGGCAGCGCCGGGCTGGGCACCTTCGCCACAGGCCACGCAAGGTGGGGTGGGGGGTGGTTTTGGCTGGCGAGGGCACGCCGAGACCCGGGGGGACGTGCCGGTGCGGCAGGATGAAGCCCGGGCTGCGGTCCCGCCGCCAGGGCTGGCTGAGAAACAGGAGAAACCTGCCCCGTCTGATGCACTGGAAGCCGACGCGTCGCCGGCTGCCAGCACCGGCCTCCTGCCCGTGGCCCTGCCAGCTCCGGCGCCGGCCCTGCCGCCCGTGGCGGGGCTTGGCGAGGCCGCAGCGTGTCCGTGCAAACCCCGAGCCGGCCGTGCCCCCCGACGGCTCCGCGGGCAGGACGTGCCGAACATGCCTTTTCTCCCGCTTTGTCACCTTGAGTTACCCATTAACCCGGCGGCGGCAGCAGGGCCCGGCAGCCCCGGCACAGCAATGCCCGCCGGCGTTCCCGACCGCGCCGCTTTGCAGCGAGCAAAGGTTTTTCTCCCGGCAGCCCCGGCACGAGCGGGGGCTCCTCCAGGGATGCTCTTCCCGCTGCTCCGAGGGGGATGCCAGGGCGTCGCGGCCCCGGTGGGAACAACCACTCCGCACCCCGACAGCCGCGGGAGGAGCTGGGATGCGGGAGGACCAGCGTCACCTCGCCGGGGTGGACAGGACTTTACTCCGTGTCGTGCTGGTGACGCCGAGGCAGGGCCCGGGCGCTGTTTGCTGGCAGCAGGCACTCCTTGCCCGCCGGGCTCCCACCCCTTTCCCCGGGCTAGCTGGATTTCAAGCCTCATCCCACTAGAAGGGGAGCTGCGCTGCCCAGCCCGAGGCAGCCCCTCGCCCCAGGGCAGCGGGCAGGGCAGGACGGGGAGGGGGGATATTTCCAGCTGGGCTGGACTTGAGCAGCCATCGGCTTCACCGCAGGCAGGGAGCCGGCGCCAGCTGGTGCTGTGGGCCACACGCCTCCCTCCGCGAGCATCCCCACCGCTATTTTCGGCTTTGCACGCTCAGTCCTTCAGCCAGCCAGCCCGAAACCCTGGGGGAGGTGGGATGCCTTGAAATCCAGACGAGGACGGGCAAGGTATGATTTTGCCTCCTCCCCACGGCTGCTTTCGGAGAAGACTTGGCTTTAAGAGAGGCAGAGACACGGCTTCTCCACCCGCTCCGAGAAACGAGCCCGTGCTCTCCACCTCACTGCTTGCACCTCAGCCTGGCCAGCGGCAGGAAGGATGCTTAAGAAAGCCGGGCTGACGCAACACCCCGGCACCTCTCCTCCCCTTTCCGAAATGTCCACGTGCCCCCAGCTCCTCTGCCCACCCCAGCATCACGTCGTGGCCAGAGGCTTCCCCATCCTCCCAGCTCGAGGAGGCGGGCGGGGGGCTGGGACCCCACCTCACCCGGCAGCACCCAGGCTGGGTGTCACCGGTGAGATGCCACCACCCTGCGTGCTACGGCAGCTCCCTTCCAGCGCCCAGCCTCCCCTGAGTCACCTCCTCCTCCTCTTCCTCGGCCGAGGAGCAGGAGGAAGGCTCTCCTCTTGTTCACCCCGGGGCTGGCACCAAAAGGACCGGCAGCCGTGGCGCAACTGGGGTGCGAGCCATGCCTGCGTGCCCCGGCTCGCTCCTGCCTGTCCCGAGCACGCAGGAGGCCCACGGGGACTGAGCCCCAGTGGCACCCAGACCGGTGCCGGGGCTTCCACCCGTCCTCCTCCTCCTCCTCCTCCTCATAAAAGCTGGGTTTGAAGGAGGCTGAAGGGGTCTTTGCGAGCGCCAGGCTCTGCCTGGGTGATGCCGATGCATCCGAGTCCTCCCCAGGCAAACAGGTCCTGCCGGGGAAGACGCGCAAGAGGCCTGATGTAACGAAGGGAAAGTTAACACCAACAAAGCGCCGCCTTCCTGCACCGCCGCCCCGGCAAGGTGCCGGCTCTCCTGCCGGGTGGCAACGGGGCCAAACCAAACGCCCCGGGGCGCGGCGCGGTGACCCGGCATCGCCCCCCCCCCCCCCCCCCAGCATCCCACCGCCCCGCGCGGGTCAGGCGGGGAGCTCGGCGCCGGCTGGGGAGCACCGGCTACGCCATCGCGGCGCTGCCCGCGTCAGGGCTCACGGCGTTCAAAGGAAAACCCAAATCCAGCCGCGATGCGAGCAGGTACGGGCGGGAGGGATGGCCCAGCGCGGGGTCCGGCGTGCCGCAGGCAGCAGGAGGAGCTGGAAACCTTCCCCTGGCCCAAGCAGGGCGATGCTGCCCGGACGCGGGTTTTTCCTCCCGCGCCCGTTTCCCCAGCGAGTCAAACCCTGCCGGAGCCCTGCCGTGCCTCCCGGCGCCTTCCCCGAGCTCCTCAACGGCTGGATTTGCCGATGTCCGCCGGGGGCCAGGCTCAGGCACGCAGCAGGAGGACACCCCGCGAGGCACGGGGAGCCCAAGCGAGGTCCCCACCCCGCGGCGGCACGGTCCCAGCATCGCCACCCCGACAGCACCGCGGTCCCCGGGCAGCGGCTGGCACAGCCCCCCGAGGCTGCGCCCCGGCCTGTGGAACACTGGGTGCAGCAGCGCTGTTCAAAGGGGGTCGGAATTTAACTTGTTTTAATGATAATAATAATTAAAACAAACAAACAAAAAAAAGCGCCGCTTCTTGTGACGCTCCCGAAGGAATGTGCGAGCGCCTATGTCCAAGCGAGCTCGGGCCGGGACGGGGAGCCAGGGCAGGCCTGACATGCGGCGATGTGGGCGAGGGGAAGGGGAGGACACCAACCCCGAGAGGGACGGAGGATTTACCGTGACTCACCGCCACGTCACGTACCCCAAAGAGGCTGTGATGAAAGTCTCTCATTGCTTAAATTGGAGGGGTAATTAGATGATCCAGTCTCCCCTCTAGCAAGGCTGTTAAAATCCACTGTCTAATTTGGGTAATTATTGCTTCTCGCTTTGATCTCCCCTATACGTTCTGTTTGCATAGATAAAAAGTTTGGGGGTTAATTTGTCCTTTGCCAAACTGGGCTGGGTGACGCAGAAGAGGGATCTGCGGCCGGAGGATGGAGCCGAGCTCCCACAAGCCGCAGGAAGGGGCGCGGAGAGGCACGCCGGCGCGATGAAGGCCGGCTCTCATCTCGCTTTTCATCCCTCCTGCATTAACAGTTGTTTTTTTTTTTTTTTTCTCCCCCCTTTCCCAAACCCCTCGAAGTCCCTGGGTGTAAGCAGGGGGATGGTGGATGCCTGGGGAACCTCGGCACGGGGAGGGTGCAGCCCTGGGATCCCCAACGGGCGAGGAGAGGCACCGGCAAAGCCGGGGGGGGTCCGGAGCCGGACCAGAGCCACCCAACACCTCCTGCAAAGAGCTGCTTGGGGTACCCCTGCCCAAAAGCAGCCGAGGTCAAGAACCCAAGCACCACCAAGGGCGTCGGCTCCCCGCCATCTCCTTGCAAAGGGGATTTTTGGGGGGTGGCAACTCCGGCAGAGCAGCTCACACGTCGGGCGCACGCCGGACGCGGCGCGGCAGGCAGCTTTTTTCCCTCCCCCCCCCCACGTTACAACCCGGGACGGTTTATCTGGTGCCAGGTAGCGTCTGATCCCGCTGCGCCCCGGCGTTATCACGCCGTGTATTTGCACTGGGACGGTGGCAATTCCCCTTGGTGCGGGCTGCGGGCACGAGAACTCGTTTGTCTGGTACCTTCCTTTGCCCCAACCCGTCAGGCTCGTCGTGCCGGCGAGGAGGCGGTGGCAACGAGTGTCCCAACAGAGGAGGTGCCATCGCCGGGATCCGGGGGAAACGAGCAGGCACCGCACCGAGGCCGAACAAAGCCCCGTCTGTGGCACTGCCGCCGATCGGGGCCGAGGCTGTGCCACGGGGGGGGGGGGGGGAGAACCAGCAAGAGCAAACAACCAGCGCGGAGGGACCGACCGGTCACCGACCTTGCTGGGATGTCTGGAGGGGAAAGCGGCCGCCGGGCTGGCAAAGGGGCCGGGGTTGGCCCCCGCTGCTCGGGCGTCCTGCCCGCGGCGTGCCGGTGGGGGCCGGCAATCGGGGCACTGGAACTTCTGGAAGCTCCCCGGGGCACTTTCCCTTCCGCCCGGGCAGCGGCCGAGCGTGGGGCTGGTGTGACGGGGACGGCGCTGAGTCACGGCCACCCCACGCCCGGATAGTTTGGGAGGTGGCCGGGCTCCTCTCCCCGGCGGCAGCCGATCGTCACCGGGAAGCCCCGATTGCCCGGCCCCATCGCCCACCCCGTGCCCCATGGCCCCGCTAAAACCGACACCGATCTGCGTGTCCCCATCTCCGACACCCCTCCGAAGGCACCAACACCTCCACGTCACGCTGGCTCACCTCCTGGGACCCCACGTGCCTTGTTATCTTCTGTGCCTCAGGCCCCACAGACCCCAGCCCCACAGACTCTGACAGCCCCACCGACCTCCCCCATGTGCCCAGGGCCCCACAGGCACCATCCCCGCAGGACCGAGGGAACCTCAAACACCCCCACCCACCCCTCACGCCCCGGCCCCGGCACAGCCCGGACCCTGAGCGTCCCGTGCAGCTCAGACCCTACACACACCACGTCCCGTACAGCTCACACCCGGACCTGGGTGCTCTATATGCTACATTCACCCCAAAGATTCCAGTGCCCCATACACCCCAGACCCTATACAGCCTCTGTGTGCTCTGTATGGCTCAGACCCTGAGCAGCCCAGACCCAGGGTGCCCTATAGACCCTATATGGCTCAGACCCTGTATGGCTCAGACCCACGTTGCCCTATAGACCCCGTATGGCTCAGACACAGGGTATCCTATAGACCCTGCGCAGCTCCGATCCAGAGCGCCCTGTAGACCCTGTGTGGCTCAGATCCGCCACAGCCCAGACCCAGGGTGCCCTACAGACCCTGTATAGCTCAACCCCAGTATGGCTCAGACCTGGGCTGCCCTATAGACCCTGTATGGCTCAGACCCCGAGCAGCTCAACCCCTGTATGGCTCAGGTCCGGTGCGCCCTATAGACCCTGTGTGGCTCACATCCCATGCAGCCTAGACCCAGGGTGCCCTATAGACCCTGTAAGGCTCAACCCCAGTATGGCTCAGACCCAGGGTGCCCTATAGACCTGGTGTGGCTTAGATCCTCCACAGCTGAGACCCGGGGTGCCCTATAGACCTTGTACAGCTCAGCTCCAGTATGGCTCAGACCCGGGGTGCCCTATAGACCCTGCGTGGCTCAGATCCCACGCAGCCCAGACCCGGGGTGCCCTACAGACCTCGCACAGCGCAGACGCCCCGCACCCTGGACTTGAGGTGGTTCTACAGACCCCGCGCAGCCCGGACCCGGGGGGGACCACCCTAAAGACTCCGGACCCCCGGGGGGGGCCACCCTAAGGACTCCGGACCCCCGAGGGGGCCACCCTGAAGACTCCGGACCCCCGGGGGGGCCACCCTGAAGACTCCGGACCCCCGGGGGGGCCACCCTAAGGACTCCGGACCCCCGAGGGGGCCACCCTGAAGACTCCGGACCCCCGGGGGGGCCACCCTGAAGACTCCGGACCCCCGGGGGGGGCCACCCTAAGGACTCCGGACCCCCGGGGGGGCCACCCTAAGGACTCCGGACCCCCGGGGGGGCCACCCTAAGGACTCCGGACCCCTGGGGGGGGCCACCCTAAAGACTCCGGACCCCCGAGGGGGCCACCCTGAAGACTCCGGACCCCCGGGGGGACCACCCTAAAGACTCCGGACCCCCGGGGGGACCACCCTAAAGACTCCGGACCCCCGGGGGGACCACCCTAAGGACTCCGGACCCCCGGGGGGGCCACCCCAGGGACCCCTCCACCGGGAGAGGAGAGGGGAGGGGCGCGGTACCTGCTCGTCGCCGGGCTCCATCTCCCCCACGTAGTACTGCTCCAGCCAGCGGCGGGCGTTGGCGGAGTGCCGGTGGGGCGGCCCGTCGAGCGCGGCGCTCACGTCGGTGCCGGCCCGGCGGCGGAGGAGCTGCTCGCCGCCCGGGTGCAGCCGGACGAAGCCGCTGAGGTCGTAGAGGCGGCGGCGGCACCGCACCAGGCAGGCGCCCCGCTCGCAGCGCGCCCGCACCTCGGCGGCGCTGAAGGAGCGCGGCGCCGCCATGGCCCCGCCGCGCCGCGCTCTGCCCGCACCTGCTCATCTGCATACATGCATATGCGGGGCGCGCGCGGGCCACGCCCACCCACCCCCCGAGGCCACGCCTCCCCACCGCCACCCGTGGGGGTGAGGCGGGAGGGGTGGGGGGCGGAGCCACCCCACCCCACCCCACCCCACCCCCCCCCTCGCGGCAGGTGCGCCGCTCCGGGGAATGGGGGGGGGGGGGGGATTGGGTGTCCCAGGGGAGGGAATGGGGGCACTGGGAGGGGGGGAATGGGGGGTCTGGGGAATCCCGTGGGGGCACCCCGGAGTGTGTGTGTGGGGGGAATGGGGGGGGGGGACTGGGTGTCCCAGCGGGGGAATAGGGGGACTAGGAGGGGGGGAATGGGGGGTCTGAGGAATCCCGCGGGGGCACCGCGTGGTGGTGGTGGGGGGAATGGGGGGGGATTGGGTGTCCCGGGTGGGAATAGGGGGACGAGGATGTGGGGAATTCCCACGAGAGCACCCCGGAGTGTGTGTGTGGGGGGGAATGGGGGGGGGGAATGCGGGGGGGGATTGGGTGTCCCGGGGGGGGAATAGGGGGACTAGGAGGGGGGGAATGGGGGGTCTGGGGATTCCCACGGGGGCACCCCGGAGTGTGTGTGTGGGGGGAATGGGGGGGGGATTGGGTGTCCCGGGTGGGAATAGGGGGACGAGGAGGTGGGGAATGGGGGGTCTGGGGATTCCCACGAGAGCACCCCGGAGTGTGGGGGGGGGGGAATGGGGGGGGAGAATGCGGGGGGGGGATTGGGTGTCCCAGGGGGGGAATAGGGGGACTAGGAGGGGGGGAATGGGGGGTCTGGGGAATCCCGCGGGGGCACCGCGTGGTGGTGGTGGGGGGAATGGGAGGGGGGGGATTGGGTGTCCCAGGGGGGAATGGGGGCACTGGGAGGGGGGGAATGGGGGGTCTGGGGAATCCCGTGGGGGCACCCCGGAGTGTGTGTGTGGGGGGAATGGGGGGGGGGGACTGGGTGTCCCAGCGGGGGAATAGGGGGACTAGGAGGGGGGGAATGGGGGGTCTGAGGAATCCCGCGGGGGCACCGCGTGGTGGTGTGGGGGGGAATGGGAGGGGGGGGATTGAGTGTCCCAGGGAGGGGAATGGGGGCACTGGGAGGGGGGGGAATGGGGGGTCTGGGGAGTCCCCAGTGGGTTATGGGGGGGAAACCCGGTGGGGGGGGGCAATGGAGGGTCTGGGGAATCACGGATAGGTTATGGGAGTCAGCCTGGGTTGGGGGGGGGTGGGAATTCGGTGTCCCAGGGGGGGAATGGGGGCACTGGGGGGTGGGGGGGAGGAATGGGGGGTCGGGGGAATCCCGGGTGGGTTCTGTGGGGGCACCCCGGGGTGGGGCGAGGGGGAATGGGGAGTCCGGGCAATCCCACGGGGGCACCCCGGGGTGTGCGGGGGGGGGGGGGGGATGGCGGGGGGGGATTGGGTGTCCCAAGGTGGGGAGTAGGGGCAGTGGGAGGGGGGGAATGGGGGTTCTGGGGAAATCCAGGATGGATTATGGGGGGGCACCCCGGGGTGGGGTGGGGGAAATGCAGGCACTTGGGGGGGAGGAATGGAGGGGGGTCTGGGGAATCCCGTGTGGTTTATGGGGGGGCAACGCAGGGGAAGGGGGGAGGAGAAGGGGATTAGGTGGGCATCTCTGTGGGGGAATGGGGGGGGGGACATCCTGGGGGAAGGGGGGCAACTGTGGAGGTGTGAGGGCACCCCAGAAGGATAGTTGGGGGTCACAGGGCAACCCCAGGGTGTTATGGGGGGTATGGGGCACCCCTGGGGGTCCCACCCTTCCTGGAGTGCCCCCCCCCCCCCCAGCTCTGTGGTGCCCAAGGCAGAGGGAATCCCAGTCCCTGCTTGGAAGCCCCCCCAGGAGAGCGGGGGGGTCCCTCCCGGGGCCACCCCAACTCCAGCGTTCCCTGTCGCGAGGCGCCGTGTCCCCCCGGCTGTTTGCAGATTTATTTCAATATTTAATTAAATTCCACACATGCAATTAGCACCGCAGCCGGGGGGTGGAAGGGGGGGGGGGGGGGGGGGGGCCGGGGCTGAGCAGCCCCAAACACCCCCCCAAGGAATATCAGACACCCACAGACGAATAAAACACAAAGAATGACAAGAAAGGAGTTTTTCTCCCCGTTTTGGGGAAAGCCTTCCCTCCAAGCAGCCGCTGGGATTTGGAGGGGGGGGGGCAGCTGCTTTGGGGTGACACCCTTGACCACAGGGGTTGGCCCACGTGCCGGCAATTTTTGGTGTCGCTGGCCGTGCCGGGCTGCAGCCGGTGATTAAGGTGGGGTTTGCCAGCTCAGGAATGGGGAGCACCCCCCCACCCCCCCCAGCCCTGCCCCGGCCCCCCGGCTTTGGGGCGCTGCGGGGTGCCGGCGGGCCCGAAGCGAGGTCTTTAATCCCGACGGATGCCAAACCCGCCATGGAGGCCGGCGTCGGCTTCGCCTCCCTGCCGCCAGCTCTGGGGAAAAAGTCCTTTTTTGGGGGGGGTTTGGGGGAGGGGGGGGTAATTTTCCACCTCGCTAGGAGCAGCAGGGTTTTGGGGGGGGGGGGGGGCCGGAATGTCCCCAGCCAGGGCTGCCACGGTGCGTCCTTGGCGCATCAGCAGAGGGGTCCTGCGGAGAGGTTTTTGGGATCAGAAACATCCTTTGGGGGCCAGGTGGGGGGGCTGGGAGCCCCCACAGGAGGTGCTGGGGGTGGGACACCCCGCTCCCTGACACCCTCCGCGGCCGGGGCCGGTGGGTGAGCTCAGCCCCGGCGTAGCAGGGCGGCTCCCGGGAGGGGGTGAAGGATATTTTATTTTTTTGGGGCGAGCGTGGGGGCGAGGTGAGGGCGGAGGCGGATCCGGACAAGCCGGGGCACTCAGCCGGAGGCCGCTGCGCCCACGTCCCAAACCGGGTGGGCACCCCAACCCCCCAGCACGCCCGGGGTGGGCGCAAGGGCCGTCACCCCACCGCGGGGGTGCTGGGGGAGGAAGAGGGGACCCCAAGCCGTGACCCCACCGGGCTGTCCCCGCCAGCGGCGAGGGCGCAGGACGTTTTTCGGGGCCCACCCTGCGGCGGTGCGGGGACCAGCAGCCCCCCAGTGCTTCCCAGTCCGTCCCAGCCTCTCCCCACAGCCGCAGGGGCCGGCGAAACTGGGGAAAGGTATTTCCTTCCCTTCCCTTCCCACCCACGCCCCAACCCGCACTCGCAGGCAGGGAGGGTGAGGGAGGGCAGGTCAGGCACCACGGGGATGGCCCGGGAGCTGGGGGGGGACGCACCGCACACCCCGGTTTTGGGGCGTCCAGGTCCCTTGGGTCCCCCCGGCCGCAAAGGGCCACGCCGGGTGCTCGCTCGTGGCCCCGGCTCGTGGCGGGGAGGGGTCCAAGCCTTCCCCAGCCCTGGGTTCCCCAGCATGGGTCTCTGTGTGTGTGGGGGGGGTGTCACTGTCCCCAGCCCCGCCGCGGCAGGGCTCGGGGACATCAGGGAGCCCGTTGTGAGCTGCCCCCCCCCGCCCGCCCCCGTTACAGGGTGCTGATGGCCCCCGGGCTCTGTTGCGGGGTCTCTGTCCCTCGCCCGGGGGGGGGGGCGCCAGGGTGGGCGAGCCCCAACCCGCAGCTCTGCAGTGAGGGCAGGGGAGCAGGGATGCACCGAGCGCTGGTGGCACTGGGAGAAGGGACACCGCCGTCACAGCACCAAAGTGGCTTTGCCAATGGCCACTCGTCCCCACCACTGCCCCTGTCCCTGTCCCCACGCCTTGCCGGCCCTCGGGGTGGGCGGCGTGGGGTGGGGGGGGAGTGGAGCCGGCTGATGATCAGCCTGGCCGAAAGGAGAGCAGCCGAGTGGTTTTGGCTCATCAGTTCCTGAACTGGTTTACCCACCAGACAGACAGACGGACTGACGCTGGGGCCGGCGCGCGAGGGAGACGGCAGGAATGTGCCGCAGGGCTCGGGGCAGGATCGGGCCCTGCAGCGCTGGCCCAGGCTGGCGCTGGGCTAATGGGGCTGCGGGTGCGGAGGAGGAGGGGGCCAACCCGGACACGGCGAGGAGCAGGGAAAGGCTTTTCCTTGGCACCTTTCTTCTCCGATATCGCCGTTTCTGGCATCTCCGCCAAATTCTGATCGTCAGGGATTATTCCTTCTCTGCGTACGGGGAGCCTCGGCGGGGACGGGGAGGGCACCCCACGCTCGTTGCACCCCCTGCTACCTCCGCGGAGCACTGAAAGGGTTTGAAAAGCTGAGGGTGACCTTGAGGGCACGGGGGTGGGAGCTTGCTTTTCCAGCCCTTCCTTGGGGAAGCCAGCGCAGATGTGCTGGGGGGGTCCTGGGGGGTGCACTCCGCAGGCAGCCGAGGGATGTCTTGCCCAAGCAGCTACTGGGGGTCAGCCCAAAGGTGTGTGTCCCCCCCCTCAAGCTCCTGGCCTCCTGTGGGGCCACGGCCAGCACCGATGGGCAGGGAAGGGTGCACAAACAGGCACGGGGCGCAGCGGCAGCTCCACAGAGCGCTGCTCGGGGAGGGGGGGGGACACACAGGCAGGGACGGGGGTCTCCGGCCGGCGGCGGTGGCCTGGGATGGAGCTTTCTTCCCTGGAAGTGCCCGGTCATTCCTAGAGCCCCGGCAAACTCGTGGCACCGGTGATGTCCCGAGGGAAGCGGGTTTCACACCCTCCCCACGCAGCGTGCGAAGAGCTCACTCCTGCCTCGGGCTCAGCAGCCAGTTTAACTCAAATGCCCCCCCCACCCCGCTCCGGTTCCTGCACCAGCAGGAACCAGGACAGGGTCACCCCCCTCCCCAGCACCCAGGACCCCCCGGCGCTCTCCTTCCGCTGGATGATTATTTGATTTGCCCGCGGCGGTGGCCCCAGAGCTGGCCCCGCTCCCCGAGCGCTGCCTGCTGCCTCTCCCACTCACGTCCCCTTCTCCCGAAGCCTGGAAATTCAGAGTGAGGTTTGGCCAGATCTGGGAACTTTCTGCACGTTACCAAGTCATTCCAAAGAGCAGGTGGGTAAGAGGACAAGCAGCTGGGGGGGCAAAGCAGATGGAGGGGCTGGCGGGGGTCACCACTGCAGCAGCACGCCTCATTTCTGGACATTTATTCCAGCGAGGGGCCGCCGAGCACAGCGATGACAACGCGGTTCTCTTCTCCCCGGGGGGTTCCGGGCAGGGGAGAATAAGCCAGTCCTGTTTCCTTGCAAGAGTCACTTCTGCGTTGAGCAAGACCGCTCCCAAAGCAACCACCACACATGCTGCTGGGCGTGAGACAAAACGCCTGCAGCGTCCGGGAAGAAATTCCACCTACCTGTGCAGGGTTGCACAAACAGCCGCGGCAAGAGGCGGTGCTTTTCCGCCTTCCTCCGAAGCACCGGCCGCCCTCCGCCTCGGAGGTATTCAGATACTATGGAGATAGAGCATAATGAACTGTAATAACACACGTAAATACCACAATCTGTCAGCCCGTCACCTTTAAATAACAAGGCTCCTTTCCCTGACAGCCTACACGCACGCTGGAGCCTGGAAATGAAAATACTTCCGAGGCGAACGGCTGTCACGTAGGAAGGCGCCGGGCAGGACCCCAGCGCGCCCGCCCCGGGGTGCAGACGCTGCCCGGGGCCTCCCCAAACTGCAGGATGTGGGGTTTGGTTCGCCGGCAGCTCGGACACCGCCCGGCTTCGTTTTCGCAAGAGGCACGTCACGAGCCGGGGAGGTGGTGGGGGGGGGGCAGTTCCCAGGCTGGGGTGGCATCGCGGTGCCACGCGCCGTCACGCCGTCCCCGCCGCTGAGAGAGCCAGGGGTGGGGGTCCCAGCGGGTCTCTGCCACCACTGGGCACAGGAGCGGGCCCCCCGCTTTGGGGGTGCAGGACTGTGGGGTGCAGCGCTGATCGCTGTGCGGGGAGGAAGAGCTGCTGGGGGAGGTGGTGGTGGTGGTGGGGGGTGTTCCCCACCACGGAGGGAGAACGAGCACAGCGAGACCGAAAACAGCACTTAAAAAAATAATTTTAATGTTTCAGGTACACCATCTGGTTTATTCCACGGCGGATCACACAGCCTGAGTTAGCACAGAGGTTGGGAGTGGGGAGGGCTCATCCCTGACCACACTTTTGCCCAAATCCAAACCTCGGGCTGACGCGGCTCCGTCTCCAACCAAAGCTCCACAGGGAGAAAAGGCACAAACCTTTTGCCTCCGTGAATCCCACCACCTTTACAAAAAAAAAACCCAACAACCCCAAACCCCACCAACCCCTTTTCCCCTTGAAACTGCTGTCTCTCTGGCTCGGGAGCCTCATCACTCAAGCACACTGGCAGCAAACCTCAAATTATTCATGATAATTCTCCATAGGGCCTGGAGAAAACAGCCGAAGGGAGTTGCACAGAGCAAACGTCCTCCTTGTGTTTTCCCAGTAAGGAAGCCAAGGCTTTCTGAAACACCCTCAGGTGCCACCATCCACGGAAACACGGGGTGGATTCCAAACTCAAACGGCAGATGCCTTTCCCGGTCACCAGGACGTGTCACTGACAAGGCAGGGACAGGCAAATTAAAGTGCATTATAGCACCCGGGCAGAGCAGGAGGTGGAGACACCTTTGGCGGAACGGTACTGAAACTGCTGGAAAAAAGCAACTCATCCTGGTGACCCTGGGTGCCCGGCTGGGCTTTGCTGTACTGACCAGCGGGTAGGAAGCAACCCTAAAAAAAAAAAATGTAGTTTCATCCTTTTGCTTTGTGGGGTAATCTAAACAACGTAAACAGCCGTTCAAAACAAGGACCCCGGTGCTTCCAAAAGTAACTCTGAGCACAGTCCCATGGAGCACTTGCTCTTCGAGCCCAGTTCACAGTTCCCCTTTAGAGCTCACAGTTGCTTGCAAATTAGTTCTGCTTTAACGGCGCAAAGACAACTATTTTGTTCACTTTGAGCCCCTGGAAGGAGGCACCTGGAAAGACACTACGCAGCCGGAGCGGGTTTGGCTCTGCCAGGCTGAACCCTTTCCAAAGGAGCTTTTTAACGCCACCTCGTCCCAACGGAGACCGGCCAATATTCACACCCCTCTTCTGCAGGAGAGAGCAATTTTTCTGCTCCGGCATCCATCGCCAGCAATGGACACAGGGCGTTTGGTCAAATCACTGTGAAAGCAACCTGGGAAGCGTGGGAGTACTGGAAGCACTTGTAAACCTCGCTGCAGCGCACCGCCAGGCCATCCTGCTTCGGCTCCCCGTGGCACCTCCTCCAGCCACCGCGGAGCAGAGCTGATTCAACGTGGCTTGGGAATTCGGGATTAAATCCGGTTCAGCGGGGGGCCCCGCTGCCAGGACCGCTCAGAAGGTGCTCTCGAGCAGGCAGTGGCACCCACAGCCCGTGGGACACACCTCCTGGGTGCGAAACCACTCCATCATATGGCTGGTGTGGCCTCCGTGTCCGCACGTCAGGCAGAAATTGGAGGAGCCCCGCACTGCCACGTGGCAGATGGCACACTGGAAGGTGAAGCCCTTGCAGATGGCACACTGGGTGCCGCGCACCTCGCTGCGGCAGTGGCTGCAGTACACGCCGAACTCTGGCCGGGGGAAAGAAACGGAGAGCGAGACAATTAGCGCCGGCAGAACCGTGGACAGGGGAGCCCTGCACACAGCCCCCCCCCCCCCCGCCGTGTGACGGGCGAGTCCCCCCGAACCCCCTGCCCGAGAGATCCGCCTCAGCGGGTGGGAAATCTTGGCGAGGTCTCAGCTTGATCTCCAAAGGAGAGAAACGGGCGATCGGCAGGCAGGGGCAGGGCCTGGCCCGCCGATCCCCGGCGGTTGAACGGCTGGTCCGCCCGGCGCGCGCGTCGCACTTCTCGCTGCGGAGGGGGCAGCTGCCCGCCGGCCCCACCTGCCCCGCGTCGCGACCAAGCGTAACTTGGGAGCAAACGAGAACGGGCTCTGCTTCTCGGCGCGGAGAGAGCGCTCGCTGCGAGCTGGATCGGGGCTGCGACTGAGGGGCAACGGCAGCGGCGGGCTGAGTCAGCGAGTTTCGCTCCAGTCCCTCCCCCGGAGGAGCCCCGGGGGGCAAGGCGAGACAACCGCTGCTTCTCTGGCACCTCTCACCCGCTTCTCCCCTCCCAGGTTCAGTGCATTTTTCCCCAGGAAGAAGACATTTTGGCAGCTGTCCTTAAGCGGCAGCTCCGGGCACCTACACTGCTGAAAATGTTTTGGGAGAAGCGTTCTATTTGCCTATTTCTTGGCTAGCTCACCCACAGTTTGAGATCTTGCAATTTTATGCATGCACTGTAAGGACACTTCAGAATCAGAGATTAGGACAGCACATGTCTGGGCTTATTCAGAGGGAATAAAGAATAGCCATCAGCATAAACAGCTCCGCGTTGCTAGCGTAGCAGTACAAAGCGCTTCCAGCTTTGCAGTCTGCAAAGCCCCTGAACCAACATCTGCAGGCCTCACCTCCACCCCGAGCTGCAAAGAACCTCTGGGCAGATCGATGGACACCATTCACCCCACCTGCTGACCGCACGTTCCCGAGGCAAGAGCCGTGCCTCTGCCCGGGCAGCCGGCGCAGACCGAAGCAGGAACTCACCAATTCCTTTGTGGGGATCGGGAGGACAGGAGACAAACTTCAGAACCTCGGCCCGCTTCTCTCGCAGGCCCCAGCGATAAAGGATTTCTCCATAGCACTTCTTAAAGTCATCAAACTGCTGAGTGTTGGCAGGATCCAGGAGCCTAGAGGAACAGAGAGGGTTGTCACCCACCCGGCTGAGCCTCAGGGACTCTGGTTGCAATCCTCTTCCCAGCGATGGCTACGCAACCGGCTCGCATCGCCAGAAGAGCAGCAGATTATTTTCCACGTGTTGCTGAAACGTCACTGAACGTTAACTGGCCTGGCAGCCGCTTGCTCTAACACTCAAGGGTGTGGGCTCAACGGGGTGGATCGCCCTCTGGGGCTCCCACCGTGGCTACTTGTAGGCGACCCCAGCAGAGCTGATCTGCGGCGTGAAGCTTCTCCAAACGACTGCCCGAATGGAAAGGTCTGAGAGCAGGTGTGGTGCCGCACAGCACGAGCCCGAGACCTGGCTAGAGAGCTCCAGCTGACGTGGGCACAGAGTAATGCATCCCTGAACACCCCCAAGGCACGCTATAACCTACCTTTTGTTTTTCTCATGCTGGTCTTTCTCACGCTCCCGATGATCGGGATACATCAGGTTCCCGTAGCGGTAGTCATCCGGAGAAGACTCGCACCAGGGGGTGGAGGCCTGCTCCGTGTCTTTGTTGGCTGCAAGCAGCAAAAGGCTGTGAGCACCCCTCAGGGAGCGCAGCCCTCGCGAGCACAACCTCCTCAAAGCCAGGGACGGGGATGTGGGAGACCACGCACTCGCCCACCCCGTTTTTTTTTTTCCCTGAGACACTGTCCTATCACCCTCTGCATTCCTACAAACGCTGCCCTGCCTCAGAAAACCAAGTGCCAGCCTCTGCCTGACAAAGTGCTTCTACGGCACTTCTGGTGACAGGATGGAAATGGGGGGATCCATCAGGCAGAGAAATCCAATATAGAGGAACCTGTTTTCCTTTCCACTTTAGACAAAAACTAACCAGGCAATCAATCCCATGGAGTTTCCTTGGGGATGTTATCCCTGGCAGGCCCGGGCTCCTCTTTCCTAGACAGGGAGGACTCTCATCACCAGGGCTGCTGTTACGTAAAGGGGCCTCTGTATGTAAGGTATTGCCCTGGGGCAGGGAGAAGACTGCTAGTAATCGCTACAAGACAACATCAGCTCCCTTAACCCCCATGAACCGCTCCTCCCCCGTGTCACAGATGCCTTGGTACTGAAAAGTCACAGCTCTGCTGCTAACAGGGCTGATGCTGCCCCAGGCCATGTGTATCGCCAGGAATCGGTCAACAGGAGCCCTTAAGAGCAACTTGTCTTGGACACCTCTGCAGCTCAGCAGAAAACGTCCTTAGGCCTGTGGATATTCACGGCACCAAGAACCCAGCCTGCCCCACTGCTGCTGTTTTTCCAGTGACAGGAGAAAGCACAGCATTGCTTTTTCCCCTTGGACCCTGTGGGATTAGCTGGCTGACGACGCTGCAGGGCCACTCTCGGTAACTGTTGAATGATCACTGGTGACTGGGAGAGGCACCTGAGGGCTGGAGGAAAGCGAATGTCACACCTGCCTTCAAAAAGGACAAGAAGAAGGATCCAGGGAACTGCAGGCCGGTCAGCCCGACCTCAATCCCTGGGAGTGTGATGGAGCAGCTAATCCTGGGAACCATGTCCAGGCACATGAAGGACAAGGAAATTACCAGGAGTAGCCGGCATGGGTAACAACCTCACACTGTGCAAAGCACGAGGGCCGTGGAAAGCTTACGGCACCAGGCAGTCACCCCAAGTGCTTGCTAGAGCCAGGCTGGAAGTCAAACAGTACAAACTGTTCTGTCTCTTTACTTGTGTCCAACTGGAAAAGGCAGCAGTGGGAGCTCTTGGCTCTGCGTTAACCTGCGACCCAGGGGCCTAGCTTGCTATGGGCTGGGGCGTTTGTAAGGGTTTCTCCCAGTCGGACAACAGGCTACACAAGTCAGAAGGGGCAGGACTGTGGGAGCATCAACACGGTTACAGCAAGGCCTGCTTGCTTCCAGCCATGGAGTCACACCATGCTGGGCAAACCCCGGAAAGCTGCTCTGACAGAGCACATCTGCCATCACAGCCAGTAACTAACTCCCTCCCGCCTTTCCCCGCCACAGGCGCCACCTAAAACCTAGGCCAGAAGGGAGGCAGATCCCTCTATTCACTACTCGGGTCTTGGTACCTATGCTCCAGCCTCCAGTGCCAAGTCCAGGATCTGACATGCTGGAACAGGAGCCAGAGGAAGTAAAGCTGGGCTGTTGAGAGGAAAAGGAAACCGTGTCATCGACATGAGAGATGTTCAAGGACAGCCAAGGCAAATGGGAAATAAACGGTGCTCGTACGTATCGGCTGTGGGAGGCCACGTTGGAGGCACGCTGAGGAAAGGGGCTGTAGGAGTTTGGGCACCCCTGTAACCTGGACTGGGCTTCGAACACACTGCACAGCATGGCCAGGGTCTGCACGTCGTGGAGCTGAGAGTAATGAGCCAGCCTGGGAAATGAAAAGACAGACAGCATGAGACGGGCAGAATTCAGTGGCAAAAGCATCGAGACTCCAGGGCAACTCATTTTGAGCCCGCTGCATAAATCGATTTGGGTCACACTGTGCCCACAGGAGGCAGGATGGGGTTGTCTTTTCTGTCGCACCTTTGAGGAGCCAAGTCCTCCTGAAAACACTAGTGGCCTAACGGGTGGGAAAAAATGGGAGCTCTGGAAACGCTGCAGTACTTGTGGCCTGATTATCCCAAGTTTGTGCAGCTTCAGAAGCAACGTCCACAGAACTGATTCTAACTGGATGTAAAGCTGAAGCCATTAGACTCACCCCAAAAATGCCTTTCTGACAAAACCCCCTGCAGGCAAGCAGCCCGCATCTAGATCACAAGGCCACCGCAGGCTTTCTGGATGGCTGTGAAGTTTCTGGTTTGCTCTGAAGAGTGAGAGCAGTGAAGAACAACCTGTGCTCCCCTCCCATCGCTGCCACGCAGCAGGAAAGAGCTAGGTCAAGCAACAGTATGCAAAGCGCACCACACAAATCCTGCACCTCCAAACAGGGCATATAGACAGATAATAACAATTACTAATTATGCCCCCTCCTGAACAGGTTCACTGTCAGGAAGACAGCAGCTAACACTTGGCTTTGAGACCAGTGGAATGATTTCCCTTGTTATACAGCAACAGTGAATTTGAAGGTGAAAACAGGAGCTGCACCAACATGTTCATTCAAGAGGTGGGGAGCAGAAAACCAGAATCTCCAATCAGGCACCGCAGGCACGCCGGAAAGCAGAGCTCCAACTGCCCCTGGCCTCCCGTGTGTCTGAAACACACTTGCAGCTTCCCTTCTTAATGCATCTCAGGCTTGAGAAGGGAACGAAAAAATATACGCTATGGCACTGCTCCAAATCTGAAGCGATGCCTTACAACGTACATAGTTATCGAGGGCTATGCTTCAGCAACCATTCCCCAACCCCTCCCTGGCGTTCAGACACCTACAAGGACTCCAGTAATTGACGTCCAAATGGATGTTGTGCCCACGGTATCTCCAAATCTGGGTCAGACTTTGGTCCAAGACAGAGATCGGTAGCTACCATGGCCAGTGACCAAACCTGGCAGACAGGAAGAAAAAGCATCAAAGCTACAATTAGAAATAACCACACTCCCAGGGCATAGGTGTGCACAAATTCACTCGCAGACAGATAATAATGTAGCTTGCTTTTTTTTTTTTTTTTTTTTTTTTTCCTGACAGCAGGGAATAGTTGCAGCCTCTGTATCACAAATAATATAGAGTAACACAAGCCTGAAGCTTTTCCCGTCCCCCTTGCTTTGAGTTTGGGCTAAATTCTGAAGAATAGTGTATTGTCTAACAGACCTGTCAGAGTAGCTTCACAGACGACTTAGTGCATTTTATAGTTACAAACCTCCAAAGGGTTTGACATAGTTCTTGGGTTTGGAGATGTCTGGTGGCAGCAAGTTTACTGGTGAATCATCATTTGCATGAAAAGTATCTTTTGATTAGCTGTGAGTGTTACTCTAGCACAGCCCGGCACAGACAGGAGTACAGCTTACCATTTCTCCTCCAACAGTTTAACTATTTCACATGAAATTTCTCCTTTACTTATCTTCCTCTACTCTGAAAACGGTCCCATCTTTTCTGGCTCTATACCACTGATCTAGGACTGCTTTTCTGCGGTGCCTTTTGAAATGCAGCAATTGGATTGTTTCAGGGAAAAGCAAAGCTCCTAGTTTGGCATGATTAAAAGAGTAGGAAAGGAAAAGGAGCGTGGTGCTGGAAAGACAGCAGAAACCAGAGACCTGACAACACAGAAAAGTAAAGAAAAAACACATGCTCCAAGTACAAAGAACAGCCAAGAACAGTAGTCCCACAGCTGCTCACTGTGAAACCAAAGAGTAAGAAACAGGAGAGAAACTGATACGAGGACAGGGCTGAGTACAAGAGAGCACAGAAAGGAAATGGGAAAGACGCCCCTTCCTACACTGCTATAGAGCACATCTTACATGTAACCTGCAACTCGAGCCCCCGTGTCTGCTAGGAACAAGGCAGGCTGCAATACAGGCAGGAGTGACACGGGACAGGGCAAGACAAGCAAGAAACTGAGGTATCTCAGAGAAATCATGCTGAAGTTATTCCACCCAAGCTCTGGTCCAGCGTGGGCAAACCAGACAGCATGAGGAAGCCCAAACAATGGGGAACTAGACCTACCTTCTCTCTCTCCTCGTCCAGCAGAACTCACCAAGAAGCAAGACAACAGCTTGAGTTTGCTTCTGCTCAGATCAGGTAAGCCTACGCATGTTCCCTGCCCAGGTCTAGGCAGAGCCAAACGCTCAGGAGAGGTGCACAGGCTCCTCTGGCAGTGCCAGCCCACTCCCATCTCCTTCAGCCACTCCTGAGTCCTGTCAAACGTTCTGCCTGTTGCGATGGACTAAGCACATGGGAAAGCATGGGCCAGAGGAGTCATTTTGCTCCTATTATTAGCTGAAGGCAAGTAGCCAGCTCCATTCTGGGGCTGGGTTCCTGTGCTCAGACTCTTGGAGAGAAGCGAGCTGCAGTTAGCTCCCAGTGCCAGCACAGATGAATACCAAACAACAGGGATGATTACATAAGTAAGAAAAAAAATCACTGATCAAAATGCTGACAGCAGCTAGGCAACTCTCTGCACAGTTACTCCACTTGCTGACTCAAAAGCAGGCTGCGTTCCTCCCTTTGCCTGCAGGAATTCCCTGAAAAAATGTGCTGTACTCAGTTTGGCAAAGGGCACAACACAATCTGCTTGCAGCCCTGGGAAGGGATCTCTCGAGGCCAAGAGTCAGTGAGGTAGAGACCACATTCATGGCTGTTCCACAGGCCTCAGCTCACCAACCAGAGGGCCCCTGGCACAACTGCTGAACCCAGGTGGCCGTTTGGGTATCAGGGTGACAGCACAAGCCATTGGAGGGTAGCACAGCATGCTGAGGAAGACGTCTGATTCAAAGTCATACCTGTACGAGATCCCTCCGTCCCACAGCCAAGGCTGAGGCAGCATTCTTCTGGCAAGTCTCCTGGATATTATTCACATTCAGTCTAAAAAGAAAGGAGATAGCTCAGCTCTGGTGGGCACGTTACCTACAAAAGTGGGGAGGGATGTGGGGAAAGTGGTACCTGCAGCAGTGAGCAGCCCAGAGCTTGCTCATCAATATGAGCCTGCTAGCATAGCCAGGATCCCATCCCTTCCGTCTGTGTTATTCAGGGATCACTGCCATCCTTCTCTCACTATTCATCTTCACTAACACACCAAGTCCAGTTCCAAACTAGCTGGGATTGATCTTAAGAAGCACCATTTCCAAGGAGATACTGGACTAAACTTGTGCCAGGATATCATCAAGCCAAGATGCATTCTTATCCCTAGAAGCTGGTGCCATCAGTTACGTGGTCCTGTTCCCACTCAGCCTGCTGGTCTGCTCTGACCGACCAGGGCGGAGGTGGTGGTACGCTGTGGAGAAGCAGGCTGGTCTTCAACCTGTTCTCCAGGAGGATAACGTATCCACCGGGGAGTTTGAGAGGCTGGCAAGGTGGACTGAGGAAACCCACGTGGGCTTTCCTGCTCATCGTCAGAAATCTTCCTGGGACACTTGATACTTTTACCGCTTAAGACCTTACAGCAAACAGAAAAGGGTCCGTGTCAACGGACTGGAAATCCTGTGAAGGACCAGACAGTCTTACCAAAGCTAAGGAAGCAAAAATTCAGGAACAGAGATTTTGTAACTATCTGAATCAGCCAGTTTGGGAAAAGCAGCTCCTTGCTTAAAAAAACCCAAACCAAACGAAACAAACAGAACTTCTCCATCCTTTCCACTAATGCAGAAGAACTTGTTGTACAGACACTGTCCCGTACAACCAAGACTCCTAGTAAATGGGGCACTCCAAACACTTCTGAAATTAAAAAGCCTTATGCACTAATAACAGTTTTATAGTAAGAGAACGGGCATTTATTCGGATTTTTAAGCCTGTACATTTGAGTGTGGAGTTTAACATGAGATCTGAAAAATAGCTGGTACCGATAATTTTAAATGACAAAAACCTGAACCTGCAGTGATGATACTGGAGCACTGGTTAAAACTTTGTGTACAATACCCCATCACAAGTTTCTTCCATCACACTTTTCAGATTTATAGCAGACAAGTCCCCTCTCGCAGGCAGAGAGGGATACTGTAAAAGATCACTAAGGCAAAAACAAGAAGGTAGGGAAACATTCAAAGATTGGTGCTGACCGATTTCAGGATTAAAACACAGCGATGCCAAAGACAGGTGCTTTCATTTGGGAAAGGATGCCAGCCCATACTCACATGTAGAGCTCTCCCAGCAGCTTGTGGACAGGCAGCAAGCAGGAAATATCTTGGATAATAACTTTCCCTGCGGCTTTGATGGGTCGGTTGTTGGCATCTGTCCCTTCTCGTTTGCTTTTCCATCGCCTTGATTTCTGCAGAACAAATGGCAACGTGTCACTGGGGTGAAGGACAGCAGGCTTCCTGGGCCAAGGAGCAAAGCACTAGGGTCAGGAATAATGCAAGCAGCACCCAAACCTGCCTTTCAGAAGGCTCTGTGTTACCCTGGAAAACATCCATGACATGCCCAGGAGAACAAGCATCTCCATCTGTAGGAAGTGAAAAGCAGGTCAAGGCAGCGAGCTCAAGGTCAAACTCACTCAAAAAGTATTTTGTGAGTTCCCCTGTGAAAGCCAATAAGAGAACAAATCAGCATCGGGATGCCAATCAAACCTGGGCAGGTTTGGCAGGAGGACGGTTCAATTATCATTCTCATTAGAGGTCTGGTCTGGGAACCCTCCGCACGGACCAGGGCTGACTTCAGCCAGCATCAGCACAGAGACATGTGGGAGGCAGCTTCTGCTTGCCCTTAGCTTCAGGGCAAGCTGACAGCTCCAGACTGTCTCTTTTGGTCTCTTCTTTCAGTGTTTGAGCACACCCCTGTTTAGCGCCAGGACAGGGCTCCCCCCCTCCTGCTTCACCAACAGCTTCAAACAAATAACTGGTAGATGATAAAGCAGGGCCCAAGTTTTCCTAGCAAGGATCCTTAGCTACCATGCTCACAGCTACTCACAGCTAGCTCAGGACATAAGGCAGGGTGAGGGTGGGGCATGGGGGGGGGGGGGAGAAGAAAGGAGAGGAATCACCACAAGGGAACAAAAACAAGAAGCCAAGATGATTCCCAAATACTCCTGGTAACAGGCAGAGGCTGTCTTAATGCCAAGCTGCACAAAGGTACCTTGGCTGTACGAAACACCGCGGAGTATTTGGCTGGTATCCTGGCCCCTTCTGGCTCCTGGCTCTAGGAGGGTGAGGAGGAGGGATGAGAGGATGTGTGGCAGCACGACAGGCAGAAGGCACCGGAGCTCTACCCAGGGAAGCACTGGCTGCTGCACAGGGTTCCCAAGTGCGGCGAAGGATGCTTTTGCAATGCTGCTCCCCTGTGGCGTGTGCCCTCACTGACACACAGAGCCCATGCTCCTGCGCAGAAGTGTCACGCTGAGGTACGGAGAGTCTCCTGAGGCAGTTGTGGGGCAGCTTCCTACACCCCTATCTGAAGCTGAGGGGTACCTTTGGAGGGGCCAGCAAAGCAGCCCTGTGCTGATGGCTCCGCAGGGCAGCAGAGCCCGCACGGGCAACACCTCGGTGCTCCTGAAGAGCAGGCCGGGCTACAGGAAGGGCAAGACTGGCACCTGCAAGCAGGCTCACTTCTGCTGTGGGTGTCAGGCCAGCTCTGGGATGGCTGGGTGCCAAACTGCCTTTGACCATGATCACACAGTCCTCTAAGAACCTGGGCAGGCTTACCACAGACACAAAATGCCCGTTAAAAACCTTAAGATCCTTAAGAAATTAATTCCTTATTCACTGCCTGCCTGGCCCAAGCTTAGACCCACGTGCTGAGGAGGTCTTGCCACGCTGAGCATACAGCTAGCACGTGCCACAAGAAGCAAAAAGGATGTGCTCCCAAAGTCACTTTGGACACTGGGTGACCACGACCAAGGCTCAGAGGCTCAAGCTCAGGCCTGACAGTAAGCGAAGGAGGTGCTTCAGACTTGAAGGAGATGAAGGTGGATTTTTCCAAGGATGCCCACGTGACAGGGCATCACCACCGTTTCCCTGATCTTCCCCTGCTCCCTGGAGTAAAGAGGAGCAGACACTCGTGCTGCCCAACACTGAGGTGCCAAGCACTGGTGGAAACAGGGCTGTCAGCATTCAGCGCTTTGGAAAAACTGCCTGACTAGGGCATGATTCTATTCTCTGCCACATCCCCTCAAGTCCTAATCCATCCAAGAGAATCTGCCTGCTGTATGTATCTGCTGCACCGCTCTGAAGCTGAGAAGGTGGTCAGGTGGGAGACCAAACTCTCTTCAGCCCATCAGTTCTTAATCAAGGCGCTGTCTGGATCAGTTCTGGCTCACTTGCTGTCGGGCAGGCTATACCTCTTTTGGTAACACCTAAAAATGTAGCTACCCTTCTGTGCTGAAGGATGTGGGCAGCGAGGAGCTGCTGATGCTGCCAAAACCAATGCTTGAGCAAAGCTTGGGAGCTCCAGCGTGACAACATGCCATCAGGGCAAGAGCTCAGGCACCGTCCTGGAAGGGCTGCCAGGCTTCTCACAACAAAAGCTGGTACTTGTGCTGTGTCTGAGCAGGTATTTGAACCCAGGCTTGCAGATGCAGAACCACATTCTGCAGCTCGATCACCAAGGGCTCCTAAGAGCTTGGCAGGTAATTTGGAGAGCAACTTGCCACCTCCTGACCATCTGTAAGCCAGCTGCCGCCAGGTCTCACAGCCGATGGAGAGTTCCCCCTGACCGAAGCAGGTTCACTGCCCCGTCATCGGGAACAGATTCAACCTGCTCCTGCCCTCTGCAAAAGCGGACTGAAGAAGCCCCTGAACAGATATTTCAAAGACTAGAAACATGGACAACACATATCACTTCCCACAGGTAATTCAGTCACTTTTTTTTTTTTTTTCGGAGGAGAATGACAACAGATGAAGATGAGAATGGAAGAGAAAGCCCATGAATGGTTTCACCTGCTTGCTGTTAGCGTACCACCAGACAAATGAAAACACTAAATGTATCAGAACCCCCTGAAAACTTGGACTCACAACAAAATCATGCAGTTTTCTTCCTCTTCGCACTGCCTATTTAGTGGCAAAAAGGGAAGCCCTAATTCTTTACTGGTGCAGCTCCTGGAGTACAGTCAGTCAATGGGCCCTATGCCCTGCCAGTACTACATTTCCATGACCACTACTTCCTGCCCCTCGAGCTGTGACGGAAGAAAATCAAAGCCACGTGTAGAGTCACCATTAAAAATGCCTGGTTTTTTTTTGCAATCCAGGCTTGCCTCAGCTACAGCAGCAAAGCATTAGAAAAAAAATTACAGTCACAAGTACAGGAACCATTACCGATGAGGTAAAGCTCATCACTGCTGACAGCAGCTCTACTTTGAACCAAATAATTGCTGGTGTTAATTACAGGAGCAGCTCTCCACCAGGCAGTATGTAAGCACTATTAACAGGGATTACCAGAGGCAAGGAGAGCTCTAGCCTGGATCTGTCTGGCCAACGTCCACCACAAGGTTCCTCTCTCCCTTCTGCTTCACCTCTTCTCCCAGGAGAAGCTCCCGCTATGGTGTTATCAAAATCTGTCACTGAGGCCCATGGGCATTAGGTTAGAACAGAAAATAAGTCTCTTCCTATGGGCTGGAGCACAGGTCATGAGGGGGAACAGGGAACCTAACGGTTGGAGCTGAAGCAGAAATCAACATGCGTGCACCAAGCTAACTACTGACAGCTGAAGGTCAAAGACACAGGTCTTCTGCACTGCCCCTGACATTTCTAGCTCTTTCTGCAGCCTAGAATCCATGCCAAGGAGAACTGCATCTACCCAGCTGGTTCTGAGAATTTAAGGAGAGGAAGAAAATAAAGAAAATAGCAACAGTGATAATAAATCAAGATTCATCAGTTTCTCAGAGCACCAGAAGGAAAGAAACCAGAGCATTTATGACAATCATGGGGTTGAAGGTGACAGTGGGGAACAGCACTGAGTAATGACTAAAAAAAGCCAGCCTGCACCTGCACTACCATACCCAAGGCTGTAATTTGCTGCAATCTGAGGTGATAACGATGGCAGTAAATGGGTTACATGTAGAAACAGATAGCCCAAGAATAAGCCACCAACTGCTTCGTAGCAACCACCATCATCACTGCATACTCAGCAGAAGTAGTTACAAAATGCTGCATGCCTGCTCTGAAAGGATGCTGAACGGTTGGGTGTGTCGTTGGATTCTGTTGAGGCAGGCAGTGCTGTAAGTAGCATCGTGAAATGTAAAGTGTCTGTTTCACGTAAGCATATGCAAAACTTCAGGGTTCGTGGTGTAAACTTGTGTTAGCAGGGCAAAGGGAAAGGTTGTGGACAGAAGGATTAAGCTGCAATACGGCATTTACAAAATAAACAGTTAAACCTGTTCAAAGTCAGGTTCAAGCTGCTTCTAATATTTTTTTTTTTTTTCTAAATAAATGTAAAAATTGCTGCCTCTCTGCAGAAAGCTATGCTCCTTTATACTGAACAACTGCCTACACATAAATTCCCCCATGCAGGTCATGCATCACTGCTTGGATTTTCTCTTCAAAATAATCAACATTTACTATTTCCAGCATCTCCCACAGTACCAGGCACCTTCCACAAACCGAATAAAAAATCTGAAGCACTTTTGAAACAAGTGTCCCGCAGCAGGAATATTTCTTTATAGCTTCCATCAATTAATAGCTGGCACCTGCCCTCAGCACAGGCATTTCTGAAGTGGAGGCTAGTCATTACCTAGAAAGGAGGAGGAATTATTCCTTCTCCTACACTTGCCAAGTTCTTGCTCCCCTGAGCACCTTCGGCAGTGCTGTGCTCTTCTTCCAGAAGGAAGGCACCTGCTCCGCACAAACAATCCACTCCTCTCGTCGTGCATGCCTGCGTCTTCGCCTTGGGCACTACTGCCCACTTGAGAGAGACTTGATAACCTCTTCCAAAGCTTATCCACAACTACCATCAATCCTTCAAGGCGGCTTGGACTAACGCATGTATCATTTTTAAGTATACGCTACACAAAATCGTAACTTTTATCACATCACTACTTGCTCTTCCTTCCAAACCAGCTGTGAGGGGAAACTGTGGCCCTTTGTGCACCAGTTTACCACACCACAAGCTGGCAAGTTCCTTACTTGGTTTTCTTTCTTTCAGTCTGTTCCTGATCCAAGACAGACCTTCATTTCTTGACTCCACTGCTCACACTTCTTTATTAGCTCTTTGCAAAAAGCCTCGATGGAGTCAAGTAAATTACTTCTGCTTTCTTTCACCTATTATTTGCTAGTATAATCTTAGAGCTGTTGTAATTAGGAAGGCTTGATCCTATTATACCAAGTTAAATTAGGTGTTACAGGAGTCTATTTTACTCCCTGATGTCTTATGAAGAGACAGCATGAAGGACAGCAGCTGTGAAAAAACAGTTGTTCACACAGACATTAAGAAAAAAACGGGCCTAAAGAGATCATCTTTAAATTGAAATGGAGTTTTCTAAGCTTTGCCTATGCTTGGCAGATGAGTGATGAGATAGTAATTGCTCAAATTTACAGCACAGCTTGAGCAACGTTAATATCATCAAGACGTTCACATGAATGATGTTCAAGCTTGAGGGACATGTGGACCTGACTAATGGAAAACGACTGTCAAAGCAGTCTCGGAAGGGCAGGTGCCAGGAGGAGGGAGAACCTGCCAGGGTGGCTGGAAGTGCAACCGCTCGAACTGAATGCGGGATGGTGTGATTCCAAGGGCTGGGAGAAGATCACAAATTACACAGAAATTCTATTTATTGCTCCAGGAAGTAAGATCTCACGGTGCACTGCACTGAGAATAGGCAGCTCATTTTAATGAGATGACAGATCGTTGTCAGCAACTCAACCAGTTTGTTTCTTCCACAGCTCTTACGTGATCCTCCCTCTCCAGCAAGGCTTCATCTTTCTCAGAAATTAGGTGCTCTAATGTCAGTCTCATCAGTTGGTTGATGATACATAATCATTCAGCTCCTCTGCAGTGCTCTCACTTTCTCAGAGGTTGATTCTTTCTTACACTTCAAACTATCCCTGAGCATCCCTCCCTGACTGCTAGGCCAGGAAACACAGGCATGTTGTGGGTCGGTATTTGTACCCTGCAAGCTAGGGTCTGTTCCTGTCCACTTGCACGTGCATTCACTCCCACGGAAGCCCTAGGCCCTGTGTGGAGCGCAAGTCCCCCACCTCTGTGCAGGTTACTCAAAGGCAGGCAGGTGGCATTTTATTCTTGGGCCCTTGGGCAGAAGACAAGGTTATATCAAGGACAGTATTAGCACAGCGCACAGTACCGGGAAGTCGTTAATTGCTTGTATGGACCAACGTCGCCGGGCAGAGCGAGGAGACATCTGTATGTGAAAACATTATACCCAGGAAAAGGGAAGAAAGACACCAAGAAAATTAAAGACAAAGGTAAATAAACTGAAATGAAAAGTGCCCTGAACCAGCAGAGTAAAAGATACTGTTCCCAACGGTTCTGTTACACAACGAACAGTTGCAATCCACAATCCATCCCCACCTTCATCCACACACAATTTACTGTACAACGTTACCCACGGCCCTGGCAAAGCAAAGGCTGCTGCGTCTGTGCCCCACACCAGCCTCTGTGGAAGACTTCGGCAACCACAAATCTGAATCAAGTCTTCCACGTGGAGTTGTATTACTGCAAGAAGCACTGAACTGCTTCAGGTGACCTTGGTCATACCACGAATTGACAGCAGAGCAGAGGACAACACCCCGGAGCCCCACATGCCAGGCTCCTAATCTAACCAGTTTTACTCCTCTTGGCTGAAGAGGAAGGCAGCTAAGTGCAAACTGCATCATTTTTAACACAGCTGTCCAGCACCATGGCACAGAAATCTGCAGGAAGCTAAATAAACACTCCTGCTTACTCAGATATCCCTTTAACATCCAGCATCCTCCAGGACTTAATTCACTGGAACCTGCTGTAACTGTTCACTTTCATTTTAAACAATAAAAGCCACATGTCAGGATATTAGAAGGGATGTAAAGACCCTGCTTCTTGGCAGGGCCATGTGGAAATTGTCATTATGGGTTGAGGAACTCATTCAAGTTGAGTGAGCAATCAAATACACTGACTGACTATGCAGAATAGCTCCAAAGTAGGCTTCCATTACGAACTTGCAGACGTTTCATTAAGTACTCAATGCAGTATTATAGCAACAATAAATGGAATCTCTCAAAGCACATTACTGTGCCCTCACTTGAAAAAAAAATATCCCGTTATAGTTTTGTTAAGTCAGCACAATGAAAAAGGTTATTTGTATCATGTGCAATGTATTTTACCCTTATTTCCAGCCGATGAGAGGCAGTCAGGACCATCAGCCATGCCTTCAGCCCCTACCTGCCCTTGCACCTCACTGCTGGGAGAACCCTGCAGTCAGGGAGCTGACGCTGGCTGTGGAGCCCACAGGAAGAGAGAGAAGGCTGCAGCCTCGTGCTACAGGTTCCTCCACCAGGCCTCGCGAGAGGAGGAGCAAAGGGTTAGGTGAAGGAAATTCGGTATAGCAACTAAGCTCAGTCCCCCCTGCGAAGCCCTGCTCTCCCGTCGGCAGCCGCTGCTGCCAGCCTACGCTCCCACGTGCCGAGTCTGAGAGGGCTGCAACCAGGTGGGCACCAGGCAAAGCCTGAGGGATGTCCTGAGAAGCAGCAGTTTCCAAGCCTTGCCAAAAGTCCCGATGGGAAGCACGAGGACACCGCTGTCACCACCCCTGTGTACAGCCGTCCCCAGGTCCCCACTGGCACGACCCTCTAACTGGAGGGGGAGAACAACACAGCCACGGCGCCTTCTTTAGGAGACATCCAGGTCTGAAACACTGAGGGCATTGCCACAGTACAGATACAGCTTTTCCTTTCTGCTGACTACTGTTCTTTAGTGTTTTTTTTTTTTTTAAGGAGTGAAAAAGAGGGAGGAAGAAAGCAGGAGTGTGCATGTGTGAATAAAAAGTGAGAAAGATAGATATATATATATATGTGTGTGTGTCTGTGTATGTATATATATACGCACACACATTTAAATGAGCACAGAAAGTCTCAGTCCAGATTTAGTTTCATTTTGGTTTACTAAGGAGATCTCTGCCGGGTTCAGCAGCTCCCCTGCCTTCATGGGAACATGACATATTTCCTGTCTAGCAATGGGCAAATTTCATTTGTTTGCTCATGGTAGTGATGCCAGTCGTTGCTACATGGGATTTAAATACCTGGTTATTGCTGACAAATTCAGTTTTGGGGCTGAAGTTCTATAACATGAGTGTTTAAGACACGAAATTTCAACTTTTATTTAATGCAAATATAAAATTCAAGCTTCAGAGTAAGGAGTTAACTAGACTCAGAGTCTGAGCTTTTTAAAATCCTCACAATGAAATGACAAAAATATGTAGGAGTGATTTAACAGAGGCCGTGACATCAACTCCTGAAGAATCAGAAAACCTCTGCTGAAGGGAGATAGCTTTTTTTTTTTTTTTTTAAAAAAAAGGTATTTAATCTGCAAGAACATTCAAGCTGTCTCCCTGCTAGGACCCTTACACTTCTTCCAATCCGGCATGTGAGGAGATAGCTTGGCAGGGGAAGGGGAACACAGGAATCTTCTCTGGCTTTCAGCAGACGTGGCTACACACATGCTTTGTTCTCTCACTTTTCCTTCCCTGTGACAAAAATCTTGTCACCATCAATGCAATGGCTGGGGCAACAGGTCACATGAAATTGCACCAAGCTGCTTCCACATGTTATTTTTAGCCTTGTCTGTCATCTTAGAGAGCTGTGTGTCAGAGACAAGCACACTGCAGAGGACAGAGGTAGCTCTTTAAATAAACTCTCTGGCAAAGACTAGAACAGGCTGTAATTCTTGTACCAGGCAGCACCATTTTCTCTTCTCGTTAAAAAGAAGTTTGTGTGGGGGGAAAAAAACAGTACGGGGACTCCAAGAGTCTTCTGGGGTCTGTATGGAGGCAAAGCTTGCAATGGGGAGAGAGGCTCACCTCACAGCTGGTAGGTATAACTACTAACTCGCATCACGTAAGGGGGACACAGTCCCACAGGGGTCAGCTGTCGTGTCCAGGACCACTGGAAAATTAAGACCTCTTTCAGTGCCACGGAAGGATGAGAGCTCAGGGCTGTGACTCTTCCTCTGCTCCTGGGACAGGAGATCTCAAGCTCCACTGCAGCAGAGTGTGGGCAGCTCTCGGCTCTTCTTGGGCTACCTAGAAGTTCTCCATTGCTGCAGCAGGTTAGTGCCCCCAGCGTGGACAGTGGGCAAACTACCGGAACGCCCCAAATTCTCAGGATGTCACGGAAGCTTGCTGTATTTTTGCAAGCCACTTCACTCCCTGCTGAAGCACCGAGTTTGTTTCTGAGGAAGCCCCACAGCCTGTTACTCCCACAGCATCCGCTCCAGAACTACCCTATGGCCACCCTACAATTACCAACAGGTCTTCTTCACCCTCTGTATCCCAGAAGGAAACAATTCCACTCTCCCCCAAAGCTTTGCTTATAAACAGCAACGAGACCAAGACCTACACCTAAACCAGAAGTACATGGATTGGAAGATCTTTGGAGAATCACGCAGGAATTAATTTTGTTTAAGAAAAAGTCCAAAGAGGCACATATCCCTGAAAGAGACACCTGTAATAGAAATAACCATAATCCAGGAGAGGTTGTCGGTAAGCTGCAGAGAGCCATAACCCTTTGCAGTTATATACATCAGGGAGTACCAAGAAAAGCAGAGCTGCCTACATGTACGTATCTGGACACTACAACTTCTTAAGTGTGAGATTTTAACCCTATGTAATGCAAAGGGAGACAGTGTAATGCACTGAAGGAAGCTGTGATGGTCAGTGTAGAGAGATATCAAAATAAGCAGGCTAAATGCTAGAGCGGATCAGTAAAGAAGTTACTAATAGGAGATAAATCCATGTGACATTTTTACAGAGCTGCCTGTAAAAAGATGCCTTCTTGAGAGGAACGTGAAGCTTCTGTTACTAGCAAAGCTCACAGCTATATGAAAGGAATACAGATCACAAAAGCTGAAGTGTTAGGAAAGGCTTTTTGGTCTGGTACTTACCCTCTCTTTGTAGTAGAAGGAGCTAATGGAGACCTGCTCCTTCTCGCTGCGCGTCGGACTCCCACTGTACAAGCGCAGATTGCCTGGAGTCTCCGTGCGGATCTTCATTGGAGTAATGAGGCCACTATGGTACGCTGATAAAGCTGACAGGGACCTGGAAACAAGGGAATACACTTTCAGGAGCTTTCCCCCACCAAACTGCCCCGGAGGCTCACACCACCATCACCGCTAATCCAAGCTGCCAGCAATGTTTCAGGTGTGTTGAAGAAAGGGGTCTCTGCTGAGGGCCAGTGACGTAAGGGACCGGCCTCTCTGTGCCGAGGGCACAGCTGACACGAGGGGTCAGTACTTTCTGAGGGTCAGTAGCGTCAGTGTACGGTCTGATATTCTCCTGCCTTCCTGCCCGTGACAGTGGCACACCTCAAATACCACCCAGGTACTCACCTGGGTGTGGGCTCTGTCGGGGACACCGCACGATGCATGGTCATGGGCCTCGTGAAATACACCAGGTACCCTGGAGAGACAGGACACGGCATAAAGATCACGCAAGGAGGAGTAGGTTACTCAGGGGTGGTTTACACAGGGAAACCTGGTCGTTTAAGGTAAAGACAAGGGGCTGGGTGTCTATCCACTAGCCCGAGTGCTTTCAGACAAGTGGACAACCTCATTTTCTCAACCCAGATCTACTCCCTGCAAACCCATTAAAGAGCATGTTTTGTTGAGATGACGGTCTTAAAAGCACCAGCTCAAGTGGATTACAGTTGTTAGAGAAAAGACAGTAGAAGAAAACGAGCAAATACCTACTCATGTTTTAACTCTTCACCAGAACTTGTCAAGCATTTTGATACTCCAGAGGCCAGTGAGGTGATGTTTAGCTACGCAGAGAAACCACTGCAGGTTGTACAACTCTTCAAAAGGATAACCCAAGGCACCTGAAGCCAATTCCAAAGCACACTCTCACAAGCCCTCCCCCATCTGTTACAGCATCTCAGGTGTCTTCAGCCACCCACTCTTGCAAGAGTTTCAGGGCTTAGCAAGGTTTCACTGAGCCTATTCAATGCAGTACTACTCTGTTTTACTTTTGCTGGGAGTTTGGCCAGGTCTGTGTGAAAACCAGCTTTCAAAACATGCTCAAACTGGGATGCAGTCAGGTCCAGAGGAGGCATGCTTGCATCTGAAACAGCTCAGTGAAACTTAACAGCTCATTCTCAGACCATAAGCTGTTTGTTAAGGATGACCTTTGTACTGTGCACTCTCTTGGAAACCTGGATGTGGGTAAGTTTCCCAATGACCTTGGGAAAGCTATTTTGGACAACAGAAAGGGTGCAGAATGAGAAAAGCATGGTTAGTAACAAGAATATGGCTTCAGCAAGGGTTAAGTTCAACCTTAAATCACAGTGATTTTGTGAAGACTGAGAGCCAGAATACGACCAGCAGTCTGATGTTGGTAGGAGAGGATTAGGCAAGGAAGAGAGCTAGTCCCAGTTTTCTGTAAACGGTCTGTCAGTGCCTCTGGCATGCCACAAGCCGAAGGCCATCTCTTCAACTAGCCCTGGATTTTCAAATCCTAAAATCCCACGTGCAACACCAACTGCAAACAGTTGCTAAGTAGTCTCATTATCTATAAATTTATCATAGCATCACTACTTTAATACCATTTCTTACACATTGCATGGCAGTGACCAAAGCCTCATCTTGTTCAGAAACAAGTGTTCCCCAAGATATGAAAAGGACCATTCCCCAGGTAGCTTTTGTAACATATCAGCGATGGGGCTAACCTGCACCACAGAACCTGGCTCCAGAGGTCCGTGGAAATGGGATGTTAGAGTCCTGGTAGGAGCCATAGGCATTGGAGACCCGGGCGAACGTGGGCAAGGGGGGCGTTACGGAGTTTGACAAAGCGTAGGGATTGCTGGACGTGCTGTCCTCTTGGTTCTGAAACAGAAGTTACCCAAGGTCACACTCCTGCTGCCACAGGAAGGAAATCCAGCTGGAGCACTGGGGATCGCAGCGCTAAGCAGCCTCACGGAAGGTGCTCGTCCTTTGAGCCAAAGCAGATGAAGCACAGAGCATGGTTACTGCTCTGGCTGCAAAGGCACTTGCAAGTACATTTACTTTTGAGAAAAGGGCTTCTCTGGCTGCTTGTCCACAGATTTCTCTCCCACCACAGCCATGGTGAAATACAGAGCTTTGGGGTGAAACAGTGGGAAACTATACAGAAAATCTGACCTTCGGGCTCTGGATGCAACTCTCAACGCAGGGAGCTGAGCTAAACCTGACACCTCAATGATCTAAGTGAGACAAATTCACCTTAAATGGGAATACCACACAACTGTGGGTGGATCAAATGTAGGTTGGGAGTCTTGGAAGTGGGGAAGGAAGGTGGTGTGAAAAACTTGGGGCCCTCAGGCCTGTCCATAGGAATTTTGGAAGAAATCTGAATTTATTTGGATAAAGAGTACTACAGCTTAGGTTTAAAGGAATTCTTTAAAGGCAGCATTGCCTGGCCTGAGTCATCAGGTTTCCATACAATGGAGAAAGTTCCCACTCTTACAACATTGCTGCTGAAACCAAGCGGAATTCAGCCTTTCCATGTAAAAAAAAAAAAGCCCTTTATTTGTGATGAATAAACAAAGCTTCTTGGGAGAAAACCTGAGGAGACTCTCCAATCTTTTCCTGCATGCTAAAAACACCCACTCCGGTACACTTCACCCACACACAGACCTAATACCTGACACTGGGATGCTGAGTAGGCATCATGGATCTCTCAGCTAAGGGCAGAGTGGGACTTGGATTTATCTGCAGTATCATCCCTAGAAAACCTCAGCACAAGGCTTCGAAAAAACAGACTTTCACAGCTTTCCTTTACGGGAAGAAAACATAGACCCTAGAATAGGACTAACAGGATCTTTGACTAGAACTGAGGAGGTAAAGACATCTGCTACTGCCTTTCAGACAAGAATGAATCCATCAGCTCCCTGAGGCCCCTTATCTTCCCTCATAGATAACCATGCCCTGGCACTCTGAGAAATCCTCAGAGCTGGGAAACTACCATGCACCACTAAGATGCTCCAAACCCCAGTCATTCGTGCTAACTTGAATATTGGTGAGCATGCAGAGCTTCCCAAAGCAGCAAACCTTCAGGGCCTGATTTTCAGAAACAAAACGCATCTAATTATCAGATCAGTTTTCTTCAACATTAACCAGAAGTGCTTACACAAATGGAATGGCCAGGCACAGGGGTCTATTTACACATCTAATGAGGCTGGACTCTCACTGCAGAGTCAGAAGTGTGGGATGTGGGAGAAGACAACAAACTAGGGCAGAAAGCCCACGCAGTTTTCCATACCACAACAGACTCCAGCCAGGAGACGAGCTGACGCAGGCAGGGCTCCAGGCAGCTCTGGTTCCGCTTCACTTTCTGCAGAGAAGTGTCTTTCAATATCTGGAATACATACAAGATGCAGCTTGAATCATTGCTTACATCCACACCTTCGCCACATCCTTTTTTTTGTCTGAAGAGCAGCCAAGATGTCAGGATCCAGAGAGGCCAAAGACACCTCCGTAACATCCACTGGAGCCACACTGACCCATTGGTGTGCTGCCTGCTTTGAGGAACAACTGTGAGCTTTGATCAGAGCACTGAGGGTTCACCTAGATTCAGTACCCTCTGAGCCAGGATTTGGGCTTCTATACTACTGTAGCCCATACATTCTATACCAGTTTCTGGCAAGCTGAATCAGGCTTTTTTCAGGAAGGAACCCAAGCTGATCCATCAGCTTGCTGCTGGGGAAGGGATTTCATCAGCAACGGGACTTCAAGCACCAGATGATCAAACACCTGGTCTGGAATGAGCAGGGCCTGTGTAAAAAGACTCCTCATGTTTAAAACAGTTTGTGGAGGAGAGCAGGAAGCAACATCCCAGCTCAAAACCAGTATCTTTCTGCAGCTGGATGCTTGGCTGGTCATTTTGTCTATTATGGGGTTGGGGGCAACTGCGTGAGGAGAAGGATGTTAGGGATCCTCAGGCAATACAAGTCACACTGGAATAGAGTAGCAGCGAAGAACGTATTTAAAAAGCACCAGTGGAGAAAGGAAAATACTGGGCTGCAGGGCCAACAAAAACCTCACCCTGGGAGCTCCACAATGCATCAGTTCAAAGAGACCTGTGGTATGCCTTCAGCAAGGTCAGATGTTTTATTTTGTCAGACATCAAGTGTCCAGCATCTGTGTATTTATAAAGACAGTGCATACTCCCCACATACCTTCAGCAGCTTTGCCTTCATGGAGGCAGTGATCGAGGTTGGGTTGATGAACTGGAAGGACGGTGCAGCGTTATTGGGATACTGGACAGGGAACATCACCAGCATCCTGACTCTGTGGTTGCCGCAGTGCACTGACACCGTACAGCTACGACTCACCGCATCCATCTGCGAGGAAAAGCAATTCCTCTGTAGTTACATCCCCAAGGACTTCTAAACTTATCGTGGCTTAAAGTCATGCTGAGGGGCTGATTCCTCTGCGCACCCATGAGACAAAGTCATGCTGTTGTTCTCAAGGGCAGTGAATCCAGTGATAGCAGAAAAACCCCAGGCACGTGGGGACAGACTCTGCTTGCACCAGCAGACTGCCAGTCCAGTATCCCAGCATCTGGAGACCACAGCCAGCCCAGGCAGCACCAGGAATCAGGCTCTGCTCCCAACAGCCACCACGCCCCAGCAAGCTTCACTTGGCTGTGGAGAGCTCCAGACCCACTGCAGCAGTAACAACATCTAAGATCATACAACACTGTCTCAGAAAATTACATCAGGATCATGCCATGAGCTGTGAAACCACAGGGGTGGGGAAAGGGGAGAGGCAGCTGCTTCAAGCCTCCCATCCCAGTACTGCGCTGTGCCTCCAGCCAGCTTCCACGCACAGAGGAGGGTCTGGCATGCCAGGGAGATGCCAAAACAGAGAGAGAGTGCAGGATAGGCAGGGTTCAGCAGATCGGGTTCAGAAACAGTTGAAATGGGGTCAGCTCCATGTAGTGGAACAAGTCATTTTTCACTCTGCAGTCTAACCAGCATCCAGCCTACTTGGGACCAGCCACTGCACTTACTGTGCTGAAACACTTCCCTCACTCCCAGAGTCTGAACTCACCCTCTTTCCTGCTACCCCTGGCCAAGAGAATCCCTACAGCTCAAAATAAACCTTGTTTACAGACTGCAGCAAAAAAGGTTCCCCTCTAAAGGCTCCGATGAGCCAGCCTGCCCACGTCCCCTCCTAACAAGCCCTCAAAAGGAAACTCTCTACCTCCACATTGACGTTTCGGATCTGCACGTTGATCAGTGAAAACTCCTGCTGCAGTGTTTGAGGCAGCCCCAGTTGGTCCGTTTTCTTTCCCACCAGGGGGTCATTCAGGAAATCTTCTTTTAAGGCTGACAGGAAAGATGGAGAACAGATTGAGACAAGCTTTAACGGACAGACTTTAGGCACGTGATGCCAGGAGGCAGCCAAGACAGCAGGCTTCCCTCTGCTCTTGTGACACATGGAGGTATGAGTTTTACCTGGCAAAGACCTGCAAGCTGGAGGGTCTCAGCTGTTGTTTAGAGGCAGGCTTCTGAGCCTTGCTCTTCAAAAAAACAAACCTGTCTGCACACAGGTTTCTAGGAAGGTTACAGAAGCTGCCTGTACTCTGTACAGCCCTAAATGGTCTGTCTCTACTCATTTGAGACCCCCTCCTCCTCCCTACACAGTACTGCCAGAGTCACAAACAGCTGAACTGGAGCCTCTCGGTTCAGCAGGAAAGAGCCGCTGCCAAATCGGTCTCCAGGAGGAGCTCTGGTCTTTGGGACTCACACCCCACCACTCTCGGCTTTCAGGGAATGCTTCCAAAGCATAATAAGGCTTTGGGAGAGAAAGGGGTATTTCTGGCCTGAGTAGAGGCTTAAATTAATTTGTAGCATTCATTTGCATTTAACATTGCAAAGCACTCTAGTGCTTTAACGGTCTGCAAAGACTCATCTAAATACCAGGTCTAGCTGTCCGGTTCTAACAGTTTTCAGAAGGACAATAACCCCTTCTGAAGGCCAGAATATACATTCAAACAGCCGGGCAAGCACTGCAGGACACAAGGAGTTATGGTTAAGATAGCAAGCTTGACTGAGTTTCGTAAGAATTGGTCTCTGCCTGTGGTCATGCCTGGCTTTTGCCTCGTATCCCCATTAGGGCAGGGGCAGCTCCTTCTGAAGGGCGTTTTGTTGTGGCACTGCTTCCTACGAAATGTATGCTTTGATGACGGTTCCAAGGACACAAGGGAAGTCCCAATTATTGAGCTGTCATTCTCAGGCCTGAAATATCATATTGCATGGACTATTCCTAGCAAAAAAAATAAGTCACAAGAGATGCAAAAAGCTGTCGTTTTACAGGCACTTGCCTAGAAGTTACTGATTTTGCTGCTGGGACAGATATATCTGGTTTTACTGCTGCCCAGTGGGTTGCTGAATTTGGACAGGTAGGATGCTTAGCTACTCATTCCTGTTTGCGATTTTATTATAGTGCTTAGATATACTTCACAAAAGGGAGCTGAAAAGGGGATTAAAAGATCAGTGGCTCTCAGGGAAGATAATAATTTCTAGCTCAAGACACCACATAGCTTACTGAAAAGCCATCTCTGAGGTTCCTGATATGGGCAGTACCCTCCCTTTGTCTTCTCGTCCTATTCCTTTCCAATTAGTTTCTAATCCCCCAAAGCCTGTATATTTGTCTATATTCCTACAGATCTTTTAAAGGCAGCAGCCAGTGAGGAAAGCTGTACACTGAAGACACAGCTGGTGGGCTTTCTGATTTATCTGCAGACTGCTGTACTCTTCAAAGATGCCCCAAAGTGCTTTACTAATATAACACGGAGACTTTGTCTGCAGCTGAAATGCAGTCACCTGCAGGGTGAAACATCAACAGTTCACAATAGCTTTTAGGCTAGAAAGAACTGAAATTCCTACCTAGGGACTTGCATGTGCATTAATCCTGCAGTCATGGTATTTGCAGAAAAATCTACCCTGTTACAAGAAAAGCCATTTTCATTCCCTTTGGCCGCAAGGGAAACCCTACCAGTCTGAACCAAAGCCAGACCCACACAGGATGTACGAACGTGACCTCATCAAGGACAGTGAAAGAGTTAACTTTCTCCTGTGGAAAAAAAGAGGTCTGCAGCCAGAATGAGAACACTTAACGCTCCCAACTGGAGCAAGAGAGGCTGTGCCCTCCTCACAAAGTATTGCTCATGAGCTTTTTCTATCATGTTATAAAACCCTCACGTAGGCAGAGGTGCTGACAACTTAGAAACCTGTTCTGCTGCCACACAGGACAGGTGACAGAGAGGAACTTCACTGGGATTTGCCGGGCAGGAAACTTCCAGTTAGGAAGAGATACCCCCCCAAGGGACCTCACAGCTGGCTCCTTTATTCAAAGGACAGATATTAGACCACTTCTTCTCTCTCTCTCTCCAGTTTGTTGGCAAATCAAAGGGAGAATCAAATGGCCTTCCTGTAAGCCCCTCACATGGAGATCCATCGTAGCACCCTGCTACAATACAAAGGAACCGTGAACTTAAACCCAAGCTGACACAAAGGAATGAGAGCATCCAATTCTTCTTCCTCCGTATCAGATATAGAAATCTCTTTATATAGCTCTTTCACATGCATACCATTGCCATGGGTCTCAGCTGCTGCAATCTTTTCTATTCTGGTACTTACCCTCTTCAAACACCAACACCCTGAATGTTTAACCAGGCCAGAGCATTCAGCACCAAACCCCTCCTTCCCATTTCCTTCACTGATGCCTTCTCTTCCATAAAGCCAAATCAATTCTTTCTGCTAATGCCTCTGCCCCACTCCCATCCACCCATCTGGTAATCAGAAGTCAAAGATACCATCCCTCCCCCTCTGCTTTGCCAGCCTTCAGTCACCTCTCATCTACACATGAACAAAAATTCACTTGCTCTCTCCATACTACTTCTGGTGGATGGGAGAAGACACCAGCAAACATCTCCATGTTAGATCAGTTCAGAGAGTGATCCCAGCAGAAGTGTTTAGGTACCAGGTGTGATGTAAGCAGCTTGCATCAGAATGTCTTACCATACATTCCCCTCTCCTCTGGGCTCACCTCTCGGCTTAAACTAATTTACCTTCTTAAGTGCCAGAACTTACTTTCCGAATGCCTTATTTTTGGCAGCAGGCCACAACTATGACCTAAAGAGAATGTAAACCGTATTATTGACAAGGAAGGTCTTCATTTCACAGCTAGAACCATTGCGTTAGAGGAGAAAAAAACTTGGGAGGACCATCCTGCGAAACCCCTAGCGTTTTCCCTCCTCCCAGGTAGAGAATCCATTAGCCTTTGAAACAGCACCAGTTTGGACTATGCCTCTGATGCTGTTTTCTTATGCCAAGATGCCTCTTCTTCTCAACACAAAGACAGCTGGTGTTTGAAGTTCCATGACCCATCGCTTGTCTCACCTTCCTCATCCCCATGTCCAGAGTTATGCTGGGGCTCCGAGTCCTGGGGGTGAAGGGTCTTGTCTGTCTCTGGCAGATGAGAAATCCCATCGATGAGGTCCTCGACTCCGTCCAGGATATCGTTAGCACACAGCTGAAAAGAACAAACACACCCATGTGCTGCACAACAGAACACAAGCTGTGGAAAGAGCCACCATTAAACAACTCGTTTCTCCAGGGAGCTGGATTTGCAAGGTAGGTCTGTCCACCCGACAGTCATGACTAAGACCTCAGCATTGTTTCTGTGACAAAGACAGGTGATCTTCCACATTCCAGCATCCCCAGCTCTGTCAACTCTGACAGCCTAGCCAAATCTCCTGCTCACACTTACAGCGTCACTTAATTGACAGGGCCAGTCTAAGTAACAGCAGTGTTACTTTAATTTTAATCAAAACTAAAGCTGATACAACTTTAATTCCTTGAATTAATTTGTCAAAATTGGTTTAATTTTTTTAGATCAAATATAATAGTAGCACACTTTCTGCTTTCAATATTCACACTCCAGTAGGACCTAGAGACCCAGGTACATACTAGGGGCCCTAGTGTTCTAGGTCCTGTATCAAAGAGAGACCATGAAAACCTGTATTTTAAGTTCAGCACAAGAAAACAGGGAAGATGAAGAGAAGAAACATAGGGAGAAGAAAGGGTAAGGGTGCCATATAGCAAATTACAGCACTGGTCACCAGCAACATGCCATTGTGTGTAGTTTGATCCAGACAAAGACAAGGACAAAAGAGTGGGAGCCAGCAGAGGAAGAGTAAAGGCTCTGACATGGATAAACAATCGGTTTAAAGACAGGAAATAAATCAAATATTCACAGATATATCAGATAGGGGTAAAGAGTCATTTTCCACAGAGAAATTTTGTTACAGACCTGCAGGAGTCCTGCAGGATCTGTGCTGGGACACATGCTTCTCAACATATTCATTAAAAACCTGGAATAGGAGGTGAATAGCGACATGACCAGGTTTGCTGATGGCACCAAGGTTTTCAGGGTAGTAACAAGAGTGGCTGACTGCAAACAATCACAGAAGGACCTTACAGGAGTAACTATATTAAAATGAAAGACGAACTTTGGTTCAGGTAAATATAAAGCAATGCACGTAGGGGAAAAAAACCAGCAAGTTCGAGCTGACTGAGGGAACAAGACATAGAAGCCAGACTAAGCTGATGTTTCCATGAAATTATTCCTGACAATTCAGAAAACAAACCAAGTACTGAGGATTCTTTGGAAAGAACAAAGCTGAGATCCCCATCTCCAGAAGTATATAGTAGAACTGAAAACAGTTGTGAAAGGCAAAGGGACAATCAAAGTTCTCACACAAATGATGAAGTAAATCAAGACCTTTTGACTTGAAAATGGAGCCAGCTGAGGAGGGATATGATGGAGGTCTACAGAATCAACAGTAGCACAGACAAGACGGCTGTTCATTTCATTTTCAATGTAATGAAAATAGCAGGTTGCAAAATGAACAAATGAAAGGAGCTGGTTTTCCACACAACATGCAGAAAAGCCATGAAATTCCTCGTTGATAGGATGTTTAAGATGACAAAAATTTGCACAGGTCCGAGAAAAGACAGACAAAATGGAAGTGAAACTCATCAAGTTCTGTCAAATAAAAAGATGCCAGACTCAGTAAGCCTCTAAGCTGCAAACTGTGGGAGGCTGGCAGGGTGTTTCAGAGAAACATCACTCCATACTTGCCTCACTCTTATCCCCTTTCAAGACACCCACAGCTGAAGGTGTGAGGGGGCAATATGGGTCATTATGGCCATGTGAACCGCTGGTCTGACCCAGCACAGTTGTTCTAGTAAAAGCATCAGCAAGCTGTAACTGCTGCCAGACAGCAGAACAGGATTCACACTGCCTGAGCCAGGCTGAGGGGCAACGGAAACAAGGGGAGCATGTGAAGGGCACAATCCCTACATTTACCTGATACCTAAAATGCCAAGGAAGAGTCACACAGTCTTGCAGCCACAGAGATGGCATCTTCAGAGGCACTGTAACTGATCTCCACCTTGCCCAAACGACTTGTATGCTTACTGTTATACAACAAAGCGGCCTTGCACTTCCACAGAAGGTTTTGAGGCGCCGACAGAGAGAGGCCTCATCACAGGTCTCCTTCAGGATGTTTCTGGGCTGGAGCTGAAGAGGGAAGTGAAGCGGCAGCTGGCTGATGCATCTGAAGCTCTAGGATATCAGAGGAGTGACTGGGAGTGCAAGGAGAGGGAGGTGAATCCAGCCTGTAAGAAAACTGCCTACGGTTCAAGAGCAAAAGTGTTTACGTACCCTCTGCAGCTGAGAGTCAATCCGCCACATTCGCAGAGTCTGATCGCGGGACCACGTAACCAGCTGGTAGTCTTTAGAACCTAAAAAGGACAGAAACAACTTATAGACCCAGCTGAAAGCAAAGAATATCTCAGTCCCGCGTTGAGTGTAAACAGATGCAGGCAAGCCAGCAGGGAGATCCAACGGATAAGGCACTAAACCAAAATGCAGAGTGAGTCTTTTTCTGTTTTGAATTGACCTAGGTGCACCAGCCTTTATGTCTCCCTGCACCACAGATACCACACCTCTAAATGGGGTATAATTTACAGGTGAAAAAGCACAAAGTATAATGAATGTGATGCAAGTTTTCCAACTAGGAATGAACAAGATCTACTACAATACTTAGAAGAAATAATATAATTGAGAAACAGATTTATTTTTATGATAACTGTAAAGTCAAGAAATCTTTTACTTCAATGTATCTGTTCCAAGGTGCATATGTTTTAAAACATTTTTAAGCTACGAGAATCTGGTTCTGCCCTCCCTCTTTTTCCTTCTGAAAGATTTGGATGATGCCAAGACAAGTTCAGGCTGTAATGAAATACATCTAACCACATACTGTCTATCAACCGATAACAGTACACAGACTTACTTATGCCCACATTTAGGCCTTGTGATACAGTTTAAGTTTCCCCTGTCAAACAGCTGCTATGCTTAAGAATATGCTGCTGCACAGCTGCTTCCTACACCCCTCTGCTGAGGCACAGGGGCTGTCTAAATACAGCACAGCAGACTGCAGGAGCAGATCTGTGCTATCTTGGTTGTCTCTGCATTGAAGCTGACTTGGAATGCTCCTATGACTGATTTATGCTGCTCAAGACGAGCCCGACTTCCAGCCCTGGATATATATCTATTAACTCAGCTAAGACAACACAACTGTGGTTCACACCTGCTTGAATGTTCATTCACAGGCTGTCTTAGACTGCGCCTCCAGATCCTAACACGGTTCTATATAGCTCTCCTCTTTTTGAAAGAGGAAAAGCAAGGCATAGAGAAGAAAGTAACTTAACTGAATGGCCCCAGCAGCTGGTGGCAGAGGGTTGGACCAGAACTTTTACTGCAAAAGCCGTACCACAAGTGACACCGAAACCAGACGTGCGTCTTCTGTCGATGGCAGCTGAGGTGCTGGAAACAAAGCTGTGCTCTGCGTGGTTACCCAACCTCTAATATGGAATCTCCTATATTTAGCTGGAAAGTTTAGTCAGGACTGAACTCTAACAGCAGCCTCTCTATCCCACGCTCTTCCTCCCCTGCCTTTGCAAGCACACTGATAAGGTGGGTTCACTGGGTCTGTGGTCTGGGATATGCTGGAGGCTGCTGATGCAGGCGGTGATGTGAGAGGTTAACTGGTTAGCCTGCAGCTCTGAGCAGGGGGAGGGTGCCTGCAGCCGTGCACCAATCTAATAGTTTGTACAATTAATTTGAAAGATCCATTTAAAAATAGACTCACAGGAGAGTGGAAGCAATTAGAGTCACCGCTGAACCATTCAGCATTTGGTAGATTTGCTTTGTTAGCATGGAAACAACAGGGCAACGCTTCTGTGGGCACTGCCATAAACCAAGGATAAAACAGCTGTAGCTTGAGGGGGGGCAGGAAAGTAGGTAGGAGCTAATCCAAGGAAAAGCAAGAGTCGAATGGCGATAGCATAAGCACCGCAGCCAGGAGCCTGGCCTCTACACCCCTGGTTACCCGATGGCTGCAGGACAGGGGAAAGAGCACATCCAGCCCTGAACTCACCTTCTTTCTGCTTCCTCCACTGAAACTCCAGCACCACGTCATCATGTCCCACAAAAGTGTGGACAGGCGTGTTCAAGTCAAAGACATTCCACAGGAGGAGACTGTTCTCCCGACGGAGTTGGGGGACCATCACTGTCACCAGCCCATTGCTGAAAGGCTTGAGAGAGAAACACCCTTCCAGTTAGCCTTGGGGAGTTATGCTCCCCTGCTGGTGTTATCATACTCTAATTTTTACCTTTTCCCACCAACAAGAACGCGTGTGTTTTAAAGGAGATCAGCACAAAACAGAACCAGGCCTAAAACTGGGAGGGTCCAAGGCAATTGCTGTACAAAACCACTGTCTTACAAAGGATGAGGTAGTACACCGAGATATTCCGTGCAGCTCACTTGAGATTAGTGATTTCTTTCTGCAGCTTCCTCACTTTTCAGCTGTGAGGCTGGAAGGATTTCACCACTGACTTTTCACATGGGATCCTTACTGAAGTTTGCCTGGAGCTGCAAGAGCTGTTACGTGGGAACCAAACCCCAGCAGCTACTCAGGGTCACGATGCTCAGAGGAACACTGGAACCCAGGCCTACACTCCCCACCACAGGGATAGGAAAGGGAATCAAAGATTCAAGGCACAGCACTGGCTTCAGGCCACATTCAGATGTCTGGGGAAGAGAACAGATATGACTGATGTTAAGAGCCTTAGCTTCACATGGCTGGGTGCTTGCTCTATAAAAGGCAACAGTTCTTGGATTTGATATGCTGTAAGAGGCCACTGTGGCACACTTAGAAACCTTGGGAGTAGAGGAAGCACTCGGGGAGGGAGGAAGACTGCTGCATTCCTCTGTGCAACAGGTACCAATACTGGAGCTGAGTGGAAAGACAGGACAGCGAGAGCAGCAGCCCCTTTCCAAGTCTGCTGCTCCCAGAGCCAACCACCTGCACCTGGGTTTTCACCCCCCAGGAGGATGATGCCCAAGACTGGGATCTCACACTGCTAGTCATTCCTCCTCCTGAGTGCCCCCCATGGCGGGTGTTGTTTTTCTAGACCTCTTAAGTACCAAGACAGATTTTTAAAATCAACTTAATAACGTCCAGCAGTAGGACTGGTGAGAAGCCCTTCAGCAGTTCTTCTTTACTTAATGTTGCTTTGTGCATTTGCTCTCACAGCACAAGTGGGGCTGGTGGGAGTTTCTCACTCACTGTGTATCTTGCCTTCCAGACGGGAACCTGGCAGGGAAGGATATTCAGGTATTTCCGAGGCTGACGGTAATCCCAGAACTTAAAAAAAAAAAAAAAAAAAAAAAAAGAAGACAAGCAAAGGCAGGAGTCAGCAGGCTATACTTTCAGGTTGCAGTTTTCCATGTGGCTTGCAGATATAACAGAGCGAAAAACATGCCAGGGTGCCCACAGCATCATTGGTAATCCCATTCATTAGCAGCAGAGATGGCCCCAAAGGACAAATATCAAGCTATCAGCATCTGGCAGCATCCCTCAGATAACGAGTGACTTGGGGTCATATTCACAGTGATCATAGCTTGAGTAATTAGAGCAGGGAGACAGGCAGCCTGCTCGGGCTTTAAGAGCTACAAGGTACCCTGCAGGCTCCCAGCCAACGTGCCAGTCCAGACTGGAGGGAGGCCCACCCTGCTGTTACTGCTAATTTTGTAATGAAGAATCTAACCTTTTGCTTTGCTAGAATACACATCAATTGCATTTGCCTCAGAGCTTAGCTAAATGTGAATGAACTCCATTTGGCTGACATACAAAGCACGCTATCCCCCCCCCCCCCCCCCCCCCCCCCAGGTAAAAGGTGCTGCATAACAATGCTTACAGGCAGTCTCTTATTGATAACCCAATTTGACATGAGTTTGTGAACACCATGGGCTGGAGTACGTCTCCCCACAAGTTGCTGTAATCAGCCTGAGACTGGCAACACCACATTCTCGGGAGAAGGCTCTTCTGGCATGTCTGGCTAGCTCCTTTCTGGCAAGCAACAGGCAGAGGCAGTTGTTTTCAGCTTCAGTACTGCCCAAACCACCACAGATATGTGGCAAACATATGTGCACACATCCTGTAGCGACTTCTCTGCCTGTTCTGTAAGCGCATCCCTGGCTCAACAAACACAGGCTGCCAGAAACAAAAAAATAAGACTCCAGGCCTTGCCAATAGCAAGCACTCCCCAAGACTTTAGCAGTAGTAGAAGGAGATCTGCTCCACCATCCTGACATCTCCCAAGCAGACATCCCAGAAGCAACACTTACCCTGACAGAGTTGTCCTGGCTGGAAGTGGCCAGCGTATACTCATTGTCAGGGTGCCAATCCAGACCGTGGATTTTAGAAAGATGAGCTGCCAAGTACTCTACTGCAGTGCTGGGTTTCTGCAAGGAAAAGACATTTTACTTCCAGTTCTTCGGCATAAAAAGAGACACTTTAACAAAGGCAAGAAAGGTAGAACACAATCCTGCTGGGGAAAGGCAAATAGCTCAGGAAAAGTAGTTGAAGCAAGGGTTCTGTGAAGGTGTGGCAAATTCCAGTCACCAAGTGCAGTCCTGACCAATACTTTATTGTCAGTAAAAGTTAAGTACTATGAGATCAAAAGCAAAATGGTAATGGGCAGTTTCTGGGGAAGAAGTCTATCTACATGCTCTCTTCAGGTTCACGGGCTCCCAATTCTCTCTAGTTTAAACAAACACACAAGAGAGATCTGGGATAAAGTAGTACGTTTTTCTCAGTATTTATCTGCAACCAGAGGAATGTCTGTATTGGGTAGGTGGGCATATGCACAGACTGCTCAAAAAACCCTCGGCTTACCCTTTTGTCCCATATTCGAACATCCCCATCGTGGCTTGTTGCTAAACAGTTGGCATTTTTCTTGTTCCATTTCACCTGGGAAGCTCCAGCTGCAGCACAAACAGAGCAGGTCAAAACAAGCAATTAAAAAGTAAATGGCACAGCAGACCCCTGACCTGGGCTTAGAGCTGCTCTTCCGAGCACAGGAAAGGCAGCTCAGAGGAAGGATGTCCCAGAAGCCAGCATGAAGGATGGCATGAAAAGGATTAACTCCTGATTCCTCAGCATAGTGTTTGTATCCTCAGGACTGCAAAGCAAGTGTTTCAGTTACATGCCTAGAGATCTTCATCACAATTTCTTGCCACAGGTTGTACCTGATTAAAACTCAAGACCATTAGCTCAGATGGAGCAATTTCCTCCAGACAAGAACTGCAGATTCATCACCTCCCTCCCAAAAGCCCTTCTGTTTTCATTCAAGTTATTTCTAGCTGCTTAAGGATTGATTCATTTGTCTCCCCAACACCCTCTATACTATCTGATGCTATACAGGGAACCAGTGTTATTGATCTATTATTAAAACACAGGTGTAGGAGAAGGCTGCAGTGCAGGTGGACGTTGTGTCTGGCCAGCTGGAGGTAGACTCACTGGGTAGACCAGAAGGCCTCACTGTCAAAATACACAAAAATCAAAGACATCAATGGCATTGTATAGAAACTGGGTGATGGTCCAGATATGGTTATATACAATACCACAAGGGACTCAGTTGGGTGCCTAAAATCAGAAGATGGGTAGTTATTTCTAGTAAGAAGTAAAATACAGCTTCGTTTGACGCAGGTTGTTCAGCTATTGTAAGAGAAATACATGTTCTGTTCATCCTGTTCATGTTCGGAATAACTGCCAGTATTTTCAAAACATTTTAAGCTATTGGAAAGGTGACGTCCATGAGACAGCTAAACAGATCTCAGTTTGCTACTATGCCTCACCTTCACTACCCTCCTCCTGCTGCACAGTGAGCAGATTCATTGTGGCAACCCAGCAAAAAGCTAGTCCAGGGGAAAAAAAAAGCTGCAAGTAGGCTGCCAGTCGATTGATTCACTCACTGAAGGGTACACAAACATCTGGACCGGCGCTAAACAGCATCAGGCACGGGAGGAAGGACACTTTCTGGGGAGTTAGCTGCTGGGCTGACTCAGCTGACCCATGAAACCTCACCCCAGGCACCAGAACCAAAATGGTGCTTCTCTCCGATTCTCTAAGGTTTTTGCATCGCTGTGATAGAGAGGTTTGCTGGCTGGGAGGGGAGGGGGAGCCACTGCAGATGTGTAGCCTAAGGAGATTGAAGCAGCAGAGCATAAGAGATACGTGTTATGAGAACTGCTGTAATACTGGGGATGGTAACTCAGGAAAAAGGACGTTTTGCTCATCATCTGTACCCTGCCCAGTTCCAACACGCAGCCGGGGAGGACTGACACCCAGCACCTGCCAGCAGGCAGTATTACAAGCGGCTGGACAGTCGCACTGCCAACAGCCATGACAAGTTCCTTTCCAGAGCAAGCATGGCCCAAAGAGAGCACCTTCGTGTCACCACTGCAGCCTCCTGCACGTCAAAGGAGCCCCGGGGAAGCAGATACAGCTGGTTAATGTACCCATCCCCTCAGTAAATAAGGGGGCAGGCTGGCAGTCAGCAGCATTCGACATCACTGCCTGGGGTGCAATTTAGTTTCTCAGCTGATTCAATCAAACATAAAAGGACATGGAGAAATTGCAGACAGGCAACACAGGACAAACAGTATCAGCAGGGTGGTTAAGCAGGGAAGAAGCTGTGTCTAAAAAGCACAAATGCCATGTGACTCTCCACCAATTTCAGGACAGCCAGTCCAAGAACCACCACTGCCCACCATGCCTGGGAACCTCCAAGGGCTCCACATCCCCTCTGGATTCTGCTCCTCTAAAAGGAGATGTGAACTGGAGCCTCTCAGCCTGCTCCTACGTGGGACAATCACACATGGTGGCACTTTTGTACTCTGCCATGTGTACCCTTGGAGCACGAAGGGAAGGAGGAATACCAGCAGGGGCATACAACACTAAATGTAGGCATTAAACAAGCCTATATCACACACACCTCCCATACTTACCGACTGCAGAGAGGGAGACCGTAGGCTTCCTGGTGTCTCTGAAACACAACAAAGCTAATGTGAGCACCCATGGCACAGCTCAGCAGGTGCAGCCTCCCCAGTGAGCTCCTTGCTATTCCAGGACTAATTTTATTGCTGCCTCTTGGGAGCTAACACACCTTCTGCTTACCAAAATACACCACGTTAAATGGAATAAAGAAAGAGGTGACCAGCTGGAGGACAACAGCCATCCTATCTTGCCACCACATACAACAGCAAGTTGAGGACACAGGATGGAGTTGGAGGGGCCTAGAGGGAGGAGAAACACGTGCAAAGTGTGGCATGTTGCAACTGGCAGGCAAGGAAACCGGGCTCCCAAAGTGTTGTTGCAGGAAGCAACAAAACAGCCTTTCCCAGGAGGATTAAAAGGAACAGAGCTGAGGAAAAACTCAACAAAAGCCACTGATGTGTTTGTCAAGTCTTTGCAGACCCTGATTCGAGGCAGATGGAGCAGTGACTTCAGAGCAAAGACTTCATGTCTAGCATGTAACAACAAAATTAGGAGGAAATAAGCCCAGCTGTGTGCAGACTCTACAGACCAAATTCTGCGGTGGCAGAAGCCAGTGTGGCACCATGACAACTCCTAGCAGCTGGGACATGGATCAAGGCAATAATTTGCTCCTTGACCTTGCGTCTCAGGAATTCACCTGCCCTTTCACAAAAAACACCAGCGAAAATAAGGAATATTGACTTCAGCTTTCTGTGTTTGCTGAAAAGCAGAACATTTTCTGGAATGGACTGCACCTCTCCCTCTAAGAATTTCTGCCTAATCAAAAAGTTATTTTGTATGAAGAATTAAGTGGGGAAGTTCCAGGTGCCCTTACCGCAGGGCTACCTCCCTAGGGTTTCACTAGAGACAGCTGCTTCAGCAGGATGTTCATTTGCTGGAGGCCAGCAGCCCCAAGACCTCACTGCTCCAGCAAGCTCAGAGACTTTGCTAGCACGAGTGGGATGTAGAGGGTAGTCATAGACTGCCCAAGCAAGCACTTCTGGAGAAGTGATACACGCAGACACAAAGTGATGGAAGAGTAAAACAGAGTTAAAGCAGGGCTTCTGTTAACAACCTTCAGAGAAATCTATTTTTTGCTTGGTGCTAAGATAGTATCGCAGGAAAACACAACCAGCAGTTATTGTCTCTCTATGTCTTTTCATTACACATTAATAATATATTGCCATTCTCAAGCACCATTTAACCAAGGATCTAAGTGCTTCACAGGAGCTAAACAAGCCTCAGGGTAGCCTGGTGCAGTGGGGTTATGTAATTATCCTCCTATTATAACTGAGGAAGGGAGGCAGAGAGGAACACAGTGACTTGCCGGGGGTCATAAAGAGTTGCTGTATACCCAGCAAGAGAACCCAGCAGTCCCCGTGCCAGCTCCCTGCTTCTCAGGTGTAAAATACGGGGTTTCAATATTGATGGTTTTGGAAAGATCCGTTACCCTGAAATTACTCATGATAGAAAGCACCAGGAATCAAGGGAAGGCACAAACAGGAAAAGGTTCCTGAATACCACTGCCAGTCTTCCCACCGAGAGAGAGCCAGCAACAAGGGCTGAATTTAGTAGAAAATGGCTGCAGGATCATGAAATGCTGCTCGTTCACTTAGCTAAAAAACCCAACAGGCTGAGGATCACCCTTGGGTTCCAGGAAAAGCTCTCGAGGAAAGATGTGAAAATGAGTAGCGAGTGAAGCCTGTTGGCATTATTTTCCAATCAGAAGCGTGACCTGTGGCTTAACCATACCACTCTACCATCCTTCATTGCCTCTGAACTGGCTTGAAAATAGGGAACAGAAGCCATCTTTGAGATTATGGGAAGCAGATAAAGCCTCTGCAACCACGGCTGAAGAGCAGCACCCATCAGTGCATGCTTTGCCCTGCAAGCTGCTAATTATGGAAAGGAGTCCGGTGATTTCCCCGCAGTGCAGAAACATACTGATTCTTACTTGATGTCCCAGATGTAGATGTATGTGTCCACAGAACTGGTGACCAGCAGGTCTGGCTCAAACACCGCCCAGTCTAAGTCACTGCAAATGCAAAATCATAGTAGGTCAGCAGAGAGAAGCAGACAGTTTGCATCAACTTCTCACAAGCCCCCAGTACATTTCTCCAACAAATTCACGGCCACTCCATGACAACTGCTGAAACTTTTTAAGTGAAAAGCAAGATCTTAATCATTTCTCTAAGTAAATTCCAAGAAGCAATGAAATGCTTCTAAGGAAATTCCAGTGAAGCATCCTCCTAGCCCTGAACTTCACAGCCGTTGTGTGTGTGCTCTTTCCTCCCCAGTAAGAGGGACACTGTTTCAGCAAGGTCCCAGTTACCCTGCAATCTCAGCATCAACCCCTCACTCTGGGATGCCTTCCTGTTGGGCTCACCAGGTGCACCTGGGACACAAACAGCCTCCAGTCAGCCATTTCAAGGGTTGCAATTACTTTCCACAGTTGGGAGCTGGAGTGAAAACAGTCCTTCACCTGTATTTCCAGCCCAGCACTAGAATACATCCCTAGAACCAGAGGCAGAAATCTCCCCTGCGCCACCGTAACACGCAGTGAAGTTGATCTTTGGGATTACCTGCTTTAATTAAGCTGCTATCACAAACACACACAGCTAGAATTCAATTTAACAAACATGCTGCTATCTTTTTCCCAGATTATGGTTGCTGTTCATTACAAGGACAGCAGCCTAAGGCAATGACACTCTGAGCCACCCAAGGCTAAAGTTGATATATTGGGGGAGCCGTGAGAGAGTAAGCTGCTTCCCATCTGATGTCATCTCCAAATGGGAAGGCAGGACAGAGAGGCAGACTGTATGGTCCAGAAAAGTAAGTAAAACCAGGCTCAGAGCAGAGCCTGAGCACAGCCAGGACCAAAACATTCAGCTTCTAGAAAACAACCCATTGTCTTCCACTCAGCAATGCACAGAAGCTACACTTCTTCCTCACCTGATCACACGTGTGTGTCCCTGCAGTGATGTGCAAACTTCACCATTACCTTCCTTCCATTTATACAGGTCAACCCGCTGATTGCTCTGAAATTAGATGGAAGAAAAGAGGTAGTGTCAGGCAAACAAGATATGACAGGAACACATGTGTTAGGACCAGGTTCCCTTCATTTTGAACAACCTCTGTTATCAATGAGTCACACTGTGATTAACAACGTCCTTGCCGAAAGCAGGAGAGCAAAGATGACCCTAAAGGCTGTAAGGACTCTCAAAAGCTTACACTTTAATCACACCCACTTAAAATTGGAGATAAACAAGAATGGGAGGAAAAAAGTCACATTGCAAAATGTTTCCATGAAATGATGCTCTCAGAGCTTTAATTTCCTAACAACATACTGTAACTGCAGGCAAAAGGCAGCCAAATTCTCTCTGCAGGAATATCCTGCCAGTCTGTTCAGATTCACAACTGGAGTTTTCAGTGAGGGGGATGATGGATCACCGCTGGTCCTCCTCAACTCTCCCTTGATTCCCATCTGGGATAATCAGGGCCATTGCCAAACATGAACAATACAGTCTAATGGCTTCAAGGTCACCTCCTCAAGGGTACTTCCATCCTTGCCAGACCAGGAAAGAAGCCTTAAGTGCTTATCACTAACTGTAAACCACAGAAGCAAACCAGATGAATCAATGACAATGTTATTTAGGGCTTCTTCACTCATTCCAGGAATAAATTCTCCCCCAAGTGCAGCCACACACAAAGTTACTTCAAACTAGTTATTGTGCTTTAAGCTCACGTTCTGCCTCAGCCAACGTTCACTTCAGCCCAGGTCGACTCTCATCTTTCTGGGGCAGGAATTGCCTTTTTGGGTGCATATATAGTACCGAGCACAGTGGGTCTTGGGTGATGACTGGGAATTCATGTCGATTTTGCAAAACCAAAAGTAACATTACTTCAAAATTTCATCTCATTAGCCTCTTGCTTTCAAACTTACAGGTAGATGAGGGAAAAGATAATAAAGACTTACTTTATGTTTTTTGTGACAGGTTTCTTTGGTGATGTCTTGGGGTTTTTTTTTTTACCCCAAAGCTGCTTCATATGGATTTGAACTTGCAGATGGATAAAACACTCCAGCTTTCCCTGAAATGGAAGGTCTCCTCCCAGCTCAGCAATAATATATGGCATTTCCCTAATAGCTCACAGCAGGACTGCACAAGAGCTTGGGGCAAGGAAAACTCTGCATGTTTCTCATTGACAGAAGGATTTAAGGGGGTAGAGTGAAATTACCCAACAGGATTTGTCCAGGTCTCGAGAGTTGTTGCTACAAGATAAGGATCACCAAAAATTTCTCAGACTCTTAGCAGGGCATCTCACATGGAAAGTGTTGCCCAGGTGTGGGAGAATGACAGTTCCTCCCACCACCATTTTATAAAAAAAGCTGCTTCTTGTGATAAGTATCAGTATATGCTTCCAACAATTTCATCACCCTCTTGTTCAAGCATTTGTGACCACACAAAAGAAGTAACAAGGATCTAGGATGGAAAACAATGGCATTTCTGAAACAACAGCTTACAAATCCTCAGAAATGTGCTTGAGCCAGAGGGCAGACACAGCCAAGCACAGCAAGGGGACATGTTTCAGCTCTTCTGAAAATAAGCTAAAAAGATAAGAAGCCCTTATCCAAACAGAAGGACAGACTTCTCCTCTGCCTGCACCACTTTCAGTTACTGGCACTGCAAACCAAGTGAAGCTGTTGGCAAACAGAATGGTGGCCTTTTACACTCCCTTCCCAGCCACCGGGATGCAGAGGGACAGGAGCCTCAGGGCTGTCTACAGCACTTGCGTGGTGTACCTGAACAAATGACGACCTCAGCAGTGGACTTATGAGGGACTGACAGCCAGCTTGAGTCCAGAAGGAGCAAATCACATCTTCGCAGTGCTGAATCCAAGCTGATTTAGCCTTCCCAATGCATCTTTGCCGCCTTAGGTATGGCCCTCAAACACATCCACACTGCCTCCAGACCTGACCTGGGACACACAGACCTGAGCACACAAAAAAATCTGCGTTCTGCTTCTAAGACAGACAAGCTAAATTCTAGTTTGTCATGGTTTGAGCCCAGAGGGCAACTGAACACCACGCAACGGCTCACTCACCCCTTCCCCATTGAGAACGGGAAGGAGAAAGTAAAGCAAAAGGCTCGGAATCAGGAATTGAGATAAGGACAGGGAGGGATGACTCACCAATTGCAGACATAAGCAAAAGGGGAAGAAAAAAGAACATAAATTTAATTGAGACACTAATAACAACAACACTTAACAGAGTAGGACAGTGAGAAACATAACCACATCTTAGAAACACCTTCCCCCCACCCCTCCCTGCTTCCTGGGCTCAGCTTTGTTCCCGATATCTCTACCTCCTCCCCCTCAGCAGCGCAAGGGCAGGGCATGGGGGGTGCAGTCACTCCTGCCACTTCTTTCTCCTCAGGGGGAAGACTCCTCGCATTCTTCCCCTGTTCCAGCATGGTTCCCTTCTCACAGGAGATGGTCCTCCACAAACTTTCCCCGACACGAGTTCTTCCCACAGGCAGCAGCTCTTCCCAAGCTGCTCTGGCATGGGGCCCCCCTGTGTGTTGCAGTCCTCCCAGCGCTGACCTACAACAGCAGGGGCTTCTCCCCTCAGAGTCCTGGCCTTCTTTGGGCACAGTCAACCTGCTCCAGTGTGGGGTAGTCCAAAGGCCACGGGTCAGTGTCTGCTCCACTGTGGACCTCCATGGATGGCAGGGTGGGTGGCCCTGCTGTCTCACCATGGGATACAGGGATACTCTGCTCCAGCTCACCTGCCCCTCTTCCTCCTCTCCTCTTCCACTGACTTCGGTGTTTGCAGAGGTGTCATCCTCACAACTCCTCCTCCCAGGTTCCCCTTCTTAAACACGTTATTGCAGAGGCGCAGCCACTGTCACTAATTGGCTCAGCCTTGATGCAGAGGCGGGTCTGACTGGGAGCCAGAGGAGCTTTGAGAAGCTTCTCACAGGGGCCACCACTGTAGCCCCCTTCCTTGCTACCAAAAAGCCCTGACTCACTCACTCAAACCCAGCACGTAGTCCTAGGATGGGGCTGCAATGCATGAGCACCAAAATGCCAGCCAGCTGAGATGGCTGGAAAGGAGGTATTTCTGACCCAAACTGGAAACGCTGCCTGATCTCATCTTGGGGATTCCTCACCTGATGTGCATCAGCAACTACGTCTAAATCACCACAGCATCTCAGCATCTTAGTTTATAAACAAGAGCAGCAAGGTTTGATGCCAGCTACACCTTGTTTCAGTCTGGAACAAGAGTTTCCCATGGGCAGCAAAAGGCAGGAGTGCTCAGAGCGGTGAGATGGGCACAGCTCTCAGCTCCCATTGCAGCAGGGTCTTGCTCAGATCAGCATTAACTGATCACTGGATATTGTCCTCAGAATGTGTCTGAAAAGAAGCTTTCCTGCTCTACTCGCAGCCTGCACAGCACATTCCTTATTTGGTTTTGATTTTCACCGACTGTATCCAAAAGTGGCACTGAAGAACACCTTTTTGCAAGTTTTACTAACTTCCTGTTCAGAAGCAGGCAGCTGCTGAAAGCACCTTTGAGATGTCAGTCATGTGCCAGAGCTGGGAGGAGACAAGCTGGGGAATGTCAGAGAGCAAACAAGCAGAAGCTCCCAACTGACAACACTGGTCCACTTTTAGACTGCTTTTAATTTCAACCGTAGCCAGTCCAGGAAGCAAAAGGAACAAAAATCCCAGGAAACCACCTTCAGTTAACTGTTTTCTCAAAAAAAAAAAAATAGATGAAACCTCTCCACCCTTGACTATTCCAGGACTCTCAGGCTATAAAAGCAGATGCAACATGGCAGCAAAGACACCTCACCATGAGAACAGTCTGCGCCCAGCCAGCGCCGGTTGCTGCAGCACTGTAGTTGATGGCTAAGACTGCCGCTAGCAGAAGCTCAGGGTGATCAAACTACAGAGCATGATAGATTGAGGATCAGAGCTAAAAACTGGACTCAAGGTTCAGATGGCCACTACTGCTTCTTCAGACCAACCTATTTACTTCTCCACACACGGAATAAGAACTCCTTGCAGACTTGGTCCCTGCCCATCTGCAAGCCTGGATTGTTACAGCAGTGAGACAGTATTGACTCGAGCTATTTACAGACTGCCTAGTGCACCACATCCCACCAGGAAGGCAGGGAGGTAAAAGCAAAGCAGCACACAGCAAGAAATTCAGTAAGTGCACAAATCTCATAACAGAATGGAAGTTACAAAGAGAGCACATCACTGCTTCCTTCCAGAAAAGGACCATGTGGATGCTCAATTTATTTGGCAAGGTGTTTTATAAAAGACAAGCAAGCAAAACTAGATTCAACACTGACTGACCAGTGACTGAGAGCCATCAAGCCAAACACCTCACTGGCAGTAAACGAGTTAGGCCTTGATCTTGCAACGTGACTTGCAGAAGCGTGCCCGTGCCAGCTCCGTCACCGCCTTCCAAGTCTGCAGAAGTCCACCCACCAAAGACCGGGGAAGGTGAGGAGTTTCAGCTTTTAAATGAGTGAACTTACCGAAGCTGCAAAGTAGTATGCATAGCTGTCATGCGGGTTCCACTGCACTGCCCCAATGTCCCACTTGCTCTGTCGGGAGATCTTTCGATGACCCTCATTTGGTGCATCCAGGTTGACTATGTAGAGGAAACGGCGGCTGCAAGACACACAGACACAAAGGGGCTGTATTGCACAGGACTGAGCTCAAAACCCCAAGCTCACGTGGGGCTCACAGCCTTGTGCCCAGTGGACTAAAGAGAAGCATCTGACAAGACAGATGAAAATATTATTCCCAAGAATGCTACATTTGACCGCATACATCAAAAAGGGATACATTAAAAGAAAAAAAAAAAAAAAGACACACTGAAATTAGACAGGATCTGCAAATGTAATGGGTAGCTCAGACCACAGAAAACCCCAGATAATTAGGATATAAAAGGAAGCCCTGGGAAATGGTGCAAACACATCCAAATACACGTTGCTGGCCTAATGCTGCAGCAGCAGAGCCGAGGTGGCTCAGGGCTGGGAGTCCAACACAATAGCTTCACAGGAGCCAGCTTCAGTTTGGAGAAGTTGCTCTGAGGAAGAGTTAATGAGCCTTGACACACATAAGATAATTCTACGTGGCTGCATCTTTCCACACCACAGTGTTTGGGGGGCTTGGTTCTGCAGACAGTACAAGTGCACCTGCACAGAGCTAGCTCAGCTGCAGCAGCTTATTAACGTGGGTGGACACAGCACTGCGCTGATCTGGTGATATTACTTACCTGAGCTAACCCTATATGCAGCAGAGATATATCTGCATGATGTCAAACCTGAGCTCATACATCCTGCTGGATGTGGTCAACTCCCCGCAAAGCTAGGCAACATATCACTCCTTCCACAGTGTGATTCATCTTACAAGCAAGATAAACAGCCCAGAAATAATTGTGAGCCAGCTGAACTCTAATGGAAGACCAGCACCAAAACATACTGAACCATATATAATGAACCACACCAGCATCATGTATGTCAGCGGTGTAGCAAGCACACAGCTGCTCTGAGCACTGCCAATTTTCCCAACAGAAGGAACATAAAGAACATTTTTGCTGTCTTTCCAGACCAAAGTCCTCAGGGCTCCCTGCTCTGAAAAGCAAAGATGCTGAGCCCTCTGTGGCTCTCACAGAGCTTTAAAAGAAAGGAGGCAAACCCTGAAGGGCTGCTGAGCATGCAAGAAAAGCTTGAAAAGCAGAGGGCCACAGTCCGGATGTTGAATTGCAGACAAGCTGTCCCCAACTTGCTGTTGGCCCAAATAAGCCAGCTGTGAAACCGGAGCGTAAGGAGGAAGAGGCATCAAGTTAGACCCAAACCAGCTCCTGAGCTGGTTACTCCTGTGCAGGGCTGCCAGACTAAGGGTTTACACAGAAGCAAGCAGGCCTCTGAGTTGCATCAAAGGACCCTGGTTACCCTGACAGCCTGGAGTCTATGGCACCTACTGCTCTTGTGGAGTATCATCCCATGCTGAACTAGCAGAGGAGCAGGTCAGAGAGCTTGGCTTCCCTGCTCAAGTACACCATGGGAATATTTGGGGCAAATTTTGTCTTAAGGAAATTATTTAATCTGTACTTTAAGAAGAACACAAACGGTACTTCACGATGCGCCACCTCTCACAAGTGGATTTGGGAAAGCACGTATCAGGAAAGCCACGACAGTATTTTATTGTGCTGCTGTTGCTGGTTTTCCACTCTGTATCCCATTGGAAATGTGATCCAGAACCCTTTTCATCAAGCCTTGAACAGAATTCAGCTGCACCTTTCTGAAACAATACACCAGCCCTTCAACTGAGGTCAGCCTGAAGGTTGCTGATTTGGCTCATGGAAATGACTGTCATACATTTCTAATGGGGACTGTCACACTCACCCTGAGAGTACTGCACGCTGTCCCAGGCAATCCACTGACATCGCCGTCGCCTGTTAAAGAGAAACAGAGAACAAAATTAAACTATACGTGTCAGGTCAGCTTCTCAGTCAAGCACACAGCTTTGGGGAGGAGTTCAGGAAAACCTGCCAGCTCATCTTCAAAGAATAAACTGCTATGATGAGAGTCAAGGCTGATATCTGCCAGGGATAGCAGAAGTAACGTCCCCTTAAAGAAGTGCAGATGGGCGATGCGGTGAAGCGGTTGATTTTGGGACACAGGATAGCGCACAAGAAACATCTTTGTTAGAGTAAACTGAAGACAAGACCTGGCAGACACCATTACAAGTGCTGAGACCTCGCTCCCTCCTCCCTGCTATGGCAATCACAGCCGCAGCCTTTCAATCAGCAATCTCTAATAATCCGTATTAATCAGCCTCAGCTCCTGCTCAGGAGCTTTCTCAGTCTCTCTCTCTCTCTCTTCCATTGCAGGGCCAGATTTAATTATATGTGTACGGGGAGACAGAAGTGCAACCATTTGTGTATGGCTGGTCTCCAAAAATGAGAGATGGCTAAGAGGTATCAGAATTTACCTTGGCGTTGCTTGTAAAGAAGGTAAGAGGTAACTTAAATGACACAAGAAGAAGAAAATAATAATAAAAAAAAGGCTGTTTGAACACTGTCTCCCCCACTTTTTATTCAGAATGGATTTGGCTGATCATCTTGTTTAATTGCCAAGAGAATAAAGGAAAGTCTTACTTGGAAAGTTGAAGAGTTCAGCCCATAAAGAGAGATATGATCTCAATGCAGCTTTTAGCATTCAGCGTACAAAATCAGAATATGCCCCATATTCTTCACACTAACTGCTGTCATCTTCAAAGCTACTTCTCTGAAGGCTCAGGATGTCTCTGCTGCTGTTCAGGATTCTGCTAAGTACTCTCAGCATGAATGTAACAAGATTTCAGGATGTCCCACAGCTACCACTTTTAAGCATCACTAAAACTAGACAGACAGTAAATGGCAATCCCACTCCATTTCAATCCGATTTGACAGAAGAATAACCATCACAAAACCCTAGTTTTTTCAACCAGGGCCCCATCCCCTGCTTGCAAGTACCCCAACTAAGGGAAAAACAGCATCACAGGCTCATTCTTCACTGGAGACCAAGGGTCCACACAGCAGAGCTACAAATGCCTGCAGAGTTTCAGCAGGAATCCGCAGGAAACCCCAGGCCTACATCTGTACCCCAACAAAGCTGAGTTTCACTGCTTTTGCTGTTCCTGAATCAACCCGCTCTGATTGCTTTTTCCTAGCTAACAAATCCAGTCTTCTGGCAAGGTTTTACTAGTCCTAAAACTAACGCTGTAAATAAAAAGCTAGTTTTAAAATCTCTAAATAGTAAAGAAATAATCCCAGCTTCCTAAATTTCACAGCACCTTGCAAAACAACAAAGTGGGTTACTAAATTTATAAAAAAAAAAAGCAAGCAGGAGAGGGAGGTTTTCTCTGATGATACAGGTTGCCCTTCTGGCGAATTAAAATGAGGATCGCTAAAGCCATTACTGGAACCAGAACTTTCTCATGTGGCGAAGAGCTAGTCAGCTGACATATTTCATACAGCTGTGGCCATCTTTCCTCAAGACAGGAAAAAAAAAAGGTCAATTTAAAGCGATTGATAATTTCATACAAGTTTATTTTTTCTGGTGTTGGCTCATAAATCCTTACAATCCTTGATTATAATAATGAGCATCAGTAAACTGTTTTTCCAGCCACCAAACATCATAAAACGTAATGAACAATTAGAACGAAGTAAAAAGCTTCACATGTCAGGCTGCTACTCTGGTGGGCCACAAATTAAGTCGTTTTATGGCAATAAACAGTTCCTTACAATATTAGTCTCATCTAGGCAACAGGAAAAAAAAAAAAAAAAACAAACAAACATCTGTTATTTAATGTGCTTGGTATATGGGCATGGCAGTCTCCACAGCACAACCTTCCAGAAGCGGGGAGTTGAAACTAAACAAACCAACCCTAGAGCAGTTTTAATCCTAAAACAATCAGGATAGCTAGAATTGCTGTTTATGGGTAACACTAATGTGAATAAGCACAGTGGGAATACCACGCATTTGAAAACCAGCTCTGAGCCCACAGCTCAGGCAGCATCTTCTCAGACTTCAAACGTCTACTTTGGTGTTTCCTTGATTTCTGATAGGCAAGCCAAGGAAAACATCTTTTCGTGTCTAAACTCCCATTAGTTTTGAATCTAGCTTAATTCCCTCCACCTGAAAGGCAACAGGCCAATCTGGTTTGATAAGGCTATACTGGTTTTCAAGAGCTGCAAACTCTTAGCAACGAATACCAGTTCCCTGCGTACCTAGCTTCTCATCTACACGTTTAGTTACTACAGATGGTACTATTCACCATTGGACGTGGTGAGCTTTACTCTCCTTTTGATAGCACAGCCTGCCTGTCAAAAAGCCTGTGGGTCACGTCTAAACCAGAAGAGTGCAGGGACTGTCAGCCTGTAAAGAAATATGACACTTGTAGGCAACACTGACCTCAAACTACCCAGAGACTTTCTGAAGTGTTACAGGTTGGGCACTGTATTTTTCACACAACATACTCTGGCACAGTGAATGAAGACAAACTGCAGTGCTTGCAGACATGCACGGGCTACAGATGCAACAGCTGCCCACTCTTTTGACTTTTGTTTCCATTTAAGTTGGTTTTGGGGTACGGATTTTGACAACAGCGTGGCCCACGGGCAGAGCTCAAACCTGGTACAGAATGATTACTGCCAAACTGTTTCAATTTCTCAAGCTCGGGTTTCCCATCTGCAAAAACGTTTGTGCACACACACTCCTAAAAAAAGCTCAAGCACAAACATATAGATGAGTTTAGCTTGAAGCAGTAGTCTAGCAGCCCCAGCAACTGAAGCTCTCTGGTTTCATACAAGACAGCAGGCAGGTCAGAATGGCTCTAGAAAGATCACACCAGAGTAAATCTAAGCAATCAAAATACCCGTGGTTAACCTCTCTGTTAAGGTATATGCCCGCACAACAGTGAAACTGAAACCAACTGCTGCAGAAGAGGATGGAAATGTCTGTTCTCTCCCCCCTCTGCTCCCACACACCAGTCATTATGAATAAGCAACCAAATCGTGAGGCCACATATCTCCTGAGCCAGATGCAACTTGAATCTGTGATCTGAGGAGACATACCTTTGTATCTCATTGCTGATTTCCCCAAAGCAAATCTTCACCAGCAGACAGGACTGCTTTAACATTTATTCCAGGAGGAAAACAAAACCAATATAAAGCTTTTGAGGTGTAAAACCAAAAAGCTTTGTGAGCTTACAGAGGGTAGGTTGGATGTAGCACACAGGATTCAGTGCCCCTGTTTGCAGTGGTGAATGCAGAGCTGACATTGCTCCAGCACAAGAGGGCAAACTAGAAGATAGGAGAGTTTCCATAACTCATTTTTTAATCTTTCTGCGTTTCCTGCTGAAGTAGTTCAGTTGATACACGCTATTGAGCTTTGCTAAGCAACTGCCAACGTCTTAAAACCCCAAGTTTTTTAGAATAGCTTCTAAGAAAACACACAACTCTGAGGGGAGTTGTCCTGTAACCAGCAACTTCAAAAACAAAAGCTGACGTTTTTGCTATATAAAAAAAAAAATCTAACCTGCTTTTCCCACTGATCAAGCACTACTCAACAATTTATATCGCAGCGAGAAAATAGCTATAATGGCCTCAGAGGAAAAATTAGGGAAGATGCGTGGGAAGTGGTAATATCTTCTATTAGGCCTGCCAATATACTTAAAAAAAAAAAAAAAAAAAAAAAAAAGCGAAACCAACCAGACAGAAAAAAAAAAAAAAAGGAACAAAAAAACCTACGAGATGTAATTAACACTAAAGTGTTTCGTGCGTTGTGGCGTTATCTCCGCGCAAACGGCTCCGAGACCAGCTCAGCCCCGTCCACAGCCGGCGAAAGGCCCCGCCGAGCCTGCCCAGGCCGGGCCCCCCCCCCGCTCCTCACGGGGCTGGCCGGGCCCGGCCCGGCCCGGCTCGGCCCCCCCCGAGGAGCCGGTGAGAGCGGGAACCCGCGGCGGCGTCCCCCCCCCAGCTCCCCCGACCTGGGCGTCGCGGAACTCCACCACCACATTCTCGCTGCTCCAGCGCGCCGCCATCTTGCACCGCCCCAGCAACCCCCGACGCCGCCGGGGGCAGGGGCAGCGCGCCTGCGCACACCGCGCGGGGGCGCCTGGGAAACGTAGTTCTCCCCCTCACCGCTCACCCTACACACACCCCCCACACCCCCCACCCCCCCCGGTGAACCGGGGGACGCGCCCCGAGAAACCGGCGGGGCCTTGCGGCGAGGCCCGGTGCAGCCCCAGCCTCCCCGGAGGGGACTCGCTGCGGCGGCCTCAGCGGCAGCCGGCGGCCCCTACGCGGAGCGGGGTGCGTAGAGGAGGAAGGTGGCGGGGCGGGTCGAGGCCTGTGCTCCGCGGGGCAGCCGCCCGCCCGCCCGAGCAGCCGCGCCTCCCGTGACCCGCGGCGGCGAGCGCAGGCCCGGGCGGCGGCCGGCAGCAGCGCAGGGGTTAAGGGCGGCGGGCCGGGGGGGGGCCGGGGGCGGGAGCATGCGTGCTGCCGGCCTCTATTGTCTCCGGCGCGGCGCCCAGCACCCAGGCGGCTGGCGGCGGCCGGCAGCGAGGCCGTGCCCGGCGCAGCGCAGCGGAGCGGGGCGCCCGGCCCCCGCCGCCCCCCGCCGCCCCATGGGCCGCAGCTGATCGTCGCCCGGCTGCCGGCCGCGCCCCGGGCAGCAGCGAGGCGGGCGGAGCGACCCGGCCGCCGTCCACCCCCCCCCCTCCCCTCCCCTCCTCCCCACCCTTCCCCCGCTGCCCCGTTCCCTTCCCCCGCGGCCCCGGAGCCCTCGGCGGACCCCGCCGGGGGTGACGGCGGCGGCGGCGGATTCGGGGCTCCCTCGCCCCTGCGGGCCCGGCGGGGGGAGGATGCCTGGGGCGGGGATGGGTTTTCGCCCGTAGCTTCCCCGCGCCCCCCCCCCCCTCCCCGCTTCCTTCCGCCCCCTCTCGCCTCCCGGGGGCGGCGCGGCCCCGTTCCCCGCGGGGGGCTGTCGCTCGGCTCCCTCCGGCCCGGCGGCGCCCATATGGGGGGCAAGCAGAGCACGGCGGCCCGTTCTCGGGGCCCCTTCCCGGGGGTGTCGACGGATGACAGCGCCGTGCCGCCGCCGGGAGGAGGCGGGGGGGGGCCGCCCCCCTTCGGCCATTACCGGGCGGGCGGCGGCGGCGGCGCCATGGGGCTGCGCAGCCGCTCCGTCAGCTCGGTGGCCGGTATGGGCATGGACCCGGCGGCGGCCGGCGCCGTCCCCTTCGGGCTGTACGCGGCGGCGGCGCGGGCGGCGGGGGAGGCCGAGCGGGCCCCGGGCGGCGGCGGCGGCGGCGGCGGCGGCGGCGGTCCGGGCTCCGACTCCACGTACGCCCATGGCAACGGTTACCAGGAGACGGGAGGCGGTCACCATAGAGACGGGATGCTGTACCTGGGCGCCAGGGCCTCGCTGGCCGACGCGCTGCCCCTCCACATTGCACCGCGGTGGTTCAGCTCACACAGCGGTGAGTGCCTCGTGCTCCCCGGAGCCTTCCCCTGGCCGCCCCTCCCTCGGTGGGTCCCCAGGAAGCGGCGGTGGGCACCGGTCACCCCGGGGAAAGTGGGGGGGTTGCCTCCCACCTGGCCAGCTGGACAAGCCCCCGTTGTGCCAAGCCTGAAGGAAGGACCCCTATCCCCTCCCCAGTGCGGGTGGGTGGGTGAGCACCGGGGCTGGCATCTGTGTCAAGGTCAAGGGAAGAAGGGGCTGTGGAGGGAGGAGGCTTTCTGGAAGGGAGGTGTTTTGGTCTGCGATGCAAAGCAGTGGATGTGGCATCCTCGCCTCGACTTGGGGGGAAGGCGGTCTAAGGCTGCTGTATCTAGAGCCCTTGGTTTTGAAGCTGAGCTCCTCGTGCCTCTTCTGAAGGTGTTTGGAGGGTTCCTGGTCAGGTATGGCAGTTCCCATGCCTTAGAAACTGGGGAAGGGGCAGAGGAAGCCTTTGAAAGCGAGGTGTGGGAATTTTTTTCCTTTGTTTCATCTGATAAAGGGCCAGGGAGAGGCCAGAGTGGGTTTTCTCATTCAAGCCAGCTGGCACCGTTGTGGTGCCGGGGAGGAAGCAGAGGAGGAACTGCCTGCCTCTTTACACAGGGCCAGGGAGCGGGCTGGGCTCCCTTGCAGGAAACGTGTAAGGCTAAGGGAGGGGGCAAGGTTGCCCCCATCCTCACCCTCTTGGCTGGACCCTTCCGTGTGTCCTTGTGTCTAGTAGAGGAGCTCTGGCTGCAAGCAGGGTTGTGTCACTGACCTAGTTTTGGCTGGGTGTAGGGAGCATGGTGGGAGGTCCTCCCTTCCCCTCCTGGCTAGAGAGGGGAAGTCATTTCAGGGATGTCTCCTTGTGTTTCCTGGAATAGTCTGGGATTTCTCTCCCACCCGGCCCCCTTGCCGACGCTGTAAGTGTTCTCCTTGCATGACGTGGTTTGGGAATTTCGTAATATGCCTTGGGACACTGCCTTATTTTCAGGAAAGCTTGAGACTGAACCAGTGGACAAGAACAAAGTGCAAAATGAGTCTCGTGGGGCCCATTTTCTTACTTCCATCTTGGGATTTTTCCCCTTTTCCCAGTCTCCGGGGGCTGCTCTTCTCAGTTAGATCGAAGTTGTATGTCTTGTATTGCATCCTCAGTGGCAGAACACCCCAGGCCCGGTTCCTATTGATCCTTGCAGTCCTCGCTGGCAGACGGAGAGGACTGGCAGGCATGTGGCGCCGGAGTTGAGACTGAGCACTTCTGCAAACTTTCTTGCTCCGTGACCTTGCGCAGACTGTGCTGCTGCTCTGGTTTTCAAACACTGAAGGAAACTTAAGGCTCAGCACCCTTCCAGGTATTCCACAAGCCTCTGTGTGAATGGGTTCCATGGGGCCTTCTGCTGCGCCTGGTGCTGGAGCAGGGAGGGTTTTGTTACAGAAACACCCTGTCACTAATCTGTACATAGAGGTGGTCAGTCAGAGAGTATCAGTTACATTAAATGATAGTTCTCAAACTGCAACACTTGAGGCAAAAACCTGTTCATAAAAATACAACAGCTGCAAAACAGGGTAAGCTTTCTCCAGCCGCTCAAGCGAGTTAGTGCGATGCTGCTAAGTTAAACCCGGTGCCCTTGGAAGATTGCAGCGTGATATGGGAAGTGCTGCGAGAACTGGGTCTCTCTGGTGCCTCTTTTGGGGCCCTCCGAGAGCGCTTGAGCTGTGCCAAAGCATACGTGAACAGCAGCGAGAGCCATTCAGTTCATGCTGAAGCCTCTCTCAGCAGTGGTTCTTCTTTGTCGCTAATTAATAGCAAAAGGAGCAGAGGATGCTTAAAAAACGTTCTGAAAACTTGTCAGAGACTATTAAACTTCTGCGTTCTTCCTCTTAGTGTACGAGGTTAACGGAGGATTTGGAGTCTGAGGGGAGGGGGAAGTAAGCCACCTCAAGATTGCTAAAATTCCTGTTATCTCCTGTTGCAGCTGGTTAACCTACAGCAGGGCAGTCAGGAGCTGCTCGCTTCTTCCCCCCCCGCCTCCCCATCGACCGGCTCCTCTCACAGCGCTGAGCCACTCCATTAGCCACTGGAAAGTGCTGAAGCAGCAGCGCTCTGGTAAACGGAGAGGAGCTTTGACATTGCTGCGTGTGACCGTCCCTGCTCCTTTTGAAGGATGACTCAAGGGTGGGGACGAGGGGACCCGCCAGTGCACCGAGCCCGCACAGGAGAACGGGTGCCCGGGGGTCTCGGGGATCTGCCCGAGTTGCTGTACTGACTCAAGGAGAGGAGCCCCCCAGACTCTGTGGCTAACAGGTCTGGAGAGCGGATCCTTGCCCTGCTTGCCCTTTCCTCCTGCCTCTGGACAGTCTGGAGACCTGGATGGCACTGATCTTGGCACATGGGGAAGGTTATGTTCACAGACTTGCTTTTCCAGGGGTACTTGGGTTTGCGGGAAGAGTCAGGAGCCTCAAATTGCAACCTGGGCTCTGCGGAAACCTCAGTGGGACAGTGAGGAGCCCTGGCTCAATGCCGGTGATAAGGTGCTGTTGTTGCAGCAGCATGGCCGCGATAATGGGAGCATGCAGATAGGCTCAGTGCCTCCCCACTCCCTTTATCTGCGATGCTGCTTTTGTGAGCCTCTCTGGCTGCTTCATGGCTCATCTGGCCCATCAGCAGGCACCCTGAGGAGTGAGCTGGGCTGAGCTCTCTTATCCCTGGCTGGTGTCACTCCTTCCCTTCTCTGCCATCAAAGGGTTGCAAAAGAGCTGCGTGTCCCAGGGAGGGAGAGAGGAGGGCTGTGCTGGGAAGTGTGTGCAGAGGGAGTGGGTTGCAAAGTGGTCCCCAGGGCCAGCGTGTGCTGCAGCATCACTATAGGGTGCTGTGTGTCGTGACAGTCGGTGAAAACCCGCTGCCGAATCCCTCTGGGCTCTGCCACAGGTGCAGGAACGGCAGGAGCAGTTATGTACTGATGGCCTCTAGCCCTTCCAGGGCCAGGGGAGGAGAGCTGCCCCCCTTATGAATTGCAAAGCCTAAATGCATCTTTCAAACAAGGTGGGCGAGAGGATCTGACCTTTGTGGTGGAGCTTCTCTCTCCCTCTTAGGAGACAGCACCTCCCTGGGTAAGCGGATCCCGCTTCCTGATGGGGATTTTTCCAGGCGTGTCCGCCATCCACGGGAGCGACATGACTGCTCCAGCGCCACCTGAAACTGCTCTGGGATTTCCCTGTCAGCCCAGGGTTTCTGAGTTCCACTTCCTGGCCTACGCGGGTGGAAGATGACAAAACATCTTTTGCAACTTTGGAGTTTGCTTGTAGCAATTGACCCTGTCTCTGTAGCTTTGTGGCCATTAGGACTTCTCAGCAAAGCCATGGCTAGCAGGAAGGAGGGAGAAAAAGGAGATGTGTGGTTTAATGCTGCATGTCTCCAGCTTTGCGTGATTCTCTTAGTATCACTCGTTATTCATCTTCATCAGAGGATCTTGGGGAGTTTTCAGAGGCTGTAAGTAGCTTAAAGTTTATCTGGAAATCCCCCTCAGCACCCAAAGCCCTTGTGTGTTTGAAGCTCCAGTAAATCTATATCTCCTCGTCTGCCAGCTAGCCCAAGGAATTGCCTTGCTCATCCTTCTGTGTGGTGCCATGAGGAATGTCGCAGGCTTTCTGTGCACTGACAAAACAAGCTGTTTGTCCTGGATGCTGGCAGCAGGAAGGTTGGGAGGTCTCCTTTGCCAAGCGAGCTGCTGTGTTCTCGGCAGCGCTGTGCCTGGGGCGGGAGGGCCTGGACCTGGGGGAGCAGGGTGTCCGGTGCAGAGACAGCAGCCAAGGCGCTGGGCTGGGTCCTTCTCCAGGCAGGGTCAGAGAGCAAAACAAGGTGGAAGTGCTCTTTGATCTGGCTGTGGAGTAAGGGCTGTGAAATAGGGATCATTTGTTGGAGGATGAGCTGAAGGTGTGTGTGAACACCTGCGCTGGCCAGCCCTGGTCTCTGCCCAGCTGGGAAGAGGCAAATCTGTGGTGTATCCTTGCTGTACTCTGACAGCTTCGAGTCCTGAGCCTTTTCTTGCTCGTGCTTGCTGATCCTTTGCTCCTGAGCTTGTCCTGCCATTGCAATCTCTACACCAAAATCAGAAGGCTTAATTCTAGTTGGCCAGTCAGCAAGCTGCTGGAGGGAGTCCACTTTCAGCCCTGACTTTCCTGCCACCAACTTTTCAATGTGCAGACATCATACCCTAACCATTCTACGATTCTATGATATGTGCTTCCCTTCTCACTCTACAGGGGCTAGGCCAGGGGAAGGGCACCCCAAGGTCTCCAGGAACTTGGTATTGTGAATCTGGTTTTGCCAGTGGAAACTTCCGGAGGAGACTGTCCTCAAACCATCTTTTTGTGGGTTTGGTGCTGGTGACTGCCTGGCAGCCAGGTCAGGCACCCGCAGCATTGCCGGGCCTGCGGATCGTTTGTGAAGTGGTGCAGGAACTGTCCAGATGATGCCCCAGGCCGGGGATATTCAGCCGTTGGACTTTTCAGGTCTGGAGGGGTGGTGGTTCTGCTTCTGCCTTCTCGGAGCTGGCTGCAAGGTAGCATATGCCCGGAGCCGGGGGAAGAGCCAGCAGCTACCTTGGAAGAACAAAGCGCCGAGTAGCAGAAGATGGGAGGCTCGAAGGCAGCTTTAATGCATACCAGACCTGCAGCCTGGAGATGAAGTTTAAGTGTGTCAACGTTGGCGTTGTGCGTGAGAAGCCGGTGGCGGCAGCGGTTATCTTCGGTCTCCACAGCGAGAGCTAGCGCAGGCTGTCACTGCGCTGCCTTGCCACCCTCGTGCCCTCCGAAATCTCTCGGCTGCCTTGCCCAGGAGCGAGGCACTAATTGCTGTGCGTGCTAACTGGCTTGGCTGGGCTCGCTCCTCTCTAAACCTGTGCATAAATCAGCGCAGGGGAGCTGGGTGCCCTCTCCCCCCTCTGCACACGTACGTTCCAGAGATGCTGAGAACGATGCTCTCGTGCTCCCTGGGCTGACCCA